TATCCACTGGAAAATTTACTTAAGTACTTTACTTGTTTTACTTCTTTATGTTATAGTGTAATTGTGAAACTAAATATGGCATTATAACTCTCTAATTCCCATTCCCAATAACAGCTGAGCCCAACATTATTTTTGTTCCTTTTTTTCAAACGTGTTCAGCTACTTTCTTTAACTTTATATTTTCGTAAATTTTAAGATACAGAAAAATATATTTGTAATAGTAAAAATATAGAGAATGCACACATATACACACAGACATTTTTATAACAAATTAGCAAAGAAAAAGTGAGTAAACTATGTAGAGAATCAGACAAGTTTTAACTATTTAAGTAGATTTTACTCACAAAGATCACACAATTTATGCAAAAAAGTGGCTACAACGGCAATTAAGGTTGGATATCATTAAGAAGTTGCCGATACAATACATATCACGATACACTGAGCTTTCAATTTGATACGATTCAATAAAAAATAAAGTCTTAAACCACTCCTTGTGCAAAGTTCATATAAAACACAAACATTTTAATCATCAAAATAGTGAAAATGTCAAATGTGCTGCATAAAAAGTTTCCTTCCTCTGAACAAGCAACAAAACTGTAGCACTGTAACAAAATAATTTATTAAAATAAACCAAAAAATACTCTTGGCTATATATCGATACAGTAGCCCACAATATCAATACTGTATCATCACATTAAGCGATACAATATAGCGATATTTTGAGATTTTTGCACACCCCTAATTGCAATATAGATTTTTGGGGGGTTATTTTAGCTTAGAAATTTTAAGTTTTTAAAGGTACACTATGTAACTTTTTGGTTGAGGGTCTGTCACTTGCTTGTTTCTATGCATATGTCATTGCTCTGCCTGAAATGGTCCAAAATCACCTTATTTTTATTAAATTAAAGGTGGTTTTAAAGCTCAAAAATACCTAAAAATACCTGACTGTGACACAGATCTGACCTGTAACTTGGTCTGGCTCAGTCTCCATGAAGATAGAAAGGTTTATTTAATACCATACTGTGAAACATTCCAGACAAAGCAATAAGAACAAATGGAAAATAGAACAAATAGAAGAAAAAAAAAGCATCTGACAGACCCTCCAAAAGAAAACAAAAGTTGCACAATGTTTAAGCCCCAAGACAAAATGCACAACTGTCAAAGTCCAAGCCATTCTGCAGCTACATCCTCAAACTTCTGTTGCTTAAGTTAAACATTATTTACCTCTGTTTTGATCCTGCGCTTGTCATGGTCCGGCAGCAGCACTAGGATCCTCATATTTCTACTCAAGCATGTACAAGTGTCCCTACCTGCTACTCCAAATGCTTAAAGTAAAAAAAAAATATATATATATAAACTTGCTTCTGTCTGCTCTTCCACAGTCTGGGTAGGATCTGTGGCTATACCGAGTCCATACTAATGCAAATATCTGTTATAGTAGTCTTCTATCCAGTGCACAGACCGGCCCTGTGTGCTCGGCTTGCTGTGGCTGAATCAATGAGGAAGGCTCAGAGTGAATGGGGAAGTGCTGGAGTCAGATCCTCCTCCTGTGTCCTGTGCGGGGCTGGGTGTGTGGGCGGGTATTCAAGGCACTGTGTGGACTGAAAACTGCACACATGCTCAGTTCATGGGGGCGTTTTTGGGTTTGTGGGGACTGGAATCAGGTCCCAGCAAGGTAAAGTGAAGGTGAGTGAATGATTATGGTTCTGGTGAAGATTAGTCTCTGTGAAATGAAAGGTTTGTGTATAATGGTTCTATAAAGTGTGGAAATATAACAAGTGTGTGTGTGTGTGTGCGTGTGTGTGTGTGTGTGTGTGTGTGTGTGTGTGTGCGCGTGTGTGTGTGTTTGATATGCGTGTATGTGTGTGTGGTATGTGATTTTGATTCTGATACGTGTGTGTGTGTGTGTCTTTGTGCATTTGTATGTGTGTGTGTTTCTCTGTGTGTGCACGTGTGTGTGTGTCTTTGTGCATTTGTATGTGTGTGTGTGTGTGTTTCTCTTTGTGCGCACGCGTCTGTGTCTGTGTGTCTGTGTTTTTGTGCATCTGTGTATGTATGTGTGCGCGTGTGTGTCTGTGTGTATCCGTGTATGTGTGCGCGTGTGTGTCTGTGTGTGTGTGTCTGTGTCATCTGTGTATGTATGTGTGCGCGTGTGTGTCTGTGTGCGTGTCTGTGTGTGTGTCTTTGTATATCTGTGTCTATATGTGTGTGCGGTGTGTGTGTCTGTGCGTGTGCGTCTGTGTGTGAGTCTCTGGTGTATCTTTGTGTCTGTGTGTGTGTTATATGTGTGTGTATTATAAGTGTGTGTCTGTGTGTGTGTGTGTGTGTCTGTGTATGTGTGTTATATTATGTGTGCCTGTGTCTGTGTGTGTGTTATATGTGTGTGTCTGTGTGTGTGTCTTTGTGTATGTGTGTGTGTGTCTTTGTTTGTGTGTTACATCTGTCTGTGTCTTATATGTGTGTCTCTGTGTGTGTCTGTTTGCGTGTGTGTGTGTCTGTCTGTGTGTGTATGTGTGTCTTTGTGTATGTGTGTGTGTCTTTGTTTGTGTGTTACATCTGTCTGTGTCTGTGTGTTATATGTGTGTGTATGTTTGTGTATTATATGTCTCTGTGTGTCTTTGTGTATCTGTGTATGCATCTGTGTGTGTTCTGTGTGTGTGTGTGTCTCTGTGTGCCTGTGTCTATGAGCATGTGTCTGTGTGTGTGTCTTTGTGTATTTGTGTGTGTGTCTGTATGTGTGTGTTTTGTGAATCTGTGTATGTGTGCCTATCTGTGTGTGTGCATGTGTGTGTGTGTGTGTGTGTCTTTGTGTATATGTGTGTTATATGTGTGTGTGTATGTGTATGTGTGTGTGTCTCTATGTGTGTGTGCGTGTGTGTGTGCGTGTGTGTGTGTGTGTGTGTGTGTGAGAGAGAGTCTTTGTGTATTTGTGTGTCTGTGTGTGTCTGTGTGTGTGTGTGTGTGTGTGTGTGTGTCTGTGTGTGTCTGTGTGTGTGTGTGTCTGTGTGTGTCTGTGTGTGTGTGTCTGTGTGTGTGTCTTGTGTGTGTGTGTCTGTGTGTGTGTGTGTCTGTGTGTGTGTGTGTTTTGTGTGTGTGTGTGTGTGTGTGTGTCTTGTGTGTGTGTGTGTGTCTGTGTGTGTGTCTGTGTGTCTTGTGTGTGTGTCTTTGTGTGTGTCTGTGTGTGTGTGTGTCTTTGTGTCTGTGTGTGTGTCTTTGTGTGTGTGTGTGTCTTTGTGTCTGTGTGTGTGTGTTTGTGTCTGTGTGTGTGTCTTTGTGTCTGTGTGTGTGTCTTTGTGTGTGTGTGTGTGTGTCTGTGTGTGTGTCTGTGTACCTGTGTGTGTGTCTTTGTGTCTGTGTGTGTGTCTGTGTGTGTGTGTGTCTTTGTGTACCTGTGTGTGTGTCTTTGTGTCTGTGTGTGTACCTGTGTGTGTGTCTTGTGTGTGTCTGTGTGTGTGTGTCTTTGTGTCTGTGTGTGTGTGTGTCTTTGTGTCTGTGTGTGTGTCTTTGTGTACCTGTGTGTGTGTCTTTGTGTACCTGTGTGTGTGTCTTTGTGTCTGTGTGTGTGTCTTTGTGTCTGTGTGTGTGTCTTTGTGTCTGTGTGTGTGTCTTTGTGTACCTGTGTGTGTGTCTTTGTGTCTGTGTGTGTGTCTTTGTGTACCTGTGTGTGTGGTATTTATGTGTGCAGATATCCAGGAAACACTCTTTATTTATTAGTCGCACTTGAAACACACGTCACAACAAAAAACAACACAGGACCTCATAACTCACCCAGCAGCATGTTACTGCTCTGCCTGGAATGTTCCACAGTGTGACATTAAACAGCTCTACCTTACATGTGTTATATTTGAGGTGTTTTTTTTAGAAAGGTTTAATGCCATACTGTGAAACAAAGACAAAGCAATGGATAAAAGCATTTGACTGACCCTCCACCAGAAAAATAACCTTTAAATGATCTTTTTTTTTAACCACGTTGTTTTTATTATTCTTATGTCCTAAATTAGAGTTGAGCAAGAGATCACACTGGAGTGAACTGTTGACAATTTAGTAATTAACTCTGAAATGTTGAGAAAAAGTCAAAAGGGCAAAATAGAGAAGAAATCACAAACAGAACTGTTCCTCTTTTCAGCCTGTTTCAAAAAATACGTTGAACTAAACATGTAATGTAAACGGAAGAAACATTTCAGTACATCATGTAAAGTGATTTTTATAAAATGTTTCTGCAAATTTAAAGATGCATTGTAACCTGCCAAATTTTTAGTGCTTGTATCTATGGAGAGGTCGTTTCTCTGCCTGGAATGTTCCACAGTGTGACATTAAACAGCTCTATTTTACATTTATTAAATTACAAGTGGTTTTATAGCTCAAAAATACCTTGAAAAACAGACATCCTGACTGAGCGGGGTCGCCTCTCCACAGATCTGACCTGGAATTTGGTCTGGTTTGGTCTCCATGACAATAGAAAAGTTACACATTGCACCTTTAAAGTCAAGCCAAATTCTTTACAGACCATGAGAATGATACAAAATTATATTAATGATATTTATTACCGTGTTATATAAAAATACAAAAATATTAAAGGTGCATTGTGTCACTTTTCTTATGGAGGGACAGTCAAATGCTTGTGTCCATGGAGATGTTATTGCTTAGTCTGGAATATCCCGGAATGGCATTAAACATCTACATCTTGCATTTGCTCAATAGCCTGAGTTTTTATTGACTTAAAAACGTGCATTCTTATTATGAGTGGGCTCGCTTTTCCATACATTTGACATGTCACTTGGCCCTGTAGCGTCACCTGCCGTCTCCGTAGAGATAATTAGGCGTAATGTCATACTGTGGAACATTCCAGGCAACATGGAAAGAAGAATGTGACAGACTTTCAACGAAAATATACACAGTACGATCAGGGCTCTGTAGATTCTCTTTTTTACTTAATAACAAACTCAGGAAGCTTTTCGAAACACATGAATATTTAACACAGTGCCAGAGTGCAGATTTACCGTTGTGGCGAGCTGTAGTCCCGGTTCAAACAGGGTCAGATACTCGTCGTTCAGGCTGGACTCCAGACTGATGATGTCTTCAAGCACCGCCTCCTCCATCTGGAATCAACCAATCACAGACTTACAACTTTGGCCCACTCACAGATTTTTTATGTCATAAAATGGAGAAAGTGAAGAATTTAAAAATGCACTATGTCTCCCAGACGCATGAAGTGACAACAGTGTGGCATTAAACAGCTCTACCTTACATTTATTAAATTACAGGTGGTTTTAAAGCTCAAAAATATAGAAAAACAAACATTCTGACTGTAAGTGGGGTCACCTCTCCACAGATCTGACCTGTAACTTGGTCTGGTTTGGTCTCGATGAAGATAGAAAGTTTTAAAACCATACTGTGAACCACACCAGACAAAGCAATAACATCTCCATGGGAAAAAGCATTTGACAGACCCACCACTACAAAAATTACACAATGCACCTTTAAATAAATCTAGTTTTAATCCCACAATTTAAAGCAAAGACACAGACACTTGCTCCTTAATTTACAGCTTGATTTGGCGATAAACAAAATCCACCAGGGACAGTGTAAGTGCCGAGGGACTAAACCAGGTCTATTGGGGGCTAAAATCAATTACAAATCAATTCAAATCAAGTACAAATCAATCAATACAAAAAAAATACAAATCAGTCAATACAAATTAAGTCACAAATCAGTCACAAACAAACCAGTCACTCAGTACCAGTTTCACCCTCTTTCATTTTGCAGTACAACATTGTTCAAGAGCTTATTTACATATGAGTGAACACAGTGTACCATAGTTTCAAAGCATTATATTCAAATAGCCTTTTGTTTTTGGACACTCTGAGCCTGACTGCTACAGGGAAGCTCTAGCTCTGACTCAGATCCTCCTTAAACGATGAGTCGACACAAACAGAAATGTCCCTGAATCTGCAAAAAGTGACCACGGCAACAGGAACCAGCAGGAACTGACTGGACTGAAACTGGGACTAAAGACAGTTGAAACAGTTAAATGGAAACTCTTATAACGTCTTATTACGCAAAATTGACTCTTGTGACTTATTAGCCATGTTTTAATGTTGTTACCTCCTTAAAAACAGACTCGGAGTTGTATTTTGTTTCATTCACATGTTTGAGTAACCCTTTAGTATTAGTCTGTCTGCATCTCCAAAGCTCAAAATGCTCTGTCCCACCTTGTGATGTCATGAAATGGTAGTTTGAAAGTTTACATTTTACATTTAGTTCAGTAGAGATTGGCAATTCCAGGGTTGAAATTATCCAAATGTTTCTAGTGAAGGTGAATGGAGTTTAAAAACACTTCCTGTATTACAACATGACATTACAAGGTGGAAGAAAGTGTTTTTACCTTTTTTACTTTAAAGCTTCACTATGTACCTTTGCTTTTGAGGGCCCACCACCTGCTTGACTACATGGAGTTTGCTTTGCTTGGAGTGTTCCTAAGTATGGCATTTAATGTTTAACCATGCCATGCTCAAGCTCAACTGTGTAGGGTTCTGTTTGTTTACATGTCGCGCAGCAGAGCAAACGCTTTAGCAGAGAAAATAAGTCCAGCGGCATGAAATATCTATTAAATTGTGAGACCAATATGAGTTTGTGGATATAATAACAGCATGGAGGAGTGAGGACAACTGGAGAATAGAGGCTGCAAAACTTCTGTCTCTGTCCACAGCCCTAATCGAAGGTAAGTGCGGACTCACCATAAGTTTTCAAACAGACTTTATTTCGTGTTTTCCTCATATAAGTAACATCAGCGCACACACAGGGCTTGTATAATAAAGTCGTGCGTGCGCGTGCATGAGCTCTGTGTCATGCTTTGGCTCACCTCCTCCAAACGGGACTTCTCAGTTTTGTACAAATTGTTTTGCTTCCGGTTTACAGCTGGATCCTGTAGTTTTTCTAAAGTTACTTGCAGTGGCCACAGCTTATGAAAAAAATTGTTCACTAGGTCACAAAGAGTGTTAATCTTTTAAAATTATTTAGCGTTAACTCATTAATAACGCAATATTTTTGGCAGCACTAATTTATTTATTTATTTTGGTTAGCGTTGATAGTGTATGTGGACGGGGATGGGGGGAGTTGTGCGCTCAGTACCTCTTGTTTCGGGCTGGTCTTGTGGGCGGAGTCTCTCTTGGGGGCGGGACCTGTCTGCCTCTTTGCTGCGTTGTGATTGGCTGCTTTGCTCTGGGCGGTGGACAGGTATTGTTTGACCTGCTGTCTTTGGGCCTGCTGGATGTGGTACCGGGTTGGGTTCTCCAGACCAGTCTGCACCTGATGAAAGAAAGACATAAGGAAATCAGATTCTGCATTGATCATTCAGTCAAATAAACTTTATAATAACTACACTTTGCCTTAATAAAGTGTTAACAGAGATTCTGATCTTATTTCTGAACTATTTCCTGATCTCTATTATAATGTTTCCTCATCACAAACATACCAGGACTTGTGTTTTTTTTTTATTCACACGTTTAACACACAAACCCTGCACATTTAGGCTGAGTTTCTCTCAAACTGAAAACACCACTGCATTTTTAAACTGCACACACCTGAACTAGAAGCATTTGGATACTGAATAAAAAGGTAAACAGACAAATAATAATGTGGGAATGAAACAAAACACAACTCCAGGTATGTTTTATATTTTAGTGTAACCAATAATCTTGAACTTGTTATAACTTGTTTTTAGTGTAGGTTTTTATCACATTTAAAAAGCAAAAAAAAAAAAGTTGTAACATCTAATAGTTTATGTTTTGTTTTTTTACTCCGATTTCTTCAGTAATGTAAAATAAATGAGAAACAGGTATTTTGTTTAAAGACACAAGAGCAATTTTAACTTTCTGATGATGGATACCTTGAGGACCTCCAGAGGGACCTGTGCTGCTGCCCCTGAGCCCGAGGACAGTGAGACCTGGATGGGCTCCGAGCTCTGAGCGGGGCCCTTTTGTTTCTGGAGCTCCTTCTGCTGCTGCTCCAAAGCCTGCTGCCTCATCAGGTCCTGGCGAAGAAGAACTCTGAGGAGAACAGGAACAAATAAACAAAAAGCCCTGTCCATCGAAGCAGTAAATAAGATGTTAAACCATATTTTACCTGGAGGACATGGCTGAGGGCAGAGAAGAAGACAGAGACGAACCAGCTCCAGACGAACTGTGAGATACAGACGAGTAAATTACAGCACTGTTTCCCAAAGACTGAAATGTTAAGACATGTTTTGTATAATTTCTAATCGTTTTGTAATTATTTTATTGACTATTTTGTTCCAATATTGCTGGTTCAATTGAATGTTGAAAAGAAAAAGAAATGGGCTACATTTAATGTCCAAATAGGCGACTTATGGATCCTTTTATTTCTGGTTCAATGACTTTTTTTCATTGTTTAAAACTTGAGCACTACTAATAGTTCAGAGAGACACGATCACTCAGTCAACAATAAAATATCCTCATTAATGTTCAATAATGGTCAAATCCACATCTATTTTGTGATTTACGAATAATGTCTAATGACTTGGGTCGCAAAGGTTCGTGACTTTTAAAACATGGACAAAATAAAAAGGAAAAACGTTTGGGAAACACTGAATTACGGTGTGATACTAATTTGACACTAATTTACAGCAGAAAACTAAAGATATTTCATTTAAAGCTCCAGTTTTAACTTTTTATCCAAAAAATAGAAAGATAAAAGCATGATTTTTTCATTACAGTTGTGTTTATTCCACTCAAAAACATCAAAAAACATGCATCCTAACTCTGAGCAGGTTTTGTGGATCCTGACTCACTCCTGCTCGCTTCCATGGAAATGTTATCCTTTGGCTGTAATATTCCAGAGTACGGAATAAAACGTATCTCACACTTTTCACGTTACCACATGTGGTTTTAACTTTCAGTAGAATCACACAGTTGACTTCCCACTCCTAGAAAGTTACATACTATCATTTTAATATTGATCAAAACATATTGACATTTTCCTTTTTTCCCTTTTTTAAAATAAAACTACATAATACTTAACTGTGTAAAAAAAAAAAAGATTATTATTTTTTGTGACATCGCCAAGCCCAAACTCAAAAGGATCTTGGACAACGAGCCCATGATTGAAGAGAAAATTGATTGTCTGTATCTGAACTGTCGAGGTGAACGTAGTGAGTGTGAAAACAGTATCAGCTCTGATACAGACACTTCACAGACACTTTACTACGTCAAACTCTCACTGAGGAACAATGAACAGACTCCAGAGGGCAGAGGTCACAGGGAGAGCTGTCAGTCTATCTGTCCTGGTTTAGTCAAGGTTTAGTCCTGGTTCAGTCCTGGTTTAGTCCTGGTTTATTCCTGGTTTAGTACTGATTCAGTCATGGTTTAGTCCTGGTTTAGTCCAGATTTAGTCCTGGTTTAGTTCTGGTCTAGTCCTGGTCAAGTCCTGGTTTAGTCCTGTTTCAGTCCTGGTTTAGTCCTGGTTTATTCCTGGTTTATTCCTGGTTTAGTTCTGGTTTAGTCCTGTTTCAGTCCTGTTTTAGTCCTGTTTTAGTCCTGGTTTATTCCTGGTTTAGTCCTGGTTTAGTTCTGGTTTAGTCCTGGTTCAGGCCTGGTTTAGCCCTGGTTTTTAGTACCGGTTTAGTCCTGATTTAGCCCTGGTTTAGTCCTGTTTCAATCCTGGTTCAGTCCTGGTTTAGTACTGGTTTAGTCCTGGTTTAGTCCTGGTTCAGCCCTGGTTTAGCCCTGGTTTTTAGTACCGGTTTAGTCCTGATTTAGCCCTGGTTTAGTCCTGTTTCAATCCTGGTTCAGTCCTGGTTTAGTACTGGTTTAGTCCTGGTTTAGTCCTGGTTCAGCCCTGGTTTAGCCCTGGTTTAGTCCTGGTTTAGTCCTGTTTCAATCCTGGTTCAGTCCTGATTTAGTACTGGTTTAGTCCTGTTTCAGTCCTGGTTCAGCCCTGGTTAAGTCTTGGTTCAGGCCTGGTTCAGTCCTGGTTCAGTCCTGGTTTAGCCCTGTTTAGTACCGGTTTAGTCCTGTTTCAGTCCTGGTTTAGTCCTGGTTCAATCCTGGTTTAGTCCTGGTTTAGTTCTGGTTTAATCCTGGTTCCGTCCTGGTTTAGTCCTGGTTTAGTCCTGGTTTAGCCCTGGTTTAGCCCTGGTTTAGTTCTGGTTTAGTCCTGTTTCAGTCCTGGTTCAGTCCTGGATTAGTCCTGGTTTAGTCCTGGTTTAGTTATGGTTTAAGCCTGGTTCCATCCTGGTTCAGTCCTGGTTTAGTACCGGTTTAGTCCTGGTTTAGTCCTGGTTTAGCCCTGGTTTAGTCCTGGTTTAGTCCTGGTTTAGTTCTGGTTTAGTCCTGTTTCAGTCCTGGTTTAGTCCTGGTTCAGTCCAGGTTTAGTCCCGGTTTCATCCTGCTTAGTCCTGGTTCATTCCTGGTTCAGTCCTGATTCAGTCCTGGGTTAGTCCAGGTTTAGTCCCGGTTTAGTCCTGTTTCAGTCCTGGTTTAGTCCTGGTTTAGTTATGGTTTAAGCCTGGTTCCATCCTGGTTCAGTCCTGGTTTAGTACCGGTTTAGTCCTGGTTTAGTCCTGGTTTAGTCCTGGTTTAGTCCTGTTTCAGTCCTGGTTTAGCCCTGGTTTAGTCCTGGTTTAGTCCCGGTTTACCTGATGCTGATTGGTTGACTCTTGATCTCGTAGAAAGTATCTGTGTCTGAGGGGAGGAGACTGTCCACCTCGATGTCGGCCACGATCCCAGACTCCACTCTGGAAAAATCAGAGCAACACATCAGAGAAATGTGACTTTTGTCTTGGTCACAAAAGCTGACTTTTAATTAGTTCATGATAATATTTAACAAAATGTACTTTATACATCCAGTAACTAAATTATCCCACTGAATTTAACTTTTTACAAAATATAATTCAATATCGGCATCAAAACCAGAGAGCACTGCACCAGGATGTATGAAAACGCTCCTATTTTTCATTTTATATCTGAAAATGTAGAGAAAAGTCACGCACATGTCCTAATAAATCTCACATTTTGCAAGCAAGACGATGTGCAGGATTTTTCTCTATGTTCTTGGGCTGCTCCTTCTCCTCCAACGCACCTGTTTCAAGAAATTAATGTGCAAAGTTCTCATTCTGTTATACTGTAAAATGTACAAATATGATGTGTACAAAGATGTTTTTTTCAATAATATTTATTAGAACATAACAAAGCAACACTCTGCTGCCCTCTGCTGGCCTTTTCAACTGTTGCATCAATATGAGAAGTGATATTTTAATACAAGATCGGGGGGAATTTCGCAAAATAAATTTGTAACTGTTATGTAAAATGTGATATAATATTTTTTTCCAAGTTGTCATTTGCAAAACAAAGCATAATAGTAATCTCTTTTCTGGGTAAATCTTGAAGCTCCTGCAATAACTGTGCTTTATATATGTTATTATTTTATGTTAAAACTGTTGTGTTGAATCCCAGCTCTGATTTCTCCCGACACGTTTATTTCGTGCTGTGGAGCTGTGAGCCTGAGGACCACAGCCGAACACTCGTCTGCACAAACAGGAAGTGGGTTGGGGCTTTTCTGCTGACTCACTGTAAGCTGGGCTCAAATAAAGCCTGTGCAGATTTACACTTACACTCAGACTTCCCTAAAAATCTGGACAATGTTCTCCCAACTACAGCTGGGGGAGGGCGCCGTCTGTACATCTGCACATCTGGAGAGAGTTACCTGACTCAGCACAAAATGAAACGCACCATAATAACTGCACAAATGTATAGAAAAGGGATCAAACATACTTATTAAAAGATAAAAAACTGGATTGAATGGGCCTTTCTGGACAGAGTTACACCTATAAATTGATAGTGTGCTAATTATAATCTTTATTTATTTACACACAGAGCCACTCTGACCCAGACTAAACCAGACGTGTAAAGCTCTCTCAGCACATAAACAGGTTCGGTGTAAATATTTCCAGATGAAAAAGCAAAAAGAAAGAAAAACTGTGGACTTGTCTGAGCTTGTTTTGTGTTCTGTTTTCATTTACATGACTGCCCACTGTGTAAAAAAAAAAAAAACTCTATTAGGGCTATAATCACTGACAATTACATTCTAGACCTTAAAAAAATCAGGTCAAAGGGGCTGTACCATTTCTTTTTTCTTGTAGTAAAGTAAAATTTGTTTGGCACGAGTACAGATAAACGGAAAAAGCAATTAATTCTAAAGCATTTGAGTGAGTTTTTTTACTGTGATAACATTGTGATGAATGATTAGGATGTTAGGAATGCGTTAAAAAGTGACTGCTGTAATCTGTTTAAAGCCAATTAGTTATTGCTTTTGTGTTTTAAGACCGTAACAATCAGAAACAGCACAGTCAGATCATATGGTAGATTTTACTGCCCTTTGTATTTGATCCATATTTCAGCTGATAGCCAAATATTATTGAGGTTTTGAGCAGGTCTGAGCCAGGATCCATGTTAAAGGCGCCTATACAGTATATTTAAGTTGATAAGAAAAGCACAAAATGGTCCAGGAATCGAACACCAGACCTTTTAGCTATGAGGTGACGGAGTAAAACACCGTGAGATAAGCCCAGTTTATCTCTCCGCTCCAGCTATGAGTCACTTTAAAGGACTGTGGATTAGTGTTTGTGACTCATAAACCAGATTTAGAGACTTAAGAAAAACAAGCTCAGCAGATTTTTTTAAGCTCGTAACCTGGATATTTGCAAAAACAACAGTCCAAGGGTTAGAGAGCTGATGTCATCTATGTACATAACTTATCATTGCCTCACAAAAAGCAACTGTATTACATTCAAATGCTTAGAAATAGCCTTATAGGTTTATTTACTCATTTAAAAAAGACTATTGTGATTAATTAAGGTCCAATATTACACTGTTTTCTTACCAAAAACATGCCCTGAGTTGTGTTTTGTTTCATTCACACATGTTTAACACAAAAACTCCAGCATATGTAGGCTGAGTTCTTCTCTCACACTAAAAATACTCTGTGCTCCACTGTGTTTTTAAACTCCACACACCTTCAGTAGATTCATTTGGATCATTTCAGCTCTGGAATTGCCGATCTCTGCTGAACTAAAGGTAAAAAGTAGCTGCATTTTGAGCTTTGGAGATGTAGACAATAGTGATAATACAGGGTATACGTTGGCTGTGTATGAATGAGAGTTTGGTGATGAAGAGGAAAGGCAGTTGGCGCAGAATGGCAGCCATGTCTTACAATAACAAGCCTCGGGGCAGCTGTGGCTCTTGAAGTATCTACTTAGTGATTAATTGCGTAAAAACGAAAAGCATAAAACGTGTAATGGGGGTTAAAACAGCTCCAAACTTTTGTTAATGTGTTATAACGGTGAATTAACCCAATAGGAGTGGCTTGGCTTGTGTGAATATGCAGGCTGTTTTTGCAAAAGGGGCACATTTATCAAAAGACAACATAAAAGTCTCGATAAGAGAAATCAAAAGGTGTTCAAAACATAAAGAGACATAATGTTATAAGCGGAACCAGCTACGCACAATGCATCAAAGTGAAACCCAGCTGGATAAAAGCAAACACTTCTTAAAAAAAACACAACTGTTGATGATCTGAACGTGTAATTGCGCATTTTGTAGCTTTGTGGAAGTTCCGAGACCCACCGGACGAGATTGAGAGACTCTGCCGAATCCAGGATCACGAAGACGGTCTGCGGCTGGAGCACGCCGGCGTCTGGGACCTCCGGCTCGGCTCCGGTTCGGCTCCTCTGCTCCTCCTCGCTCAAGAGTTGGTTCGCGTCAGTCGTGGACATCTCTCCGTGTCTTTAATCCACCAAAAACGAAAACAAAATAATTAGACTTCCCCAAAAGAGAATAAAAACGAGCCGATTTCGCTCACTGCATCGTAATAAGGAGCGTAAAGGCGCACGGAGCGGAAGAAGTGGCTGTTTTGGTCGCGTTTGCACCTGGATCAGAATGAACGGAACTACTGTGTGATTATAGACCTCTGCATGCGCATGATCAGACCAGGAAGATGCGAGCCACAGCGTAAACTTCCCGTGTTTAAAGGGTCCAGACTGCGCTATTCTCTGATCTGTGTTATAATGTTGTTTCCTCATCACAAACATACCCAGAGTTCATTCATGTTTAACGCACAAATCCTGCTTGTTCAGACTGAGTTCTCCTCTCAAACAGAAAAAAACTCCACCTGCACTTCCACCTTGTGATGCTCCACTGCATTTTTAAAGTCCATACAGCTTCACTAGTATCATTTGGATCATTTCAGCCCTGGAATTGGCGATCTTTATTGAACTAATGGTAAAGAGAATAAGCGTGAAGTATAGCTGTTCACTTGAGAACTACCACTTCGTGACATCATAGCATTTTGAGGTTTGGAGATGTAGACAGTCTCATAATAAAGGGTTACTCGAACATGTGTAACAACATTATAGCATGACTTAGAGCTCACAAGAGTCAGTTTTGCGTAATAAAGAACCTTTAAAGATCAGAAACCTCCCATGACAACATGTATTGGGGGTCAAATAAATGAATTAATAATCAAACATAAATTAAATGCTGATATAAAGTCCCGTCTGTCCCCTTCCAACAGACTGAATAGGATACATTCATGTTATTAGGTTCTATTTTCAGACCAAGAGTTTGTTTTCAGACCTGACAGTTGGCGGTCTTCCTTAGAGTGGTCAACCAGTGTTGCTGCAATGTGTCCGCTCAGCTGATTTAAACAGGTTGTGGTGCTGTTTTCCTACTGGTGGAGGCAGGACGATAATGCCATCTGCAGTCCGACTTCCTCAGGACAGTATCCCAGGTGTGTGAGAGTAAAAAAGTCCCCTCGTCCCGGTTTATTGTCCCGTGGCCATGTTTACAGAAAGACCACAAGTGAAGATCGAAACTGTCAGGGCTGAAAACAAACTCTTGGTCTGAAAAAAGAACCTAATAACATAAAATATCGGAAGACCAAATGAACCTCATTGGCTCAGGCTACATTCATGTACAATATGACCAGCAGCCATGTCCCTGCTCTGTCAGCCCCTGTCAGCCCCAGGGCAGATACGACTGAGTGTGTAGGGCTGTGCAATTAACTGAACTGTAATCAAATTCAGATTTCATCATTTCAAATTTTAAATTGTCACCTTGTGGATTTAAATTTAGTTTATGTGGTCAGTAGTAAGAATATGTGGTTTGGAGCAGAGGTCAGATTTACAAATAATCTTATGCAACACGGGCCCCACAGGATAGTTCTCTTTGGCACTGACCTTTTACTATTTTTGATGCTTATTTTGGATTCACCAGACCTGTTAACATTCAAATTTTTGCTTTTTGTTATTATTATATTATATTATATTGAGATGAGTGAGCTTCTGTGTCCAAATCATTTCCCTTGTTGATCAATAAAGTTTGCCTTCTCATCTTTTAAACACGATCAAATGTTAGATTTTTCTCCTACAATACGTAAATACCATGGTCAGTACAGCCAGTCCTAGAATACATAATACATAATACTTTAATACACGATAATTATAGTGTACAATGACAAAGCAGAAATCCCTGAGTGTGATTGAAGCTCCCTCTACTGACTTCACACGTCAACAACAGCGAGGGCGGGACTAGAGCTGTGGACAGATGCTCGCTTCCACCAATCAGCGTCTGCTTCCTCGCCGCTCAGCCAATCAGAGCAGAGCCGGCTTCTGTCCTGTTCAATCAGCGCGCTCTGCTCTCAAAACACTGCACCATGATGTTTGTTGATCTTTTTTTTTTTTTTTTTTTTTTTTTTTTTTTTTTTCTTTTACGGGAAAGTGAAAGCGTGTGCGTACCGGGGAAATCCAGTGTGACGTCGAGGTGAGAGAAGAATGGGGTGAGCAGGGAGTGACGGTAACATCCAATCAGAGCGCAGAAATGTTTTGTTTTGATGTGAGGTTTTGAAGGTTGAGCTGTTTCAAGGTCTTACATCATCTGTGAGTGAAGTTACTGTGTTTGTGTAGTAAAAAATAAAGTGTGACAATCACGTTTTACCTTGAAATAAAATATAGAGACAAACAAGACAGCTAATTATCATTATTATGTAAGATAATATAATATAAGCACTGACTCATGCCAATACCTCATGTAGTGATGGAACATAATGAAGTAAAATGTTCTTAAATATAATTTTTAGGTATCTGTACTTTACTTTTCTATAAAATTTTACATTGTGTTTTTGTTACTTTTACTTCACTACATCTGAGAGCAGGTAAATTTACTTTCTACTATACTACCTTTTTGAACAGGACTGGAAAGTAAAAGTATTTTTATTGTGGTTTGAGACCTGCTGAAAAGACTGAGGGTTTGTTTTAACATGTTTATAGTTTGAGGAAATAAAAATATATTAATAAAAACATGAAAAAAAAGATGGAAAACTGGTACTTAAGTATAAATATTAAAGTAAAAGTATCCCATGAAAAAAATCTACTTAAGTATTTTCTTGCTCTGGACTCTGTAAGTAAAAAAATGAGTACTTCTTCCACCACTGACTAGCCTGATTTATCAGCCGGTTTCACTTCGTAGAAACCGTCTGGCCTCGCAGCGTTAGGATTCGTTTGTTTGACGGTAGGCAGGTACTTTTTTTTTTATTTAACCAATCGCTGCTATTTGTTCGTGATTTATGTAATGCGCCAAATCCCGTAGGAGGTAGGGCAATGACGTCTTTCCTCTTTGTTCCGACTTTAAATTCTCGATCTCGGGAATTGTTGCCAACACAGAATGTCTGGCCTCGTCTACATCCATCTCGACCGCTTTGTTTACTGTTGTGTTGTACTACAAAAAGAACTCAGACAGGCGCTTGAGTTTGACGCCATGGCTTCACAGCTCTTCACTGATTGGCCAGTGTTCTTGCAAACCGTCTAGTGTATTCCGATTCCTGATCTAGTCGCTGGAGAGAAATGAAACTCCTGTCACCTCATGCAGCCTTCGAAGTAACAATATAAAGACAATTTACACTGAAAACAACTTGCAGACCTAAAGATACACTGTGTAACATTTTTAGAGGTCTGTCAACTGTTTGTCTTCATAGAAATGTTATTGCTTTGTCTAGAATGTTCCACACTATAAATTACACCTGTCCATCACGAGACAAGCAGGTTACGCTACATTACAATTCAGATCTGTGAGAGTCGGCCCTGGTCACAGAAGGGATTATAATTTAGTTTTTGAGCAACAGAAACACACGAAATTAATAAATGCTAGATGGAAATGTTTAATGTCATACCACGGAACAGTCCAGGCAAAGCAATAACATCTCCTTGGAAACTCTCCACCAGAAAAGTTCCACAGTGTACCTTTAAGAATCGCCCCAGTTATCAGACAGGACCCGTGCGGTTTGTAAAAAATGCTCTAAAAATCTTTATTGTTGCAGAGAATATTCACAAACAACAGCTGAATCATTCCACAAACAAGAATTGACAAATCAGACTGCCCCATAAGTCCCACAAACCAACGGACCAATCAGGGAGCTCGGATCATTCAAATGGACCAATGGCAGAGTCCAAAACGGAGTAACATAAACCACAGATAAACATAAACCATTTGGCTTTTCTTTGAGACGTTTATATATATAAAAAAAGAGTGAATAAAGAGAAACAGCTACAGAAATAATTAATTTACACAGAGCTGGTCCAAGTCCCACCCCTTAACCTTTGACCTTTCTACAAACTACATTTAACTGAAAAACATTAATTATTTTCAATGGATGACAAAATACTGCCACTGACTCCCCCCTTTTCTTTTTTTTAACATTCGGTTCCTGACAAACAGCAAGAAGAAATAAAGGAAAAAAATAACATGATAAACGTTCGGATCGATTAATGTACAAATATATTTTACAAGTCTCTGTCTTTCAGTTTTGAAGATTGTGGATGGGTCTCGTGGTAAAAGGAGCCACTGGCCCAGGCCGATCTTCTTTTAAGGGCATAACAGGGCAGAGCTTAAGAAGAGCTGTCCAATCTCAGGCTTCAGAGCAAAGAGAGTTCTCATTGGTCGGCTCTGAACTTCTTCGATCCGGCGGGTTTACTGCAGGAGAAATGAGGTACAAAAAGTTAAGGTACGATGCAAATTTGATGATTCATACACGTTTTATTTCAGTTCACTAAAACAATTACAGACTAAACAGCAACTGGAAACACGTCTATGAACACAATTTAAAATATCATGGAAAAAAACTGACAAAAAGTGAAACTTACAAATCAGGTGACACTCCAGGTCTTTTCATAGCAGGCTTGGCGTCTTTAGTATCTGTAAAAAAAATAAAGACGACAAAAGGTTGATTTCTTACCACAATCCAACCTGTAAAACCACATTTCAAAAGGTTTCAGAGCTTTATAGACAAGCCTGCAGGGTTAATTTAATAATTTGTCTATATTTTATGCTTTTCTTCTTTATAGCTACCAAGTATACTATCTTACAAACTTAGCCTATTTAATTATTAGAACAAGATAGATTAAAAAGAAAATAAAAAAAGGTATTTTAAGCTAAATAAATTATTGCAGGTGAATTGCCTTACCTTGTAACCACCGCACTTGCGTGGCGGGTCCGTAGCCCTTCTGATTTCTTGCTGCGATCCTGAAGATGATGGCAGGTTTGGTGGTGTAGTCGATGTGGGCGTTGGACAGACTGGAGGACTGGACCAGGCAGGACGGACTGGGGCCACAGTAGACCCTCATGAAGGCTAACTGCCCCTGGGACCCCGAGGAGCCCGCGGAGGTCTGTGAGGACTGGATGGCCAAGTAAACAGAATACTCTGTGATCCGCCCAGAGGTGACTGCAGGAGGCTCCCAGGTGAGCTGTGCCCCGTCTGGGCTCTGGGCACAGAGGAGAAGGTGGTTATATTTTTCTGCACTTGTCACTCGATATTTGGATTCCCAAATAATATTATTGATTTGGATGGACATTTGTTCTGTCTCTCACCTTGCTGATTTTAATGGCACATGGAGCTCCGGGGAACCCTGGTAAACAGGTTTTAAACGCAGACACTTCAGAAAAGGCCCCTCTTCCGCAGATGTTGATGCCTGCCACTCTGAACTTGTAGGCTGTTCCTGGCTGCAGTTCCACTTTCCTCATCTGAGAATAATCCGGAACTGCACCAGAGTCGTCCTGTGACAATCAATAAAATAAATTATGTATTACATTTAGAAGACAAATATTCTGACTACAACATCTGATTTTTCCATTAATCACAAAGTACAGCTACAGTATATTTATATTTGTGTGTCTTACGTCGATGTAATTATCATCGTAGGGGACGTAGTAGTGAGACACCACCATGTTGGTGACCTTCACGATGCCCACGTCGTACCATTGAGAGTCTTTGGGGACTGGCTTCACTGCGGCTGGTTTCTGAAGACAGATCGCAAAGAGTCGTTAATAATACAGTCTAGGAATTCAGTGGAAATTTGTCAATAGTTGGTTCTCTCACCTGAGCAGCATTAGAAATGCCGTTAGCCACCTCTGTTAGCGTAGCAGCAGCCTGAAGCTTGTTGGGACTGGCGCTCAGAGGAGGCGGGGCAAATGTACTGGCCAATCGGGCAACAGCACTTGTTACCGCAGACGATGCCAGCTCATGGCCGTTACTTTCTGCCGCTGGGTCATTCAGGCTGTCGGCTGGAGCCAGACCCTCTGAGGAAGAGATGATGACACAGAAATGACAACATGTCCCACGAGGACAAGACTTGTATCAGAATGCAGTGTTACGCTGTTGTTGGTAGTGGTGCTAGCAGTACTTAAAATTTGCAGTAAAAATATTGCCTATTATTATTTGAGCCACTTCAGCAGGAAGCCTGAAGGCGACCAGAAATTGGTCACATTTGACACCACTCAACTAGAAAGTATGGCCATTTATTTGAACGCTTTGACTGGAACATTAATATTTGAGAATGACTTTGACTAGACCTGAGATACTGCACCTCAGCTCTGGTTCTCACCTGTGGGCATGGCGTGCTGTGCCTGCTCTGCCATCGGCTCTGGCTCTGATTTGGGCACCACCTGCTGGGCCTCCTGGAGCTGCTGCTGCTGCTGGACCAGTGCAGCCAGCTCCTGCTGGGTTAAGACGATTGGAATAGTCTGGTCTCCACCTTCTGCATCGCCTGAAGAGCAACACACAAAGACATTAGTCAAAAATAGATTAATCCCACAGACTTCCTACATATCACGTCAGCACAAGGGACAAGGGCTTGGCCCTCGAACTGGTAGCACTGTTAGCACTGTTTAGTTAAGTTTAAGTCAATTTATAAAAGCTTAATAACACCCAAGGGCAGCTGTTGTAGAATGTGCATGTTGTGGTGAATTTTGTGTGAGAGAATGTGAGCCGCAGAGTTCTGTAGAAACCTCAGGAGAACTAGACCAGTCAAGATAATTACTATACCGACTTATCATTCAGTACATGATATAAGATGGAACATAACTTTTGGAAGTCAATATTTATCGTGGTACATTTTCTTTGTATTAGTGGGAATAATATAGAAATAGAAATGGTTATTTTTCCGTACTTTTGCGAGCTTTGAGCTGTAGAGTTGAATCATTAACTTCTATGGCTCATTATAGATACAAACTAATTACTTCAGTGTTGCATTTATTTATTGCAGCTAAATTTTTAAACAATATTGTACATTAAGAATACCTTTTTGGGGATAATTCAATTCAGTTTTATAGTTATCATTTATTGTCTATATTTACTTCAGCAATAGATCTCAAAATCTGTTGACAGGCCTAAACATAACTTTTCTACATAAAAATCAATCAAGTGGCAAAGACTGCATTTAAGTAGAAAAGAGGTAAGAAACCCGCTGACCTAACTGCCCCGCTGCCTGGAGGACGGCCTGTATCGTGGCTTGCTGGGCCTCGTCTGTTGCTGTGGTCAGCTGGTCCGGGGTCAGTCCAGTCACCATGAGAGTCGTAGCTCCTGATTCGTCCCCCTCCGATGACATCAGCTCCTGAGGCAGGCCGCTGTCTGCCGTCTCCATCTGAAAACACAAAAACCACACAGATTTTGAACATTAGATTTGATTCATTGGTCCAAATGTAACAGACTTGGTCAACACAGCAGCTTAGTTGAATTGTGCTTTGTTTATGGTGAAAGAAAATAAAGTTGATAAATAGATTTTTTTTTCTTACCTGTGGGGCATCTCCTGCTCCTCCCATATGGACCTGTAACACTGTGGCTCCAGACGACATCACGTCCTCTGGTTGGTCGGTCTGCATTGGCTCTTCTCCCTCAGCTCCAGTGACCACAGCGACAGCTTCAGAAGAGTCTGCCCTCTCTTCTCCAACCAACGACGAGATCTCCTATAGAACCACAACATGTTCAGCTTTGGTCCTTTCAGTCTGATTACCATTTGTAGAAAAACTATCTGGATCTGTAATTCTCTAATGCAGAAGGTGACCTGGTGCAGTGGCAATAATCTGGAGCTCAAGTGGACATGATGGTGGATTCATGAACATCATTTTGTTTTTGTGTATCAAAGTCTATTTTATACCTCACTTCAATGCCTTCCTGTAATTTTATATATTTATTTTATACTAATTTCCTTCAACTTCCTCATTTGTGAATTGTGTTCTTTGACAACTGCAATAAAACTGATTCTGATTTTTTCCAATCTGTGGTATAGGCTCTATTCACGTTTATGTCACAAACCAGGAAGACGTTTGGAAAGATGTGATTACAATTTCCGGTGGGCTCTGTTCAAGGAAAAAATGGGAAAATGGCCCAGTTTTCTTTATCTACATGTCATTGTAGAGTTCCGTTATGTTCGGCTAATCAACAATTACAACCATACCCCAGTTTTCATAATTTCCACACTGACACACAACTCCGAGCGCGCTGGGTACATGTGATTAGAAGAGACGAGGGCGCAGAAATCAAGATTATCCCAGACAGCACATATGTCTTCATTTATTTATTGCTGATGACATTTACTGCAGTGGGGTTGATCACACTCGGTCAGTGAACCCCAGTGTCCATAACTACGCTGGACGTTGTCATCGCATCTTTCTAAACGTCTTCCTGCTTTGTGACATAAGTGAGAATGATTCTGAGTCTATTAACACTTACTGGAATGGAAGGCCCTGGAGTGGGCGTGGCCTGTGTCACGGTGGTCACAGCCCTGCTCTGAGTGGCTGTGGTGACGGAGGAGGCGGCGTCTGAGGGTTCACTAGTTTCTCCCTGTGACTCTCCACTCTGCTGAGCTGCAAAAGTGAATTAACAGAATTATATTAGCTATTTCACACATTACATTAATCTCACATCTCAATCATTACAACTTCAGATTTACCTGTGGCTGTAGTTGCTGTGTTGGTGGTTCCTGTTTCATGAGTTTCACAAGGAGGATTTGAGCAGACCTGGAAGAAAACAATAATGCTTAATAAAATCTTAAAACAAGTGCTCAATAACCATACTCATTCACTTTTCTTTTTTAATTTGAATCTTTTTCGATAATACTAACCTGTCTAATTCCCCCTGCTCCTGCTGTAGTCGCCGTGTTGGTGGTTCCCGTTTCATGAGTCTCACATGGAGGATTTGAACAGACCTGGAAGAAAACAATAATGCTTAATAAAATCTTAAAACAAGTGCTCAATAACCATACTCATTCACTTTTCTTTTTTAATTTGAATCTTTTTCGATAATACTAACCTGTCTAATTCCCCCTGCTCCTGCTGTAGTCGCCGTGTTGGTGGTTCCCGTTTCATGAGTCTCACATGGAGGATTGGAACAGACCTGGTAAAAGGATGAACAAGATTAAGTTTCCGTTCAATCATAGCACTCACTGACAATAGACTTCTAGTGTGTAGCCCTGCCCAATCTTTGACAATCTTTGACCATTATCAGGTCCTTTTGCACATAACCGCTGTAGAAACCAAGTCCCACTATTGTATTTCCTACGCCCAGTCCACCCAGACCCCACTGTGGCACACCCCATTTACAGTCCAAAAACAACAATGTGAAGGCAGCACTAAACCTCTGTGAGATGTCAATTCTGTATTTACATCTGAAATAAAGGCACTAACTGGATTGTTCTGGCTGCTAAAATGCCTAAAAGCACCCATTAAATGCAGCTAGTCCCCAGTTCTTCTCATTTGCTAAGACGCAGTAGGTAAAGGTTACAGAAATGAAATTCCCTCCAGCAGTGAGCTCATGTGCAAATGTTTTAGTGAAAGCTGGCTCCCTCTACTGAGATGTGTGTGATTATACCTGTCGGAGACCACCTGCTCCGGCTGTGGTGGTGGTGTTAGTCGTGCCAGTTTCATGGGTCTCACAGGGAGGATTGGAGCAGATCTAAAAAGAGAGAATACATGCTCTAAATCTGGACAGACACAACAGGAAAGGAAAAACAAATGAGCTGATAACGTTTGTCCCACCTGTCGCAGTCCTCCTGCTCCTGCTGTAGTAGTGGTGTTTGTTGTCCCCGTTTCATGCGTCTCACACGGAGGATTGGAGCAGACTGTGGCTCCGTTCACTGACGGGTTAGAGGTGACCTTAACAACAGAAAATTAGACTGTTAAAAGATTTCACTCATTAGCAGTAGATTAAATGTAATACATTGTTTTATGTTATTCATTTCTGCTGCTGTTCCTCATTAAACTTAGAAGAGTATGTTCAAGATGTGGGACAAATTTTCTTCTCAGTATTATTTTGTATATTTTTATATTTTCTACTGTGAAAGCACATGACAGCATGATCCCAGAAACATCTTGTGTCTTAACCCTAACACTTTTTACCTGTGTGTTCTGTCCCATGTTGGAGGCAGCCACAGTGGCAGTGTTGGTAGTCCCGGTCTCATGAGTTTCACAGGGAGGATTGGAGCAGACTCTCTCTGTCCCTCCCATCGACGCTGTGGCCACAGTGGCTGTGTTGGTGGTCCCTGTGTCATGGGTCTCACACGGGGGGTTAGAGCAGATCAGCGTCACTGAAAAATAATAAAATAGTAAAGCAAAGAGTTTTCTCCTCTGATCCATCAAGACCCATTACCTATAGTACATCCTCTACTCACATACCAACAAACAGTCTTCTTTCACAAATGCATCTCTTTATTGATCACACAAAACTTGTCTTCTATAGATTACCTGTGTTGGAGCCCTCATCTCCCTCGGCTGTGGTAGTAACTGTGGAGCTGGTGGTGGTACTTCCAGGTTCTTCAGAAGTAGGGGAGGCCATGATGGACACAGGCAGGTCCTGGACCAAGGGCTGAGCCTCAGCTCCACTGGGGGTTGTGATCAGGGTAACCTGGAAACACAGAGTTTGTGAAAGTGGACTTTTTGACTTTTGGACAATTTGACTAAGCCTAACCACTACACAGGTGATGGCGCTATTACCCTTTGTTTAATATTTATGCCAATGCATATTTTTAAGATTAAAGATGGAGCTGGTACCTGTTTGGTTGCACCAGCTGCGGTTGCTGTAGTAACCTGGCCTGCTAACGTGGCGATGGTTGCTAAGGTGGTGATAGGAGTGGCAAGAGAGGCGTTGGCCCCAGCAACAGTTCCCCCGGCGACAGTGGAGACTGTCCCAGTGACAGTTCCTAGGCTTGACACACCTAAAAGACACACAAGAGTTATTTAGGACAAAAAAAGACAATGACTTTGTCGCTGCTGAGGAGTCAATCTTAATTCTCTCACACAGGACAGTAAAAAATAAAAGACTTCCTCCAATAATAAAGAGACAGAAAAAGTCATATTACCTGTGGTGCCCTTGACGACGAGGGTGGTGACAGTAGGTTTGGATCCTGGAGACACCAGTCTGACTCCACTCATGGGGACAGTCCTAAGGATGGTTCCAGGAGTCCCTGGGGCCCCCTTCAAAACCACCTGTATTCAAAGACACACATACAGTATGTAAATATGCATATTGGATCGAAGGAAGACGTATTATGCAAAATCCACTGTCAAGCTTTTTTCTGGCATTTATGTGACAAGAGTAGGGCTGGGTATCATTCAGAAGTTGCCCATACAATATATACCTCGATACGATACATATCTCGATACAGTGAGCTTACAACTTGATATGATTCAATACAATATAGTTCATATCAATTCGATAATAAAAATTAAAGGCTAAATCATGGCTTGATACTAAGTCTTTATTAAACCACTTCTTGTCCAAAGCTAATATGAAACACACATTTTATTCATCAAAACTGTGAAAATGTCAAATGTATTGCCTGATCAGAGGAAAGAAACTCTCTGATGCAACAAAACTGTAGCACTGTAACAAAATTAATTACGGTAATAAATATACCAAAAAATACTCCTGGCAATATAGAAATACAACATCCCATGATATCGATGCTGTATCATGACATTAAACAATACGATATCGATATTTCAATATTTTTGCACACTCCTAGACGGGAGATAATTATAATATGGTAAAAACTCTTACTATGTCTTTAACAAGCAAAGGGTTTACTAGAGATAACAACAGTAGCAGAGATATGCCAAAAATGCTATCAGCCTTAAATCTCTTGATGTTGGCCACACTTGCAAAAACAACACCACACAAAAACATGACTGCACAGCTCTTGTAACCACTTCATAGTAAAACAAGTTCGGAGATGAGTTTCAAACCAAATAATATGGCAAAATAATAATTGTCCCTACATATGAACAGAACTTATCAACCAACAGTTTCTCTTAGCTGTAGACAATGGGTATTGCCATCGATCTTTAGAGGGGATGGGGGAGTACTGTACCTGCGTTAGCCCCTGCTGGCCTCCTGCTGAGATCTTGGGGACTGCAGTGATGATTTTCTGAGCCGTTCCTGAAGCCACTCCTTTATTTGTGAGGATGGTGATTGGACTGTTTCCACCTGGACATCCAAAATAAAATGTCTAAATTGAGTTGAACTGATAAATCATGCGTTCTAAGCATAGTCTTAGCTCACTGCAAATTAATCACACAAAAAAGTCAATACATAAGCACATTTAGGCTTAGTGTGTTTGTTTGTGTACCAGCGGCTCCCTGCAGGGCAGACATAGGGATGGTCTTGATGATGGTGGTCCCTGGTTTAGCTCCTGTTGGTGACACTCCCAGAATGGTGGGTTTGTTTCCGGCAGCTCCAGACTGTGCAGTGCTCAGTATTGTCGTCTGTTTACCGTCTGCGGAGGTCACCAACTTCAGGATTGTACCAGGAGGAAGGCCGCCTTTAGTCTATGAGAGCAAAGCACACAATAGGGAATAGGGTGTGGGTTAATAGAGATGTTACAGATTGTAAACATAAGTCAGCAGCTCCAGTTCTATCTGGATGGAAACAGCTTCACTATGCAAGACATAATTACACCTTACTTTTCACCAGTTTCTTGCATTTATTTTTTCTACTTATTTATTATTAATATTAATATTTTTGCTCTTTTTATTATAATATATTGTGTTGTGTGAGCTACTGTGACAAAATAATGTCCCTTGTGGTTCAGTAAAGTTTGTCTAAGTCTATATTTACCTGTAGAATCTGTGTGACAGGACTTCCTGCCTGTCCAGTCACTGCTCCACTCTGCACTGGTTTGGTCTGAACCACTGACACCACTTTACCAAGATTTCCCAGGTTTCCCAACTACAAAAAAGCTGGATATTAGCATAATGTCTAAAAAATATACATTTATAACTATAATTTATAAAGGTGTATGTACTCACAAGCGTGCCCCCAGAGCCCACACTCAGAGGACTGTTCACCAGTGTGATGGTCTTGGTGACTCCTCCCACCACTGTCGTCACCACCTGAGCCTGTTGGGACACTGTAACCGTGCCGGACTTATGCACAGTGATGATTGGCCGATTGGGTGTTCCAGGGGCAGAAACAACTGATGCCCCTCCCACCTGTGCAGCGGCAGTCTTCAACATCCGAGTGGCTGGGTTACTAACCTGTATGACACAAAAGTCATGACCCAGTTAAGACTCTGTGGTAAACTGAATTGTAGGTGTGTCATATTGGCAATTTATTAATCTGGCCACAATGTTAAGTCATCCATCTGTTGCACATTGATACTGCAGCATGTATCAGTGTAATTTATGGTTAAGGCAGAGTATTTAATAATGAAGCATCCATTGATTCACAGCCTTTCTGGTGTTAGATTGGAATGGGAGATGGATGCTTTATTGATCCTAAAACAATTTTATCTAGAGTTCAGACTGAAGTTAACTCCTTACCACTTTGACGGGCAGAGTGGTAGAGCCAGGGCTCACAGCCACAGTCTTGACAATAGTGGCTCCCGTCGGCACATTTAACACTGTCCCAGATGAAGGAGGGATCTTCTGAGTAGCTGCTGCAGCTGCAGCCAGAGCCGCCATACCGGACATCTGAGGGTTGGTGCCGATTGGCTGAAATCAAAACAAATATATGAACATGATGCAAAACTCATCTGAAGGCAAGTCAGTCTGTTAATTACCGTTCCTTGCTGTGTGGTCTGAGCGGGAACCACCATGCGAACTCCAGCAGGAAGAGTTGTCACAGCAACAGGGGATTTGGGAGCGGCCTGTCGGACCGTTACAATGGAGGCTCCTGTGGCCCCTCCAGGAGATGCTGCTACCTTCAGGACAGCTAAAAGAAATAATACATTGTGCTTAAACCTGTAAATTGTGTTACTTTAAAGTGATTTTTATGAATAGGCAAACCAATTTTAAGTCTAGACCAAATCAAGTGGTGTACCTGGTTTATTAGGTGTGGTCAGTGCACTTCCAGTCGCAGCTGCAGGGACCAGTGTGATACCAGTGGGTGGTGTAGCTGGAGTGGGCGTTGTTGGGGAAGGCGTTGCCGTGGGGACAGGGTTGGCAGCAGGACTTGGGGCAGGGCTTGTAGGTGTGGTCTGTGGCAGGTCATACTTCTGCAGCTGGAGAACATATGTATCTGCAGTTTGACAGGGGCCCCAGCTCACCTCCAGAGACGAGGTGTTAGCTCGAACCAGCTGTACACGGGACGGAGCACACGGACGCTCTGGAATAAAGGGCACAGCCATTGTCACATATTAGGAAGAAGTTCAAAATTATGAAATGTACCATTACTAATACATTTGCATGTTCCACAATCAGGAGGAGAATAATAACAGTGATTACACTGAGAACCACCCATTTATTCAGTTAATGCCAAAATGGTGTATATAGTTTTCATATTGACTAAAGGCCTAAAATGTCCAGGTGTGAGGTTTTCAATATAAAATCTTAAATCATAAAATCCCATATAATCCCCTGCTCACCAGTCTCCAGGTACCACAGGTCTTTGCAGCAGACCTGGTTGTTCCAGGCCTTTCTGTATCCGTCTCTACCGCTCCAGATGAACAGACGAGAGTTTATGGCCACACTGCAGTGACCTGCTCTGGCCCGGGGGATGTTCTCCTCCTGTGAGTCCATCACTACAGTCTCCCAGTTCATTGTTTCTAGAGATAAATAAAATTATAATTAAGATATGACACTGATAACTTCCAGTAGTCAGTAGAGCCTTGGGTTTCAATGCCAAAATACAATGGGGAAAAAAAAACAAAAACATTGAAACATTCCAAACCCTTTCGACAATGAGATGATAATATATTTCAAGGGGCATTCCAATAATACATTTCAAAGTTCAAATTTCACGTTGTACTGGTCGTGTTTTTGGAACGGAGTAATTACATAAACTAGCATCCATCTAATTATTACAAACACAATTATAAGACACCATTAACTATACATCGCTAAACTACATTTGTACCTAAATTGAGACAGGCCAAAGTGTTGGTGCACTTCCATTCCTTCTCATGTGTGGCCACTTTGACATCCTCCATCACCAGAGGGACCCACCCCCCGAACACGTACATCCTAATAAATGGAAAAACAACATTACTGATCAGACATTTACTGCTATCAAGATTTCAGGCCCTCTGTGCAAACAAAACAACTTGGAATTTTTACAAATGATTAAGTGAAAATAATTTACTTGTTGTTGATGATGGTGGCAGAATGCAGGCTGCGAGGGAGAGGGGCTGTTCCTCCAATGGATGGTTTGTTCCATGTCAAAGTCTACACACACACACACCAAAAAACAACAACATTATTATCAAAATTACAAAGCTGTCCACAAAGGTCTTGACTGGGTTTCAAGTATTGCACAGAAGGTTAATGGACCATACAATTGAACATGCATGCAATACCAAGACATAAGAGCGTTAAGTATCCATCCATATCGCCCATCTTCATACATGAACAACATATATGTAACTTGTAATTATACTGTCACTGGATCTGATGAGATAAGCAGCCGAGCATACATCTGATCATCTCACCTATATCAAGCACCCAGAGGTCTCCAAGTCTGCAGCCACTCATGCCTCCATAGATAATGAGTCTGTTCCCAGTTTTTCCACTGGTGACCACCGCGGTATGGCTTTCTCTGGGTGGAGGGGGCCGGCCTGATGTGGCGGGGATATCCCAGCCCACAACACTGGAACCAGGCCGTAACTCCAGACAGTAAAGGTCATTCAGGTATCTACAGATAAATAAGAGATAGATAGGTGTAAGAATCAAGGAAATATTATGATAATATGCAATACGACCTTCTCCAATACTTTAGAAAGATGTGTTTAGACACCAGTTTTATTTCCCAATTTCAAATGGGCATGATTGACAGGTAGCTACTGGCTAATCAGAGACCCGCATAGTCTGTATCAAAATAAACATGGGTGCTTACAAGTAAAAAAAGAAAAGGGTCAAAAATAACACTGGATAGGGACTTAAGCATACCGATTACTGATTAATAAAAAGGGGAAGCATTAAGCTGTTCATCTAAGGCAAGAAGTTTGACGTTTTAAATGACCAATGAGTTCCTGTTTCTCCAAGTAGAAATGAATTTAGTGTACTCCATATTTTGCCCTCCAGAGCTCCAAAACACTGCCTACTTCTTTTTTAGTGATGCACATCATTCTTCATGAATATTGCTGAATATTTGTAGTCCTACAATCTTCATAAAACTTTATTTGATCATTTAAGAGACAAATCTTAAATTGCTTGTCAGTTAATCAGAGTAAGGACAGTAGAACAGTAGCAAGAGTAAGAACAGTAGCAACATTGAGCCTAATTTTCTTAAGAAATGTTTGCAACTTACACTTATACTGCGCCTGATTTACAAAGCGTTCTTAAGCAGCCAAAAGTCATCTTAAACGAGAGTTGCGCGTAATTCACCAACATTCACATACGAACACCAGGGCAATCAGTTACATTTCATTTACAGAAGAAGAAACCAGCCAATGTGGGCTTGGCGTCATGAATAAGGGGTGCAAGTGAACAAGGAGGTCAGACTACAGATACGAAATGTCCAAACACACACGAACACACACACACACACACACACGATGGGGTATATTTAAGTCACCAACTTATTAGAAATAAGTGTGGACTTTCATAGCTTATACTGCGTTTTCTGTGAGTCGCAATAACTGGTGGGGTGGGGAAGGGGCACGCGGCGCATGGAGAAAAGTGTGCTCTGGTCATGGGGGGTCATGGGGGGTGATGGGGCGTGGGGTGCTGAGTCTAGCATGTTTACCAGGTGCAAGGCTGTGGCCCATTGGGAGAGGACTGGGTCTGGGACAGACTGAGATTGTCAGTGCAGTATAGTCAGTCAGTTAGACCAAATAGATTTGCACCATAAAACTCAAACTTTATTGTATAACATATCTTTTGAAAATATTTAACTTACAGTTGTGTAGGATTTTTTTTTCTTGCATTATGACAGCAATAATACTCTAAAAAACTGTAGTGTAGAAAATTTTCAGTTAAGAACTAATTTTGTGAATGCCAAAAATGAGCGCTTCATAAATTAGGTCCTTTGTTTTTAGTTCATACAGCCTAGACCACTTTTCACTGTCAATAGAGAAGCAGATAAAGGCCCAGTACCACCTCTAAACATAAAATGATTATAAGTTGTGTATTAAAGGAAATATCAAGGCTACTGTGTACAATTTAGTTTAAAAAGTCCAAGACCTGTTACACTGACCTGGGTATGTTGTTCTTGGGATCCTCGCTGTCATTGGCCAGTCCTCCAAATAAGTAACAACGAGAGCCTATCAGAGAGAAACTGTGTCCAAGGCGGGGGCATGGGGGCGGGCCGCCATTCTTAGGAGCTTTGGCTTTGAGACGTTTCCACTCCCAACGACTTGCCTAAAAAGAGAAAAAATAAACAAATCACTTAATGTTTAGAGTGATTCCTTCTTATTGTAGAATAGTTTTTGGTTAATCGGTTTTCACAGTAGACTTTGAAACCGTTTGAAACTGGTTCTTCCTCCCATGTGCCACTTGGCTTAGTCAGTTTTCTATTGTAATTTAAATTGATAAACTCTTTTACTCATGTAATTATCACTTAACAACTGTCCTGAAAGTGACATGGACACAGATTCTTAACAACAGAGCAGGGGCCCAAGATAAACATGAAAGATGAAGAAAGAGAAAAGCGAGTTATTACCTCGAGGAAAAATATAATTTTACAATGAAATTTTCTAAGCAACTCTTTAAGGGCTGCACAAATCATACATTCCCTTTACATAAATAGACAAAACCGATTTTGGCCAAAGAAGGGTCTCATGTTTGAATGTACATAACCGGGTATGCTAAAATGATCCACAATCCCAGCCAAAAGAAACATGATAAATATTTGTTAGATTAAAGTTCAGATAAACATAAAGCGATCAGTGAAAGAGTTGGCCAATACAGCATGCATCCAAATAGAGCACTCCTTTTACTGCAATGGGAAATGCAGATTCTACAAACAAAGACTTCTCAAAACTCGATAGCACTATTCAAACAAAACTTCCCAAGACCAGCTACAGCTGTTTACATTGTATGTGAAGATTAAAAGTATGTGCAACTGGAGAACATCTTCATGGAGTACTTATTTTCTCCAAAAAGACACATTTTACATATTTCCTGTACCATTTTGATGTGGTTACTGCTATGTTCAACATTGTTTCAAAAATCAAATAGCTGTGATTAACCTCTTTAATTTGCAATCCTCACCTGCAGCTCATAGAGGTCGTTGCTGTACTTGCCGTACTCCACCATTCCCCCAAACACCAGCAGCCTCGTGCCATCACACACAAAGCCGTAAGCAGCACATCCAGGAGGAATGTCTCCTCTGACGGCTGGGATGAACCACTGGTTTGTAGCTAAGGCAAAAGACACATGAGTTATTACATTGAGAATAAAGTTGATGCAATGAAATTCTGTGAAAACACATCTTATAGAAGTGTTATACTAAGTGCATGAGCTTTATGAACCTTTAAGAAAGACTAAAAAGCTTCAAATCGTTACCACCACCTTGTAACACATAAATATTCTAGGTTATCTTCAACTACTGCAGCGTACTAGTTGTGCATAAGTGATTGTATAGTATAAGGGGAGAATCTCGTTGTGTTATGATTACAAATGAATGTGCTGTATTCACACATTACTGAAATTAAAATTACATTGTAATATTTAAGGAATGAATCTTAAATCTCAAAATATGTAATCAGATGCTGGCTGGAATAATACAAATCACATGTTTTGACACTGTGTTAAAAGTGAGGTTTGTTTGTGTTGAAAGGAAAAGGGGCGTGCCTCAGTGACGTACACTTTGTTTTTAGTAAAATCGCGCCATTTCTCTGTGAGCCGCAGCCAAAGCCAAAGCGCTAGCAGCGCCTGAGCTAAAGCATTTAGCTATGGGTGTAGTGGCTAATTTAGCACAAACTCAGATTACCACTCGTTTTACAACTAAATGTCGGAGTTCGAGTGCAACTGTTGATACATATGCACTCACAGATCAGACACGAACACAAAATATTAATTGGACTTCCAGATATTCAACACTTGCATTAAAACAGCTGCCAGCTAAAGCCCTGAAGCGGTTAGCTTTGCACGTCTCTGCTCTCCTTTTGCGCATCACGTTATTTCTGAATTAGTGACAAAGTAATTGTACCTGTATTATAAACGTGCAGCTCGTCCACGATGCCCTCGTTGCCTCCTCCAAACACCACCATCAGCTCCTTTATGGCGACAGCCCGATGTCCGTGTCGGGGCCGCGGCACTGGACCGCTCCAACCCAAAACCCGCTTCCACCGCGGCTGCAGCACCGCGGGCTCAGATGCCATGCTGCAGCTGTTTCGATCGGCTCCTGGGAGTCTTTCACGAAGGAGAGAAATCCAAGTTTAGTCCACGGTTGGATTGAAATGATAAAAATCCACCTCGACTCACTGACAGCAGGTCGGGGTTAGCGTTAGCCTGTTGATTTTAAGGCTAGGTGGCTAATCGCATGCAAATGAGCTTTCTTTACAGTCTGATAATACTTATTTCTGGTCCGGTTATCACAATTAAGACAGCCCAATCAGATTACCAAAAAGAAGATAACTGTAACTACAGTGAAAACAGTTAAAATGGAGCAGGTGAAGGGTTAGCTTTAGCTCGTTAGCTGATTCATCAAGCTATTTGAACGAGCCGCTAACGGTTGCCAACATGTACAAGCTGTCCATGAACAAAGTGAGCGAATGATCCGAGCCTTTGTCAAAGTTGCTTTTATATTTGCAAAAGTCCACCAGAATATCCAGTAATGAAAAGGTTACGAAAAACTAAAATAATCACTGATTTAGCTGTTAGCTTAGCACACTCTGCAGGGACGTTCCCAGGAAGCCGCCATTTTAGCTCAGCGAACGCTCTGCAGAATCGGTAAAATCCAAATCCAGATACTTCAAATCCATACGAACAAAAGTGCGTTTTAGCTGCGAAGCACTGGTCGCATAGCTCTCCTGTGCATCAAAGCAAGAGAGCGGCACCGAGGCTGGAAGCCGGGGTTAAATGTGCAGAGCGGTCGGTCTGTGCGCCGGTATGGAAGCCGCCATCTTGCTGCTAACAGCAACCGAATACAACAGAGCGCCGAGGGCTCCGGAGCCGAGCTAAAGGGGCTAATGCTAAGAGCAGAGCGGCCCACAGGCCACAGCAAACACTAACTCTACAACATCTGTGCCACACAGCGCAGAATCCTACTTTCAACTTGTTATTAAATGCTACGTGCTTGTTTTTTGTGTAAAAGGAGATATGAGAAATTATCTCTATTACTGCATGAATGTCTTATTTAGTTTTCAGTGGCATTTATATTCAAGACGTGAAGTGTGAAGTGATGCCACAACTTTTCCTTTCCCACAGCAGATTTGTGTTAGATCAGGTGCATATAGACTGTATATATAAATATACATATACATATTTATTTATATATATATATTTATATATACAGTCTATTGTCAGGTGTCATAAAGTTGAGATGAGTGTGAATGCAGTCAAATCACACCTGGGGCCAATCAAACAGCAGCCAATGAATCTTACAGCATGGGCCTTTATTTCCCCCAGAATCACTCTGAAAACAGGTTGGTACAGCGCATGGTTAGGGCAACATCATACAAACAACTTTTTACGTTTTTATTACACAGGTTCACCATAGTTGTGCAGATTACCGCTTAAGAGTGGAAACCCGTGTCCCGCTATCTTACACTTGTTTTGATTCACTTTTATGCTCCAGCTCAGATTAAAATTAATATCGCAATTATTATCTTGCTGTGACTAAAGTTGGATAAACCCTTGGGATTTAAGATCAATGGCTAACGCTACTGTGCAAACAAAATGACGCTGAAAGTGTTAATAATGGCTTGTGCATTCATTGTTTGTTTTCAGACCAAAATACCAACTCATGCCTTATTTTTTTGAGCTCATCGCTTGTGTTGAGAGAGTAGTGGACATCCGCCCCTTCTCTTTGGCTAATCAAGTTAGCAATACTTTTAGCAAACAAGCTTTAGCCTAACTTTAGACGTGCTGCATTGTGCCAAATCTATGTACAAAATATATGAACGAAATCGAGGATTAGTCGATTACGCAGAGGCGTAATATTCGACTGCTGTGCTGAACGTAAAATGAAAAAGAAACATTTGCTTTTGTTGACAGATTTCCCTCGGACCCTCCTTTACCAGACAAACATGGCGGCGCCGACCGTTAGCTGCTAGAATAAGCGGAAAAGGTGCGATTTGCGCGTTTTTCTCAATGCAATACTTACTTTTGAACTTCCAAATTTATGCGTTAAAGTCAGATAAGTCGGGCTTGTCTAGTAAAGCTACCACCACACGAGTAAAGGGTTTTAAAATCCAAATTATCAAATAAATGTATCCTTTCATGCCGCTGAGGAAGACGCCATTTTGTGTCTAACTTCTCCGAAGTGCTGCGAAACAGCGCCCCCGAAGGAAGAAGAGTGCACTTACACACTCAGTAAAAGAGATTAAAAACAGGGACAGATTGTTGTTACTAGTTATTCCCAAACAAAACTTTAAAAATGTTCCACAGTGTGTCATTAAACTTAAATGCAAAGATGTCTTAATGTTTAATTGCATTATTAAATTACAAATTTACTGCTTAAAATTACATTGGAACATGCATTCTCACGGAGAGGGGGTTGACTTTCTGTTGGACCCTGTAACTTGGCCTGGTAGCATCACCTGCTTATCTTTTTGAATATAAGATAAATTGGATGTCATACTTTTGGATGCCATACTTTCTAGGCAAAGCAACAACATCTCCATGGAGACAAGCAGGTGGCAGCTCTTCAACCAGAAAGAGAGAGCAAGCGAAAGAGAGAATGCACTGCATTTTTAGAGAAATACATTTAAGATGTCTGTGATGTCTGTGTATGTTGATGATCATGTGTTAAATAAATAACTGGTAGTGGCCAATAGTTAACAGGGATATAGCCAACATTACGGTGTATGACATTGGGCAGAATAAAATGGAAAAATTACAGTCTTTATTGCAGTTCATCAAAAATATAATCATTTTGGATCAATTTCCCATATAAAAACTACAAATACTTAGTTGGGTACATAACATGTGTCACGAAAATATGTTACTCATCAGAATCAATTCTATAGAATTATAAAGGCACTGATTGGACCAACATAACAAAATAAATAAACAATTAAGACTGACAACAATAAAAGTACCTCCCTATACAACTGCTAGTATAAATGCACCTACTGATTTAACCTCAAGGAGTCTGTAGAGAAGGAGGAGCTGGAGGTGAGCTTTCCTATTTGTGATTTCGTAACTATGTTTCTGTTGTCCAGCTTTGTTAAGTGCTGTATTCTTAGACTTAGAGTTGTTGTTTTTTTTTCCTTTTTTACAGGTGGAAATACTTTAATCACCCACTCATCTAACCCTCACATTGGCACAATTTAATATGTGATAAATGGCTACGGAGGGGAGATTATCTGACTATAGCTTGAAAGTAGTAGAGTCTTATTTATTGTCCAGTGTCCATGCAGCTTTACCTCCTGCTTCACAGTGCCACATTCCCAGATTTACTCTTGGCTTTTCATGCCAGTAAAAGAATAATAATGGTCTGTAGAACTAAGGATGATAAATATGTAAAGTTTCTTCAGTTTGTATTGTGTGGTAATGCTTTGACTAAATGTAACACATACAAATATTTGAGACATTTTATCACAGATGATATGTGAGATGATGAGGACATCTACAGATAATGTCACATGATGTATGCACAGGCTAAGATGCTCACGTGCAGGTTTGGTGCCTGGTCAGTGGAAGTAAAAAAGACACTTTTTAAAGTAAACTGTACTGCATTACATACGGCACACCTGTGGTCAAAGTACAAAAGGACAAGCATACGCAAACTCACTGTGGCATGTAATGACTGCTTAAGGATTCTATTGAAAAGGCAGAGATAGGAAAGTGCATGTAACCTGTTTGTGTCAACAGGCATCAGAACTTTTCAGGCAAATATGCGTTGTTTAATGCACTGATTTATCTGTCACTTTAATGACTGTGAGAACAGTATTATCATGAGCCTAACTGATGGCAAACTCAGTACCACGAGGTACCAGTCTGACCTATGGAGACACCGGCACAGCAGTTTGCTGTGAATATTGTGTTTGAGTGTGTTTGTCGTGTCTTTTTTTAACTCTAAACCAAGAGTCTGTAATACAAGTTTGATGATGATTACATGTTGCCTATGTCATAGTTAGGTACTATACATAATCACATTCACAGTACTGATACAATAGCCTTTGGTCTCCTATACTACTCCAAACCAACATGACCTGCACTGTACTGCCCTCTAGAGGAGAGGTCCCTAGACAGCCAGACAGTTAGATAATGTAACCTATTTAATTACAGATCACACATCTTTGGTCCAAGTTCAAGGTGGATTCAAGGCAGCTCTGCTCAAGTGTTTTTAAACAGAACTGTGGCAGAGATGGGAATATTATTGTGTTTTGGATTGAAGATATTCCAGTTCATCGCTCTCCTCTGGCAACCTCGACTCTGCTGGACTCCTCACCAAATCTACAAATAATAACATTGAATTCAATTTAAGTCAAGACAATGATGCACAAAAGATGAAAAATGCTCAAAACACAAAATACCGCACCTTTCGATTTTCGATAACATTTTAACGTAAGAATGTTGATAAAATATATTATAATGAACTAAAGGATAATTAATGTTTTTGAAAGAAATATCCAAACTTATGGTCTATAAATGTTGAACCTTAGCAGTGTTTTTACACAGTTTGATCCACAGAGTTTTACGACTTGAAGTTCTTTAAACTGACAAAAAAGTTACATCTTTGGGGTTGCAAAATAGCACCTCTTTCTGAGGTTAGTGTGAATTTTTGCCAAAAAAATAAATAAATAAATAAAAAAAAAAAAAAAATATATATATATATATATATATATATATATATATACTTTTTTCCTATAAGTTCAGTTTTAAGTGGGGAGAATAATTGTTTCTTTCTTTCCAAGCACATATTTCATATATTTTTTTTTTGTTATGAAACTTTTTAGAGCATTCCTACTCTTTAGCATGAGGTGCCAATATTTCTAGAGGTCACTAGTATAAATTATCAGATCTAGAAATAATTATTAATATTCTTACAGAGATCCTCAGAGAGCAGTTCAGGCGTCCGAATCAGGCCCTGGTTGTACTGAGAGGTCTTCTCCAGCAGTCGCTGTTTACTGGGATTCAACACAACTGTGACACACAGAGACACGAGGTTAGTGACTGATCTGGGGCGCTTTCATTCAGAATACAAAGCAACAATGGAGCAGCAGTGGATCAGTTGATTGGTTCAAATTCCAGTTGTGTCCTTAGGCAAGACACTTAAACTGCCTTGCCTCCAATGTCTGTAAAGGTTTTCTACCACATCTATCTTTTTTTTTTTTTCAATAAAACCATTTCTTAAACTTTAGATTTGTTCCTCTTCCATTGAAGGACTTCAAAAAGCCAAAGACTGAGTGGGAGGGCATCAGGGCCACAGCTCCAGGAGATGCACCACATTCAGTCAGACTGTGCCGTCTGCCAAAGGGAATCATTACTGGAACAGTCTTGTGACAATAAGAGAAAGTTCAACACTGTCCACTTTCAAACTGCACCTTAAACAGTAGATGAAGTAAAACCAAGTCTGCAAACGCTTTTAATCTGTTCTTTTTGCTGTTCTTTATTATGTCTCTTTATAACTGTTTTGTGTTTTATAATTGTTTTCTGTGTTAGCATCTTTCCAAAAACTGTAATTACAGATGCTCATTAATATGCACTGTCCCTATTAAATAAACACATTAAAAATACAAATATTTAATTTCACCCATCTATTTGTTTACCTGAGAGTGACTGCAATGATCCAGCCGGAGAGGTGCCTTCTGGAAATGCTGCTGCCTCGTTCACCATTGGACCCATAATTTCAGAAGAAAAGTTGTACTGATCCTCTGTGGGCACAGAGGGCTGGGTAAAGCGACTCAGGTCAGACTTGGGCTGGCTTGAGCCTAAACCATTGGACTTGATTTCGTACTGCGAATACCCTCTGCTCTCATCAGTCTCACAGGGCCCGTCAAACGAAGAGGGTGGCAAGGAGGAGCCGTGAGAGGGGAGCTCTGTGGGGGTCACTGTAGTGGAGTGGAGAGTCTGTGGTGGGGACAGAGAGCTCTGTTTGGGGCAGAAAGTGTGCTCTGATGGGCCTGCTTTACTGAGGGACAGAGCAGAGAAACAGGAGTCCAGTGAGCGGGGGGGTCCTGGGGGAGGAGGTGATGTGGCAGACAGGTGCAGGACAGAGGGGAGAGATAACCGGGATGTGCCGGGTGGTTTCAGAGATGTATGGAGGTCGTGCAGAGCCTTATAAACCTGAGAGAGCGAAAGAGAAAGGAAAATACATGAGATCTAAAACATTACAGTAATACAGGCCTATTAAATTACTTCAGTAACTTATATCACAGAGCATTGAAGGGACAGTCTGGCTAACTAGGAAATGAGGTCCTATGTTCAGTGTTGGAGACGTGTGGAGACACTTTTTAAAATATTCCATCCAGTCCTTGTATTTGCAGAGGTCGCTGGTGCTAGGCTAGTGCATGTCAATGGCCATAGTTATCCTGCCACTAAAAACAGCCTTACCCACTCCACAAAACACCCGAAGCAAAACTATTATTACACCAGACTGCCGATGTGAATGTCTGTGTTGTTAGAACAATGTTTGAAATAAAACCAACCTTGCATTTGAAGGATTTATGTCTGAGAAGCAGCAGCGAGTTGTACTTTCTGATAGAAAGCTTGGCAATGGCGGACTGATATCACCTAGAACCTATCTTACCGGCAAAGTAAAATTCCGCTGCTACTGAGAAAATAGTCCCTCAACATGCGACGATTCATGTGATGCAAGGTTAGTTTTATTTCAAACACTATTCTATCAACACAGACATTCAGATCGACAGTCTGGTGTAATAATAGATTTGTTTCAGGTTTTTTGTGGAGTGGGTAAGCAGGATAACTATGACCATTGACATGCACTAGCCTAGCACCAGCGACCTCTGCAAATATAAGGACTGGATGGAATATTTAAAAAAGTCTCCACACGTCTCCAACACTCTGGTTCACTAGGAAATGATGTCCAAAATTCCTGACTGTCCCTTTAAGGTGCAAGATGTTTAGAAATGTTAATGTTAATTTAAAGGGGCCATATTACACTATTTTCTGATCTATGTTATAATGTTGTTTCCTCAACACAAACATGCCTGGAGTTGTGTTTTATTTCATTCTCACCTTTTTAAACACACAAATCCTGCATATTCAGGCTTTCTTTCTTTTTTTTACTCCATACACCTTCACTGGAAGCATTTGGATAATTTCAGCCCTGGAATTGCCAATCTCTAAGGCAAAAGGTATCTGTTAACTTGAATAATACTGCTTCATGACATCACAAGGTGGAAAAGGGCATTCTGAGCTTTGGAGATGTAGACGTACTAATAATAAAGGATTACTCAAACATGTGTGAATGAAACGAAACATAACTCCGGGCATGTTTATGAGGAGGTAGCAATGTTCTAACATGGCTTAAAATTCACAAGAGTCACGTTTGCATAATATAGAACCTTTAATAAACTATAATCAGGATCAATTAATAGACATTATTTATTTCTATTATTCCTTTTATAGCCTGACTTAAAAGGAGGCATGGCAAAAGCTCTCAAAATGATTATGTATCTCTATTCATCCAACCCAAACTGGACTCGCAAGTATTTATCCAGAAAAAGTACTTGGAAACACTATTTATCTGAAGACCAAATCTTCAGCTAACTCACTCACTAACTTCTCTTTTCTGGTGTTGTCCCCTATAAATCCTTACAATGTTAATGAAATAATTAATCAACTAATGCAAATTTTGGTCAACTAAGATGCCATCAACTGATTCAACGATTAAACTACTAAAGGCTAAAGCCATCGTAATAACAGACCTTTATCATGGACGGCCTCTTCTTCCATTTGTCCAAACAACTGCGAGCCAAAGACACCACCTGCATAAAGCCGCTGGGCTCAGCAAGGCCACCTACAAGCAGATCAAATGCCAAATGTTAAAAACAATAACACAAAAACTGTACAGAACGACTTGCAACTTTAAAGGTGCACTACGTAGATTTTTGTTGGGGGTCTGTCACCTGCTTGTTCTACCTGGATTGAATTACAGGTGGTTTTAGAGCTTAAAAATACCTAGAAAAACAAGCAGTCTGACTGTGAGCGGGATTGCCGCTCCACAGATCTGACCTGTTACTTGATCTGGTTTGGCCTAAACGGAGGTAGAAAAGGTTTAATGCCATACTGTGATACATTCCAGACAAAGCAATGACGTCTCTACAGAGAAAAGAATTTGAAAGACCCACCACCCAAAAGTTACACAATGCAGCTTTAAAAACACAACACTGACATGAGATGAGGCGCTCGTCCAGTTGTCTCCTCCACTGTGCTTCAGTATCCTCAATGTCATTCACCAACTCCTTCTAAAAAACACAAATAAAATATGTATTTAAATTCACAGTTAACAATAAGGATATATCACCATTGTTAAAGGTCCTGTATTACACAAAAGTGACTCTTATGAGCCATGTTAGAATGTTGTTACCTAACTGGAGTTGTATTTTGTTTCATTCACACATCTGAGGAATCCTTTATTACTAGTCTGGCTACATTTCCAAAGCTCAAAATGCTCTGTCCCACCTTGTGATGTCATGTACTGGTCATTTTCAGGTTAACAAACACAACACCAGGAAACAACACAATAACATATCAAAAAATGGCATAATATGGGACCTTTAATGTTAGAGAAATTTAAGTAATTATTTTGTCTAGATATCTCAGAATCAAGTGTCAATATTGTTTATTTCAAGCTGAAGGTGATTATTTAATATGAGAATTAAAAAAAAACTGACAACTGAAAATATTTTAATGTTAAAGACCCTACAGAGAAGAAAAAAATTAAATAACCCTACTAAATATTTTTTGACAAAGCAAAGAGTGGCTACTTTGAGGATTTTAATATATATATTTTTTATGTATATATTTAGTGGTTATTAATTTTTTTCTTCTTTGCTACATAATTCTATACATCTTGCTTCATATATTTGATATCATTCATATGTATATCAAATGTAGAAAGTAGTAAACTTGAAAATGAAAAACAAATGAGAGGGTGTGTCTAAACCATAGACTGTATATATAAATGGACATGGCTAATGCGCTAGCTGCCGCGTTCCAAACAGCGTTGACTTACACTGGAACATTGTCTGGCTCCAAATTCGCTCTTGAAACCACTAGCATCACAAGTGTCATTTGAGTGGAGTTGAATGCTATGAGTGACGTCACACTCACTTAGTTCACTTCTTTATACAGTCTATTTTGACTAGTCTTGTATTTGCTACTGATATCTAAAGAGTGAAATGTTACCAGGTAGATGTCTTGTCCTGTTTTCTTGTCGCTCTTTAGGGCTCTGCGGCCTGTTAAAATCTCCAACAAAACCTAAAAACACATGAACACATTAGAATCTGCACATCTCACCTCATAAATTACATTTCCCAAAAGGCCTCACCACTCCAAAACTGTACACGTCCACTTCAGTCTTCAGTTTACCATCTCGTATGTACTCTTCAGGCAGATAGGCCAAAGTCCCTCTCACCATTTGGGTTTGACCAATGGAACAGGTCCGAGCCGCCGTGTGACCTGAAGAATCACGAGATGCGAACCGGGCCAAACCAAAATCTGCCAACTTTGCCTCGAAATGGTGGTCCATCAGAATGTTAGAGCTTTAGGACACAATAATAAAGATGTTTATGTGATGCTGTTCTGCTTGGTCATCAAATCTTTTGTGTAATGTGAGTTACCTCTTGACATCTCCATGCACTAGAGGGGTCTGTCCCTCTGGAGGACAGTGGAGGTACTGCAGGGCAGTGGCTGCTCCTTTAACAATGGAAACTCTTTGACACCAAGACAGGCCCATACCATCCTAAGTAAGAATTTTGGTATTATTAACATTATTTATTTATGTAAAAAGAAAGCATGTACAGTTAGAACATAAATTTTGCCATTTGAATCACTGTACCAGAGTATAGCCTTGGGATATAGAGACTGAATAGCAAGGGACCTAACACAGACCCCTGGGGCATTGCCATTGTGCAACAAGTAATTTGAGCTGACATCCTTGATTTTGACACAATGCATCCTACTGGACAATGTGATACATATAATATAATATATAATACATGAAGACACCCATAATAATTAAACAGAGTGTATCAAAAACAGCCTTTTGACCACACACTGCAGTAAATACTAATGACTAGTTAAGGAGCCATTCAACTTCAGTTAATGGTTTGTATCCTATGGATAGCGTGGCTTACCGAGCCATGCTATCCTTAGGATACTACTGAATGTGACACTCAGACAGACAAAGACATGTATGAACATTTGGAGTCAAAAAAGTATTATTGCCAGGCATGGCAAAAGTAATCCCACCTGAATGACTATGAGGTCAAATGTGACGAAAATCTGGCATTGATAAATATTGATTTGTGTTATCATGTGGCATGTGATTTTCCCTAGACCCCAAAAGAAACTTTAAGCTCTTCTAAATCTGAGCAGTGGGCCAAAGCTTTGAGACAGGAAATGGACTCACTGATAGAGAATGAGACGTTTGAATTGACTACTTTGCCTGGGGGTAAACATGCAGTGGGGGGACAGATGGGTTTATGCCATTAAAGAAAATCCTTTTGAAACAATCTATAAGGGCAGATATGTAGCAAAAGGCTATAGTCAAGAGGCTGGAATTGACTATTACGTATGAAACCTTTTCACCTATTGCTGACATGACCTCTGTTCGTGTTCTGATGCAGCTTGCAGCTCAGTACAGTTTAGAGCTACATCAGATGGATGTTAAAACAGCATATCTCCCGGCTCCTATAGACCTTCAGATTTATATAGAGCAGCCTGAAGGGTTTGAGGTCAAGTCAAAAACAGGAGAAAAACTAGTGTGTAAGCTCAATAAGTCATGTCATGTATGGCCTGAAGCAGTCAGGACAAAATTGGAATCAGATGTTGCATGACTTCCTTGTTCTAAATGGTTTTGTTCAAAATACTGCTGACTATTGTGTTTACTGTAAAACAGCTGGAAATGAAAGGGTCATGTTGATTATTTGGGTTGACGCTCTTATCATTGCAGGGAGTGATGGTCAAATGCTCAGTCATGTGAAGAAAATGTGAAATGTGAAGAAAAATTCCAAATCAAAGACACTAAGACACTTCCTTGGCATTGATTTTCCCCAGACAAAAAAGGAAATCAAAATGAATCAGAAGAGGTACATTACAAAAATTCTTGACAAATTTGATATGACCCACTGCAAACCAAGGTCAACACCATCTGAAATGAAAATGAAACTTGACATTGAGGGTGATGCTGCTGATCCAACAAAGTACAGTGAAGTGGTAGGCAGTTTAACCTATGTAATGACATCTGCTCACCCTAACCAGTAACACAGGCGTAGTGTTACTGGTTACTGCTTTAGCTTGTCTGAGACCTATTATCGCCTGAAAATCTAAGTACAGCCCACAGTCGCTTTATCTACATGTGAAGCTGAATACATGGCTCTGTCAGCTGCAGCTCAGGAGAGCTTGTATCTTGTGAACTTACTTACCAGAATGGACAATAACTTGAACTTACACCTGTGACAACTTTCGAGGACAATCAGGGTGCAATTGTCCCATCTAAAAACCCTGTGTGTCACCAAAAGTGTAACCACACTGATGTCAGAGACCACGTTGTTTGATCTGTGATCTCTGATGGCAAAATAACTCTTCATTATTGTTCTACAGATGAAACCTAAACCTGTTACTAAAATAAGGATGGATAAATTTGGATGTTTTCCATTTGGTATGTGAATGATGAATTGTGAAATTTGGGAACTTTAAAATGTACATTATGTTTGTATGCTGTGAATTCAGGAACAAGTGGGGGTGTTAAATATTTGTGTCTGTCGTTAATTGACCCAGTGACCCACTTTTGGGTGTGAGTGGGGCTACACATCAGTGCACAATCTGAATAAATGGCAACAGTTCACTTCCATTGTGAGTGCATGCAGGCGAAAACAAATTCATATCTGGATTATATTTTGAACGCACCCATAATATCTTAACAGAATACATTAAAAAAACAGCCTTTTGACAACACACTGCTGTAAATACTAAAAGTGACTGGTTAAGGAGCCATTCAACTTCAGTTAATGGTTTGTACTCTATGGATAGTGTGGCTTACCAAGTGTAGTCGGTCATCCAGAGATCTGTTCTCCATGAAGCTGTAGATGAGACACAATGTCCCTCCTCCATCACTGTAGCCCAAAAGATCAACGATATTGGGGTGTCGGAACCTGGAAAAAAATAAAATAAAATAAACTCCCAGAGACAGACGTGAGACAGTCCTCAATGTCAAAGCAGAGGATTTTCAGTCATATGTTTAGCTGTGCATTTGACTGAAAGGTGTTTATTCTCTTTTAATGCTACCATATTTTTTGGACTATAAGTCGCACTTTTTTTTCATATTTTGGGTGGTCCTGCGACTTATACTCTGGTGCAACTTATATATTAAAATTTTCATAATGACAGCCGCGAGATGGCGCTCTAGGCTTGTGTGTCAGTATCTAGTATTACTATTACTCCTGTACATGCTCCTGCACCACTGTCATTTCGCCCTTTACTGCACATGCCTCCTGCAAAAAAAGCTGCTCTTCTTCTGCAAGTAGTGAAATGCAGCAGAAAACGGTAATCAAGCAGCAGAGAGAAAGTTTGGAGTGAGTGTGAGGTTTATCTCCAGAGGTCGTGGAGAAGTGACACTGAGGACGAAGAATTGAATGGATTTAGTGATTTGGAGTGAGATGGAGAATTTTGTAAACTTATGTTATGTTGTTTATGCTATAATTATCTGAATAAATGTTCATATGTTATGTTAACATATTAACGCATATTCAGCCTGTTGTTCTCTGTTCTGTTGTTATTACTATAACTTGCCTTTCAAGGTGAAATGTCGGTTCCTGGTCTCTGATTTTATTAAATACATTACCCCCAAAAAGTGCGACTTATAGTCCAGTGTGACTTATATATGTTTTTTTCTTCTTCATTGCGTATTTTTTGGCTGGTGCGACTTATACCTCAGAGCGAGTTATAGTCCGGAAAATACAGTAATTTTATTATGATTATTTATGTTTAGATTTTTTTGTATTGTGATTTTAATTTCTTTCTTATTCTGTAAAGCACTTCAAATTATTTGTGTTCTACAAATAAACTTGCCTTGCCTTACCACTATTTAACTTGATAATGCGTGTATAGGATTATTATTATACTTTCCTATTTTGTAATATATGAATGCCTTTAGTGTCGCATCTTAAAAGGCATCATTATAGAAATTTGTCTAATGACTTCCTGTTCAAAACTAAACTATATTCAGCAGAGTATCACATTGTAGCGAACAGCAGATTTTGCCCGTTTTGAAAATTGGCTAAGCAACATTTTAGAGCCCTATGTGCACTACCTGAAGTCTAAACTGTTTTTTTTTCTTTACAAATAAGTACATAGCAATGGAATAGGTTATAGGTGTAACATTTTAACATTCAAGCTTCAAATGCAGAACAATGCAGGTTTACTCAATGGCAGTTTTAAGTAATCTCAACTCAACTTTTTCTTTTCAATAAATTCAGTACAGCTTTAATCATTTTAATGAATTAGACAATCGAAAGATGTATCCCAATCATATGATTTCTTACCATTAAAAAAATTATATTATGTATCCTTTTACATCAGAATTATCATTTACTTTAATGCCATGAAAGAGATAGAGATTCCATTAGAGCCTGCTGAAGAGACCAGTCAAAGTCTCTAATATATCACCATTCATACATGGTCTCAGCTGTGCGGTGTTATCAGTAAAAACAAACCAAAGTGACTCACTTTGAGAGTTTCTCAACTTCCGTCTGAAAGCTGTCTCTGAGCAGACTCCAGTCCAGTGGACACTCCTGAAATATCAACAGGTATTAAACTGTAAACAAACATCAAAAATGGCTCTTTGTCCTGATGATTTTTACAGTAATGCCAACTCCCATTGGGCACTGCAGTTTTCCAGCGTGGAAGTCAGTGGACAGTTTCTTTTATTAAGTCATTTTAAACCAATATTGGATTTATGTCCAAATTACAACATAATGATCCACAGGTCCACATCATAGATTATAACTGTATGGCAGACACCAGTGCAATACGTCTTCTTTAAGCACTACAAGTCAGTCGTTAGTTTGGAACAGCAAATGGTCCACACCACAGCAAAAAACAGCTATGATATACTTAAGCTGTTCTGCCGCTCCCATAACTAACCATACAACTTGCTAACTTGGTGACTCTCCATATGGAAGTTTTGTACCTGCTTGATTTTTTTGACAGCACAGTCCATGTTCCGCAGGTTGGCTCTGAAGACCTCTCCGAAGCCCCCTTCCCCAATCTTCAGAGAGGCACAGAAACCACAAGTCCCAGCATGCACCTCTTCATAAGCCCAGGACATGACTCCTGATGTGTAGATTCCAAGAGAGACTGCTGCCGCTGAGTCCAAGAGAGGCTGAGGAGAGAAGAGGTCTGGGTAAGTCCTGGTTTAAGTTAAGTACTAATCTACTCAGTCTCATATATTTTCTGAATAGTTTTAGGCTTCTATCCACTATGAAGATTATACATGTACATTATCCATTATATAAAAATTATGCTTTATGGTATTAAAATTTATACTGAGTATTGAACTTGGTACCAAAATTGTGTCTTTATTAAAGTTTGATTTGAAAAGTATCTGTTAACATTTGATTTAGAAGTTAATGTAGTTCCAATTGAAGTCATTTGAAGGACAAAAAAAAACAACATTAAATAATGTACAAAATCTGCTATTTTTAAAGGATAGACACAAAATTAGAAAGACTTAATCATATCTGAAAGAGCAGAGCAGGAAACACAAACATTAATATTGTCAACATAAAGCTTTTGTCACCTCTAGACTTAGAGTAAAAAGAGTAACCAACATTTTTACTCAAGTAAGAGTACTATTACTTCTTCTCTTTACTAAAAATGAGTATGGTAAATGTAACTAAGTACCCAGGAAGGATCTCATTTTCAAGGGCATCCAGAGTACACAGTTAAAAACATAATATTTACAATTAATAAAATGCATAATAGCATGTATATTCAAATATTTGTTGAACCTATAGTCCACAAGGCATTCAAATTTCTGTGTTCCACCTTGTGATGTCAAGTAGTGGTAGTTTTCAAGTTAATAGCTACCTTTTACCTCTAGTTCAGTAAAGTCACATCTTTCTTTAGTCCTCCAGGTACTAGCAGCTCTATTTGAAATGTGGCTATGAGCAGAATTTAGGTGCTTGGTTCCATTAAACACAATGTGTGTGTTTGGTTCTGGATTAAGCTGAGTGTAATTGCAGAGCTGTGTACTGAGCATTTGTGGATAGGTTTGCTATCCTCAAACACTGAGGAAAGAAGTCCGGTCCAGGAACTAACACCCCTGGAAGACAGCACTCTGGTTAGAGAGCTGCGTGTAGAGTTGGAGCGGACAAGGGCTCAGCTTGAAGGTCAGGTCCAAAAAAATTTTGTTTTGGAATGCAAGTCTAACACTGAGGGGAAGATGGCCAAAGAAAAGGCCTTGGAGCTCACTAATGCTCTTCAGGAGAAAGACAAGCAACTACAAGAAGAGGTTAGAGCACATAAGCGGCTCCAGTACCTGTATAAATATAAAGTACAGGAAAATGAGCAGTTAAAACAAGAGCTGGCCAACTCCCGTGAAGTCAAGGGAAAGGTAAACGAAAAAGACTTGAAGTGCAAAAACTCACCAAAACTCTTCAGGAGAAGGACAAGCAGCTACAAAAAAAAGTTAGCAAATATAAGCAACTTTATGAACTGTATACTTCTATAATAATGGAAAATGTGGAGCTAATACAAAAGATGAACTCCAATGAAGTCACAGAAAAGTCTGATGAAAAGTTGCAAAAACTTTCTGCTACGCTCCAGAAGAAGGAAAAGCAACTACAAGACCTAGAGAACACACATAAAGAGATCTGGTACCTGTATAATGTTAAAGCACAGGAGCACGTGCAACTAAGGCAAAAGTCAACTTCAAAAGAGTCAGGGAAAAAACGAATGAAAAAGACTTGGAGTTGAAAGCACTCAAAGACCTCCTGACAAAAGAGAAAGAGCTGGAAAACGAGGTTAGTGTGTAGAAAGAAATAAGATGTCTGTACAACAAGTCAGTGGCAGACACAGTAGAGCTCAAACAAGAACTGTTCAACACCAGAAAAGTCAATGAGAAGTTGAAAGAAAAACTTAAAGATGTTACAATGGAGACTCAAACGACTTGTAGTGATGTTGGTGGAGATCAAACCAACAAGGTAAATGAAAAACTGTCCAGGAGAGTGCAGGAGCTGACTTCTGAACTCTTTTCAACACGAGAGGAGCTGCATCTCCTGAAGCTCCGTGAACGTGAAAGAGGACAGGGATTCAGCCGCCCAAAAGCAGCGGCCATAGTGGAGCAGCAGTGGAGGGGGCCCAGGTGTCAACCGCGCTAAAGCACCTCCAAACATTACACTTTACATGCATTAATAAAAATAATGACTAAAAATATTTTAAATGTGTGCTTTGGCCTTTATTTAGTACTTATTTGTGTTTTATAGATGTTTTTTTTCACATAGTTTAATTCACATGCCAGACACATGGAATACTGCGGTGGCTTGTTTTTTATGCAGAAATGGGTAAAGTGAACGTACAAAAAATAATACATTACATGATAAAAGAAATCAACAGAGTAAAATGGGAATGTGAATGTTCACTTTTCCGCCTCTAAACTATGATTTACTGCCTGTTGGAATCAAATGTAATGAGAAAGAGAAAGATACAGCTGAACAATATATCTTAAACATACTAAAATTGCATATAATCAATAATGACAAAAATAAAAATACAATACAAAGTTCCCCATATGAAAAAAAATTTGTTTTTTGATGCGTAGATGTGAAAATAGTAGTTTTTATTCGCAATTTTCTCTTAAACCAGTAAACCAGTTAGACCAGTTTGGTCTTAATATAAGTTTTAATTTTGCTCAACTTATTGAGTCGAAATGTAAATATTGCAATGATATAGTTTGAGATACAACATGTAGTTATCAAATATCTTTATCTCATATCATGCGGCTCTTATTAAATGTATCAGACTACACACTGCATTCATGTTTACTCTGTGTGAGACTGCATGATAGTTTGGTGTCATAATTGGTGGTCATAATTTCGTGGACAAAACTGTTGGTACCTCTCTGGTAATGAAAGAAAAATCAACAATGGTCACTGAACTAACTTGTTCGAAGAAACTGTTAACGATCAATTGTTTAGGGTGTTTTTACACCACTAGTTCGATTATTTGGTCTGCACCAGGCAAGAAAATTATTATTATGTAGCATACAGACTCCAGTGTGGTCCACTTTCACACTGGCAAACCAAACAAAATTGGTCCGATTGACAAGCCTCCGTTTCTCAGGAGAACAGCGATACCTCCAATTACCAATATCGATGTTCCCTGTTAAGACCACAGGCCTCATCTCAAGTTATCATCATGAACTCATAAAACAGCAGCATGTAGAACTTTATACAAACTCACGGGACATCAGTCCGGAGCAGAAGCTCTGAGCTTGGGTAACAGCAGCAGCCAACAGCGCTAAAGACATAGGACACTCACCGTAGCGCGCAGCCCCTGAGGACGGGGCTGGGGGTCTGGTCCTTGGTCTTGTGCCGTACTCAGAGTGCGTTGGTCAGATGGTCCAGAGGCTCCATCCTCCATGTGCTGGTTCCAGACGAGGGAGAGTAAGACCAGTGCTTGATGGACTGGGTCCGTGCCGTCCTCTGCGTGCTGGTTCAGTGCGGGGAAAGCGAGAATGCGCTGTGGATTACAGGTCCAGACGGGCTGCTCTGGTCCTCCACGCTCAAGAACTGTGGCAGGTCCCGAGGTGTTGCAAAGCATCCGGACAGAAGCGTGAATCCAGTTTGGTTGTTATATATTGTTCTGAGCGTTCAAGCGCCATTATTGGCAAAATAATTTGAAAATGAATCTCGGCTGCATCTGGACAACAATCTGTTATTGCGCTGGAGTCGTACAGCGCATCATTTCAGACAGAGGAGATGCGTGTCCCCTCCCATGATGCATTTCAAATAGTCTGTTTGGACCTACTGTCTATGATTTGGACCCGAGTTTGCATTCACGCCAGAAGAACCGCACCAGAGTTTGGCATTTGGTGCAGATTCAAGCGAACCGAGACCGCCTCTTTTTTGAGGTCTTGGTCCACTTGATTTAGTGCAGGTCCAAGTCCGACTGATGCTTTCACACCAACGAAAACAAACCAAACTAAGAGCTTCTGGTTCGAATAGACCATTTGGTGTGCACCAACTACTGCTGGTGTGAAAGCACCCTAGGGACCATCTGACCAACGTGCTCGGAGTACGGCACAAGAGCCAAGGACCAGACCCCAGCCCCATCCTGAGGGGCTGCGCGCTACGGTGAGTGTTCTGTGTCTTTAGCGCTGTTGGCTGCTGCTGTTACCCGTGCTCAGTGCTTCTGCTCCGGGCTGATGTGTGGTGAGTTGCGTACAAAGTTCTACTCTATTGGTAATTGGATCTATCGCTGTTCTTGCGGGAAACAGAGGCACGTCAGTCGGACCAATTTTGGTTGGTCTGTCGGTGTGAAAGCGGACCACACTGGAGTCTATAAGCTACATAATAATCATTTTATTGCCTACTGTGGACCAAATAATCGAACTAGTGGAGTGAAAACACCCTTAGTCGACTAATCATGCCCATCCCTACTTCACAATACATTACCCAAGATGCATTGCACACACAAGTGCTCTCTGGTGAGGCTATGCAGGAGGAGCCCGTGGGCAGTGAGTGACAGTGCAATATGCAGTTTAAAAAGTGCGAGCAGACCTTGTCACTCAACAGGTGAAATCAAATTCCGGTGTTTAATTGAACCCCAACAGTGACGTACGTCGTTCATCTCACATAATCTGAACAAATTCATGTTCAAGTTCTTGATTTATAAATGTGTTACGTTCAGTTCAATGTTCACTGAAAAATGGATGTGTTCAGTGAACGTGTTGTTTTGAACTCATTCATGCACAACACTGCTTATGGGTGGAGGAGTGACGCTCACCTGTGGCAGTGTCTCCATTGAAGGCATCTCAATTTCTGGAGGCTCAGGTTTTGGTAACACCATGGGCATCTTTAATTGGCTGGGGGGACATGAGGGCTGGACGGAGGGAATGAATCCTGGAGCAGACGCTGAAGGAAGAGGATGTACCACAGGAGGAGGCACTGATGACACCCCTGGAAACAACAGACATATTTATATAAAATCCTTTTAAGTACTTTAAAGGCACATTTAAATCAAATCATAAATTTGATGCATTCTTTGAATAGGCTATATGAATTTGACTTAGAATCAGACTTGTGATTAAATGAACTGAAATGGATGAAATACATGAATGTGCAAAACATTTTATGTTTGATTAATGGATTCTTCTGAATAAGTGAAGTCCAGACCCGAAGGTGTCACTGTTCTCACAGCTCATACTCTAACTCTCACTGTAAACCAGATTTTACCCTGATCCAGAACACTGAACCAGACCTCTTTTCAGTGACAAAAAACTAGCACAAACTAAACCTGAAATTACCCCAAACTTAAACTAAACTGGATTCTAGCCAGTTTCCCAACAGTCTCCCACCAGAAGGAGGCCCCGGGGAGGACCCAGGACACGCTGGAGGGACTATGTCTCTCGGCTGGCCTGGGAACGCCTCAGGGTCCCCCCGGAGGAGCTAGAGGAAGTGTCTGGGGTGTAGGAATTCTGGGAGTCACTGCGTAGACTGTTGCCCCCGCGATCCGGCCCCCAGATAAGCGGAAGAAAATGGATGGATCGCTTCTAGCCACAGGCCTCAGATATCAACAAAATTTAACAAAGAGGATATGAGATGTTAATTCTCTGCATCTGACCCATCCCCCACCCAGTGCTGTAATGATTAGGGCATTGTTTGGGGGAAATTAATTAATAAAAAGGGCTAAAACATGTTAACCAAATACACTTTTTTTTACCATTGTCAGAGAACAAAAGATTCACACACTGCTAAAATGCTTTAGTAACATATACCAGCCACATTTACTGGCTCCATTCATGTAAATATGATCAATTAGACAGAGGGGAAACCAGATGTTACATCCCATTTATAGTACTGCTTTGCCTTAGAAGATGTTGCATTATTTGGAATCCAAATGTATTGAGAGACTTCAAATGGTTAACTCCTCCAGAATATATCTATATTATCTAGATATGAGTAGTTTTGTTATTGGCACCGTTTCAAGACATTTCTGACTGGTTATGAGAACTACAAGATTATTTAATGGACCTAGATAAATTAACAAATCTTAACTAGTCAAACTAATATTTGAAGCTTGATTTGACCTGTCTAACAGTTTTGTCTTGTTTTGTTTTGTTCAGAGGAAGACCATTTTCACACTCCCACCCAAAAATTTACACTTCACCAACTTCTACTATTTTTACTACTGTAAAATTCTCACAATGAAAACATGAATGAAACATATTTATTGTATAGTAACAAATATAATATTAGATAGCCAAAAACAGTCTAATAATTCATAACTTAATAACATGCACTGCTTTGTTTTTTCCATTAACATAGTTTTTTGTTTGTTGGTTTGTGGTTTGTTTTTTACTATTTTTGGCTTTAGGTGCTTTACCTAAAAGTGTCAATCTTTCACACAACACTCATTTGTTAAGAAGTAAGAGGATGTGACAGGAGGCAACTTTCCCACTTTCACTGAAATATCATTTATATTAGCAGGATAAAAAACTGTGATACAAGAGGAGTGATACAAGAGGAAGAAGCTGAGGGTGTTCCTGTTCTCAAGTAGTAGTAGTAGTAGTAGTAATAGTAGAAGTAGTAGTAGTAGTAGTAGTAGTAGTAGTAGTAGTAGTAGTAGTAGTAGTAGTAGTAGTAGTAATAGTAGAAGTAGTAGTAGTAGTAGTAGTAGTAGTAGTAGTAGTAGTAGTAGTAGTAGTAGTAGTAGTAGTAGTAGTAGTAGTAGTTGTAGAAGTAGTAGTAGTAGTAGTTGTAGTGTAATAGCAAAATACATTTTAACATATCCTAAAACATATTTACTGTTATAATTATCTGGTCCCAGTTTCAGTCAGTACTTTTCCACTGAAACTGGAATTCCTCTCTCAGGTGCATCCTCCCCTCATTATTTATGCCCTGATGACCTGTGCTCATACCTCTGTACCTGTCTGTGTAAAAACCCAGTGTGGGACTGTCCCCATTCTCTCTCTCTCTCACTCTCAAGTAGTAGCCCAGGAGCCAGAACACACAGGCAACTCTCTGAGCACCCACGTGAATTTTTCCCAATCTGAAATTGACTCTAGTTTTGAGAGTGCACAGTAACAGTCAGCGGTTAGCGTCACCCTCTTTCTCTCCACGGGGTCATATATTTCACTCTCTGTGGGTTCGGTCTGAAGACTAAGTAACGGTGTTTCTCCTTGTGTGATAACGGTTAAATCCTCCCCCAAAAAAAACTTAACTCAGTAGCCTATAGGTCAAAACAGACGCTTTTCAAACGTGATATTACCCTGCTTAGTTGTAGATGATGTAGTAGTAGTAACAGCATTAGCAGTAGTATCCGTAGTATAACTCACAGTTGTTGATAATGTCCCAGGGCCGTAGTAGCTCCAGTCTCTGTAGCAGGTCCAGCAGTTGTCCCACAGTTCCGTTCCTGTTTTGCCATCGTAACATCAGCCAGTGAGTTCGCTGCTCTTCCCTCTCCGCCAATCGCACGGCGGTCTGGTCCTGAAGAACCTCTGATGCTTAAACCAAAAACAGAGAGAGAAAATGTCCAACCTAAGTCTTACATTTTTCTGGTTGGTTACGATACACTTTTAAAATGTTTAATACAATGGCTACTGTATGTTATTCCATAAATTCCATTCTGTGGTTGAGTTTTGGTTTTAGTTCAGCTTTAGTCATACTTTCTAGTCCTGGTTTGGTTTTCTTGAAAATACAGAACACAGAAAATTCAATAGACATTTGTTCTTGTTACAATGGTGAAAGAAAACAGAACTACCAGCACTGTATTAATAGAAATCATTCACAATTTTGCCATTTATTTGCCTTCGTTAGAGGTCAGTGTTTGCCTGGATGTGATTTTGTGATTATGAAAACAGGTGTACTCTTTCTGTGAGCAGGCTTGCCACCCCAATGATCAGACCTGTAACTTGCTTGAGCTTGGTCTAGAGGTGCCAGCTGTTTTTCTCTCTATGGAGATGGATACATTAAACCCCATATTGCGGAAAATTCTAGGCAAAGCAATAAGATCTCCCTTTAAACAAGAACATCTATAAAGTTTAGTTAACAAAAAGGTTAGTGTGATAGTGTGGCATTTATTATGTAATCATGGATAAACCCTAGTGGCACTCATACTTCTGGGTTTTTAGGTAAGATCAATTTCATATTCTTATCAGTATGCCGTTATTATCTACTGAAAGTGGGAATTAGAGGTAAATCATAAACCTGGGTGTACCTGGATCATTTTCATTAAACCCAGAGCCCAAATATCGTAAACAAAACGGAACTGTCAATAATAAACCAAAACAGAAAATGAGTAAAAGTAACTTAAGGAGAGTCAAAATCAGAACTTATACATAATTTACGTGTTATTCCGTGTTTATTTGTGGACTCACCAAAGTTAGTCCAGTCCCGGTCCGACAGCACATCCATGACCCGACAGAACTCAAAATGGACCGGGGACGGCACCTTGTACAGCGGCAGAGCTCTGAGGTCCGCCCGGGCTACGGCCATGGCACTGTCCGCGGACCTCCGGAGCTCACGCAGCGGGCAGACAGCAGCTGATCTGGGGGTAAAAAGAGACCAGTCCTCGGTTCGGTTCTACGGTACCATCCAAGAGCTCCAGAACCCGCCCTATCACGGACTAAACACCATGAAAAATACTCGTGTCAAACTTTACTTCCGCTGCCCACGATTGACAAAACTCGTGTGAGATGAAATGCGTTTCCGGTGATTTTTCCACAAAATAAAAGTAGAAATCATGTCTGTCACTGAAAACAGAAACAAGAAAATCCTTAACAAGAAGCGGAATATAACGACGTAAAAGTAGTAAAGTCCTGTACTGAAGAAAAAAAAAAAAAAAAAAAAAAAAAAAAAGTATTTTTACTTTTTACTTCACTACATTTGAGAGCAGCTTTCTTACTGCTCCACTACACTTTCAGTAATATAGTGTTTTATTATTGTTTAAGACCTGCTGAAAAGACTGAAAGTTTTTTTTTTAAACACATTAATAAAACAAGCAAACAGAAATATACAAATAGTCCAGTGAGGTTCATTTTGGTCTTTGAATAATTTATGTTATTAGGTTCAAGTTCAGGTATGAAAACAAACTCTTGGTCTGAAAAAAGAACCTAATAACATAAAAATAATAAACAATAACAATAAAAACAGCTGTAGAGGGAAAAAAAGACTGATTCAGTTGTTTCTATTGAACAACATTCAGCAAAATTCTTTATCAAAATCACTATATTGAAGCTTTATTAGATCTAAACGTCTGCATGAAATACTGTTATTATTTACACTTGAAGTGCATTTTTTTACAGGTAGGCTACTTTAATACTTTTACATATGTAGATTTTTTCATGTGATACTTTTATTTGAGTATTTCTTTTGCTCTGGTATCTGTAATACTTTTACTTAAGTAACAAAATTGGCTGTCTGCATCTCCAAAGCTCAAAATGCCATCTGTAGAGATCAATAGAGATTGCTAATTCCAGGGTTGATATTAGGCGATCCAAATGATTCTAGAGAAGGTGTATGAAGTTTAAAAACACAGTGGAGCACTTTTTGTATTACCATACACCATCACAAGGTAAACCAGTGCATTTTCAGTTTGAGAGAAGTTTGTTAAACATGTGTGAATGAAACAAAACACATCTCAAACATGGGTGTGTTTGTGATAAGGAAGCAACATCATAACAGATCAGAAAACAGTGTAATATGAGCCTTTTAGTAAAGTTTCAGAGACGTGTTTCATTTGGCACGCAACTGTAACACAACTACCGAGAAAAAGAAACTGAAAAAAACTAACCTGATTTGGGTTACACGATTTGGGCTTACAAAACTACATGTGAGATTCTGTAGAAGAAGTTTTACCTCAGAAAATCCACAAGTTCTTTTTTCCTCTTTGTGGCCCATTTTGTCTGTGGTATTATTTAGGAATTGTCAAAGTTAGTAGAGTTTCTTGTTTTTTTTTCTTTCTTACTGAAGTAAAATACAGACCAGGTCAAAAATCTCATATCAAAATCTCAGGTTTGAGTCAAGCTTCATTGTAGTATAGTAAAAATGAGCTTACCTTATTTTTTTTAACAGTCCTTTTTACTTGTTAATGTCTGTCTGTACTGCCACGGTTAAGTGTTTTTTTTTTCATTTATAATTTACTTTTTCTAAATTACTTCTCAATATTACAACAAAACAGGACAGAACATGTATTTATTTATTTTTGACTGCTTATTCACTGCTTCACATTTCACCCTTCCTCTCTCTTTCACAGCTTTAAGACATTTACGTAGTTTTTCTTTTCCTGTGTATGTCCAGATTATATGACTCTGGGGCTTTAATAAGTAAAGGGGTAGTGGAAGAAATGTTGTAGAAGCCCTTGTTAAAACATTGTTTTGCAATGGCACAAATGTGACGTGAGTTTGAGGGGTTTGACTCACACTATATGCAGAAGTGGGTCCATCCACTTCGCTCATTCAGAACCACATAATCTGCATGTACAAAACTGTAGTGGAAAGTAACAAAGTATAAAAGAAAAAGCACAACATTTTAGGTACTTTACTTGAGAAAATTTTACTGTGGATACTTTTTACTTCACTACCTTTGAGAACCTGTAGCTGTAGTTTCTACTTCACTACATTTTAGATATGGACTGTAAAATTAAAAAGTACTTTTAAATGGCTGATACTTTTTTTAGCACATTTAATTTGAGTAAACATCAAGAAGAAATCAGTTCTTCTTGTTCTTCACTTATAATCAGCTAAATTCTTTATCAAAATCACTTAATTTCATCCTTTAATCTCTGCAACGTACTTTTACTTTTTACTCTTTACTCTATTTTATGTGATACTTTTACTTGAGTAACTTTTTGTCCCTGTATCTGTACTTTTGCCTAAGTAACAAAATTGAGTACTTCATCCACCACTGAATAAATGAAGCCTTTACTGTGGGCCACGTGACTGATATTGTCAAGTGAGAGAAAAAAATTAAATAAAACTGATGATGTGATGCTAGTGCATTTATATAAACTGATAACTGATGTATCAATACTAATTAAGACACACATCTTTTCCCCTTTTCCCTTTCCCTTGGTGTAATTTATTAGTTTGTATGAGCTCACAGTCCTCCCCTCAGTCCTCTCTCCTTCTGCTTTAACACAGTCTGAGCAGAAAGAGCTGACATGGTTAGAGCTACAGCAGGTGAACTGATTTGTGCTTTTAAGTTAAAGTCTCTCACATGAAAAATGACTCATAAGTGAGCTAGCATTAGGCAACAGATTTTCAGTTAGTCATTCTCACATTTTGTTGAAAATCAAACACCTAAACAGGACTTTGAACGCTCGTATTGATCACAGGCTCCTGAAAATGTGCTGTTTAGATCCATATTGTGTTTTTAGACGATCTTAAAACTTTTTTGTCAGTTTGCTAATGTGTGCATTATGTCACCATGGTAACTGCAACATATATCTCTGATGGAATGTATAGAGCACCCCCATCACAATGTCCCTGTAACATCAATACTGCTCACAACCAGAACATCCACATTCCAAACCCATATATACGTCCATGCAGGGCCGCTGCTAGCCTTTTGGGTGTCCAACGTACAAGTGGTTTGTGGTGCCCCACCACAAACCAAAATTTAAACCAAAACCAAAATTTAAAAAATGGTACCGGAGGGGGTCCCTCTGAGAAGAAAACAACAAAGACAACTGGTACCGGCTTCTCGTCTGGATGGATAGTTTTTCAGAGATTCTTGGTGGTGTCCCTGCAGGCATTTGGCACCCTACGAGCTCTGTATAATGTGCATGTGCGGAGCGACAGCTCTGCCTCCACAGTTACAGTTACATCATTGTATATTTTAGGAAGTTCCTTTCTGACTCATATTTATTTGGCAATGTTACTTTTCATCATCTATAACTCATAGTAACCGCAATAATTTAAGGGTGGGTTCATCAGAACAGAATGTCTGATTGCAATTTAAAATGAAAAGCATTCAAGTTTTTTTTTTTTTTTTAATTGTTATTTCTTTGTTTGGAGAAAAAGTACATGTGGCCTTGGTTTATCATAGTTTTACATCAGTTAAGTGGACATGTGTCAAAAAAAAAATGAAGCAAATTACAGCGGAGTGGTTGGCTACCTGGCTCACAGTGAGCATTTATTTATTTATTTATTATTATATTTTTTATTTTTTTATTTATAAATACAGATAAAAAGTGCAGCATGTGCCAAAGGACACATGTAAGGGACTGTTGGATTTTGTGAAATGAACTGTTTGTTTTTCCTGTGTCCATGGAGATCGTGCCAGAGGCTGTGGAGCTGTCTATGAACATTTGAGATGCTACAGGCTTTTTACACCATCATATGTGACATGTGGCAGAAGATGTTCCAGAGGAAACACTTTGAGGCACTGAACCACTTTGTCACCAACTGAAACACTGGAGAAGAGTAAGGAAGAGATCTTTTCTGTTGTGTTCAACTGGTGCTCCCTGCAGGCTGCTGTGATGCTGCAGGACACAGAGGAGAGACAATTTTGGCTCTTCCTCTGTTCAAACTGCCCTGACACGGATCTGCAAACCCCCCTGACCAGTCCTCCTGTTAAACTGCACTGAGACCTTTGAGCGACACACAAAGGCCACTGAGAAGCACACTGGAAATATTGATGCAACATCAACTGCAACAGTTTGCTGCAGCAAAACGTGATTGTCCCTTGAGATTAATAAAGTGTCTCTGTCTGAGTTGAACTGAGGAAAATCTGAAGAACTGAGGAAGCTCAACTCGTTCTAAATCAAAGGTTAAAAAATCAATCTGCTCTGTCATAAATTCCTCAAAAATAAACATTATTTTTGAACTTTATAAATATTTAAGGAAATTAAGGTTTTGCCATGTATTTTTTATTCACCAAATATATATTGGTTTTGTTGAAATGGTGAAATGGGTAGTCCAGACTGTCATGCTCTTGAAGGTGGGGAATGTCAGACTTCTGTGGTAAAATTTGTCTTTTCATGGTCACTGCGGATGGTTTGTCCCAGTTTATGGCTAATATCAAAATGGTGCTATCAAAATTAATGTAAACTGGCAAAAGTCCATTGTCTTTCCTCCTGTTCTCTCCTTGGCTTCCCTTTTTTTTCATCACTGGAGAAAAAAAAATATAGGCTAGATAAAATTTTACAAACTGATGCCATTTCAGCCCTGAATTTGGTTGGTGTGAAATTTACATTGAACAATAAGCTAACATGTAATAATGGACACAGTTCAGGTCCCAGATGTGTGGATTTTCTGTTTGTATATTTCTTCTAACAGCAGGCTAAATCTCCTGGAGTTATAGGTCCCTGCCTCCATCTGAAATTATGACTTAATCAATTTGTAGCATTTTTATTTTTATTTATATTTTTTAGTCATCTGTGACACTGAATGTCAGTTTTTATCATTTTAGAATCAGCCTTTTCCCAAACTCCACTTTAAAACAAAAAACACAATATAGTTCAATAACAATATTTATGCTCCTCATTAACTGATGATAATGACAATAATCAGATGGATATTCCCCCAAATTCCAGTGATAATGAAAGATCTCAGAGTCAGAGTGAAATAAGTGAAAAGGAAGTGAGAGACAAAAGTCAAAACAAACTAAAGAAACGGTCTGTCAGAACTGTATGATCAGAGCTTCCTCTGAGTAAAATATTTCAAAATACAAGCAGGAGATTGCCTATTGCTAAGAACAAGCATGAGACAGAAATGGCCCTTTGCTTCCTCCTGCTGGTTTAAATTCAGCACAATGAACTCAGTGAACTTACACAAAGAAACTGGAGTCTGGATATTTCATTTTCATACATTTATTCATTCACTGAAAACAATCTTAAGTAAGCGTATGAACAAACAGGCACTCAAGGCACTGTTCTTAGTGGACAGAAAAATATGCACACCAGACCACTTTAATGAACTTATAAATAGTAATGCATCCAATTCTGAAGACCCACAATGTTAGTACAGTGTTGTAATATCTACATCTGAAACATGAGCTGAGTCAAGTCTAAAGTAGATTTAACCTTAACTTCAATGCAAGAGTTAAGGAACTGGGGGGTGACTACTGAAACAACCTAAAATGGCTTGCCTGTTTTAGATCTATCTTTGTAACTCTTGACCAAAATCATGCCATGACCAAGTTAGGCCACGTGTCTTATAATAACATTATGCATAAGCCCGTATAGGCGTATAAAACCCTATAGCCTAGTTTGAACAAATGAATACTTTGAATATTTTTGATTGTGAGACTCAGATACCTGAGACTGGCCCCTTATGATCATCATAGGGGCCCACTCTCGGTCACTGATTTTAGGTTCGCCTTCTCTGACAGATGCCGCCAGATCTCGCGAAACCACACTGTGCACATACAAGAGTTACGGTCATGTTCTGTGATCTCGCGATGCTTGAGTTGGAAATGGAGTTTAAGGGGGCGGGGTGCAGCAGAAAGGAGCTGAGATGTTTGGCTTTTTTATACAAAATTATTTATTTAAATAAAAATGGCCGCCGTGGAGAGCGGAGAGGACAGAATGTAAGTGTTTCCGTGTCTTTTATGCCAATTTAGGTCCCGTTGCTTCTCGCTGCGCACCTCTGCGTATCATGCGTTTTATTCCAGTTAAAGTGCGTTGGTTTTTGGCCCAGCCTGTCTCAGCAGAGCGGGGTTAGCGCCAATACGTCACCAACTTCGGTTCTGTCCGTACTTTAGCGCTGGTGCTGTGGCCGGAGTGGGGCGGACCAGAGCCGAGGCTGCAGCCTGCTGTAAGTGCGCCCTGCCCGGCCCTGACCTCCGTAGGGCCCCCGGGGGAAGCTCCGCGGCTCCGGGGCCGTACTGTGCCCGAAAGCAGCAGCAGGCCGACCAGTGCTCGATCCGCCCCTCGCTATCCTTCTGATAACGGAGGTTTAGCTCGGTTAGACTGTAATGATACACAAGTGTCACTCAAACACTGGCTCCGGGTTCTAAACAGGGCACCCAGCAGTGCCCGGAGCCACCCAGGACGCAGTGGGTCCGATGGGGGAGTGTCACCAACGTGATGTAGCACTATTATTATTATTATTTTTATTTAGCCATCAGGCAGTGACTCTACCCTGTTTTAAGTCAGCAGTCAAAACTAAGCGGGCTAAATGTACCTAGAAGCACGCACACTTACTACTGTCAATGGGCTACAAACTATTGCAGGCGGTTTTGTTTGTGTTTCCATTAGGCTACATGTCCATTTCACTTTCACTTGCTTGTAGCGTTTTGACTGAACAATGTTGTTTGTCATGAGCATCTCAAAATTAAGGGTTTTACATCAAAACATCAATCAATCTATAAGGAGATGCCCAACTCTGCATCCTCCTTCAACTAGCCCATGTCCTATGTGGTCTTCTAGGTTTCATCATCAACCTTCTATTCATGCCCAAACTACAAGGCTATTCTACTATTTTTTTTATGTAAACATGTATCTATCTAAAGTTTTTTGCAATTTATCATTTAACATGAACAAATAATGACTTCCGTTGATAAACACGTGGCCAAAGATCTATAATAGGCCTTCTATGACCTTTGTTTATAGATTTACTGTTCAGTTAGAAAAATAAATCTAGGTTGGCTTTGCTATCTCAAAAGACAATTTATTGATTATTAATAGAGTATTTTATTAGCTGTGTTAGAGCCTTCGTCTTTAATCCTGTCTTTTGTTGTGCTCTGGTTAAACTTCCTGTTTGAAAGTCTGGTGTTGATGTGTGAAGTCAAACGGAACCAGACCAAACAGGTGCAGGCAGCCTTCTCTGCTCTTACTGTGTATCTGAAATCTGATCAGAACAGCAAATCACAAAGCAAGACTTCTTTAAAACTAACATTACAATGCATACCTTTTACAACTTCATTCAGTTCAAGTGTATTACATGTAATAATGTAATTAATAATAAATGCATATCACATTTTCTTATTGATACTTTGCAGAGACATCACGCTGGGGGGTGTTTTACATGTATCTCTAACAATAAAATGTTTACAAGTTACCATGATGACACAATGCACACATTTGTAAACACAGACAAAATAGTTTTAAGGTGATCTGAAACTCAAGAAAAAATACAAAATGGATTTAAACATTCACGGTCCTGTTTAGGTGATTGATTTTCAACAAAAGGATTGGTGTGACTGACTGAAAAAACGTGTAAGTGTAATGTTATTTGATAGGGACTTGTTTAACCGCACAAAAGAGCTCGCCTGTTGCAGTTTCAGCTACGTCAGCTATTTACGGCTAAGCTGTGTTAAAATAAAGCTCAGATTAAAGTGTAAGAAAGCCTCAGACAGAGCATGCCTACAGTTAGCATCACACCCCCAGTGTTGAATTTTGATGGCGTCAGCTTTAAAGTATCAAATCTAGGGCTGGATATCATTAAGAAGTTGCCAATACAATTCATACCTTGATACATAGGCCACGATACAATATATATCTCGATACAGTGCACTTTCGGTTCAATACGATATATTTCAAATCGAGTCGATATGGTTCAATAAAAAATAATGGACAAATGATGCAAAGTGAATATGAATCAAAACAGTGAAAATGTCAGATTTGTTGCATAAATGAGTTTCCTTTCACTAAAGAAACAACAAAACTGCAGCGCTGTTACAAAATAATTTAGTAAAATATACCAAAAAATACTCTTGGTGATATATCGATACAACAGTCCCCGATATCGATACTGTATCATCACATTAAATGATACGATAGCTCGATATTTAAATATTTTTGCACACCCCTAATCAGTACATATTTATATTTTTTCTTATTCCAGGGAGGAAGGTTCAGAAGCAGAGGAGACACCAGAGCCTTCGCCTCCCTCCAAAGAGAAACAAACGTCCCACAGTAAAAGCAAGAAGAACCGAAAAGAACGGCAGGCGACTGGACATGAAGCTCCTCCCACATCCTCCAGTCAAACGACATCTACTGCAACTTATGCTACCATGGCGACAGCAGCAACAGCAGAGACACCGGCCCAAGAGGTCAGGAGGGGTTGGGGGTTGTGTGTTTTATACTGGACATTCCTATTCTACTCATTTTTACAAATTTCTAGTTGTTTTGGGAGGAGATGTTGTTGTAAATACATAAAGAGGGGGTATTGCACTTCTGTAGGGTTTTTCATTGTTAACACATAACATATTAAGATTGCTATGGTTATCTTTTATTGTTTTGAAAATGCTATACGCACCAAAAACAACATATTCAAATTTGCTGGTAGTTTCCGTTTTGTTTTTGACACCCTTTCCCCTTGCGCACCAGAATAAGTCACTTCCCCCTTCAGAGCGCCACTCGTGAAACCGTTGCACAACACTGGCCCCGGGAGAGATCGCAAAATTACTCAAACATGCATGGATGAAATATAAAACCACTTCAGGCATGTTTTCGAACAATGTTATGACACGGTATAATGCTCTCGTCTCCTCCTCTCTTTAATAATAATTTAAAATCTTTCCACTACAAGAGCCGGTTTAAAATATATTCGTCATGACGCGTACAATAAAAATAGACTGTTTCCTAGGGATGTAACAATATCCAAATCTCACGGTATGATATTTTCACGATATACATGTCACAGTACAATATTTATTGCGATATTTTATGGAGTCCAACAAAACTGTGAATATGCTACTTTTTCCTCTTAAAATGCCTTGACAAGACTTAAATCAAATAACTAAGATTTAAAAGTGCGTAGAAATGCTATTTCTTGATGTAGTTTGCACCAAAACAGAGCAAAGGATCATGGTCGATGTAGTTCTGTGTGGTTTTTTAAGCTATTGCTGCTCCATAACAATGAATTTAAGCAAAGAAAGTTGTGATTTGATATATTGCGATGGTCCACGATATTATTGAGACTTTTGACAATACGATATCACGATATTTTGGTTATTGTTACATCCCTGCTGTTTCCTAATTGCTAAAGTTAATATCGTTAGAATGCACTTTTCTGTTATAATATTGCAAGTTCAAGGTCCCAGTTTTAAAAAAAAAAAGATCAGGTTCAATATTTGTGAATTTACTTTTTGGATATTTCATGGCAAAGTAACACATGACCTTTTCTTACCTGTTTTTTTTCTCAGGACACCGAAGAGGGCCCCTCAGCTTTAGAGGCAGGCCCCAGCTCCGCCTCTCCCCGTCAGCGGCGCTCCGTCATCAGGGACCGTGGGCCTCTGTACGACGACCCCACGCTTCCAGAAGGATGGACCCGCAAACTCAAACAGAGGAAGTCCGGGCGCTCTGCAGGGAAGTTTGACGTCTACCTGATCAAGTAAGAAAGAGTATTTGTATCCGCAGTGATGGAACATAATAAAGTAAAATGAGTAAAGTACTGTACATAAAGGTACACTATGTAGCTTTTTGGTAGAGGGCTTGTCTCCATGGAGATATTGTTGTTGCTTTTTTGCCTTGATTATGCCACAATATGGAAATAAACGTGGTAATCATAATAGAGACAGGTTATGGAAAAGCAAGCCTGCATATAGCTAGAAGTCATGTTTTTTTTAAGTTATTCTTGCACTATTGAACTATAAAACACCTGTAATTGAATGATGAATTGAGATATTTTAATGCCCTAAAAAGAGAAAATTTACAGTGCACCTTTAAGTACAATTTTAAGTGGATACTTTTTACTTTTACTTCACTACAAGACTGAAGTAAAAGTTTTTGTGTTTTTTTTTTATTATAGTTAGAGACCTGCTGAAAAGGCTGAGAGTTTATTTTTAATATGTTCATAATATAAGCAAACAAAAATATAGCAACAAATAAACATAAAATCATCTGTTTCTGTTTTAAAAAAAATCTGGATGAATCAGCATCTTTATCAAAATCAAAACTTTTGAAGATTTACTCAAAATCTGCATGAAATAGTTTTACTTTATAGTCTTAAAGTACATTTTCAAACAGATACTTTAATACTTTTACTTAGGTAGATATTTCATGTGATACGTTTACTTAATTTTTATTTGCTCCACTATTGTACTTTTACTTAATTAAGAAGTACTTCTTCCACCACTGCATATCAGCCATTTACAAACTGCACTGGATCAAGTCATAATGTATTACGAATATATTTGTTTTCTCTTATTCAACAGCGCAGAGGGAAAGGCGTTCCGATCAAAAGTGGAACTTATGGCTTACTTCCAAAAAGTGGGAGATACAACTACAGACCCCAATGACTTTGACTTCACAGTAACAGGGCGAGGAAGCCCATCTCGGAGAGAGAAGCGTCCTCCGAAGAAACCGAAAGCAGTCAAACCAACTGGGAGGGGCAGAGGCAGGCCTAAAGGTACCTAAGTCAGTTACTGTAAAGATTCTGTTAATCACCACTATGAATGACAAATAATGACGAGAGTAACTGAGTAAGAACCCTTCAGTCTAACAGTGAAGCCTGTTTGTGTGGAGCTTACATCACCTAATATACCCCAGGGACTTTGGTTGGGTAATGGTTTAGGGATGTCATGTGTTGTTTTCTCTAGATTACACAATATATATTCTCCCCAAAATTGCTTAATTTATTTATTTATGTATTTAATAATTGCATGAATTATATATACCTATCTATATCTATATATCTATATCTATATATAAACGATGAATCTGTATAATATGCATCAGAGTTAACCAAGAGGCTAGTTTACATGTGTAGTCCTTTGTCAGGTGTATAGAAGGTACCCAGGAAAGAGGAATCAGAGTTAAATGCAACAAAATGAAACATTTCACAACTTAAAATTGGGTTAGTTTAAAAAAATTAGACAGGCGGTCCAGACAGTGACACAATTGTTCAAACTGGGTAAGGCAGTCCAGACAGAGCACCTCAGTGAAACACAGGCAGCAACATAAAGCAGAGTTTAAGAAGCAGTGTTAATAAAAGTGACAGAAAACACTAAAACATGCACGTCATTAAAGTAGAAACACAAAACATACATTATTTAAACATAAAACAGTTAGAATAATTGTTGTTTTAATGTGTCCATTGTCTAGGAAGTGGGAAAATGCGCCAGGCCACAGAAGGTGTGGCCATGAAGCGTGTGGTGGAGAAAACTCCGGGCAAACTCTTGGTGAAAATGCCGTTTGGAAAAGACCCTGCCACACCAAGCACTTCTGCTGCAGCAAAGGTGAGAATAGTCAGTAAAACTTAAGTAGGTATGATTGACTAGACATTTATGACAAATAAGTCTACCATAAACATCCTATATTACACAAAATTGGCTCTTGTGAGCTGATGTTAGAATGCCGCTACGTCCTCAGAAACATAACTGGAGTTGTGTTTTGTTTCATTTACATGTTTGAGTAATCCTTTATTTTTAGTCTGTTTACATCTCCAAAGTTCAAAATGCTCTGTTTCACCTTGCGATATCATATAGTGGTAGTTTTCAAGTTAACAGCTACCTTTTACCTTTTGTTCAGCAGAGATTAGCAGTTCCAGGGCTGAAATCATATTGGCATATTGGTTCAACTCATATCAAACAACAGCTTCAAAGTTCAACAAACGTACGGTCTACAACTTCCCAGTCAATTTTAGTTAAGCAAACAACTCAAGCAAAGCCACAAAGTAAATCATTGGGCCATACAACAACCCAAACTGTTTCTCCATCTTCCTCCAATCGAGAACCTCAGATAAAACCAGATGCTCTACCTAGTTTGCCCTCTCTGTCACCCGAGAGTAGTCATGTATTATCTCATCAATGCTCAGTTAAGTTAACAGCTTCCGTTTTGTTCAATAGAGCTGGGCAATTCCAGAGTTTAAGTTATCTAAATGATTCTAAAGAATGTTAAACATGTGTGAAGGAAACAAAACACAACTCCAGTATGTTTGTGATGAGGGAACAACATTATAACTTTGATCAGAAAACAGTGAAATAGGGTCTTTAACCTCATGATCCTTTCTGTTCCTCCTCCTCTCCAGGTGACACATTCCACCGTAGCACCTGCTAAAAAACGTCCTGGAAGGAAGCGAAAGGCGGAACAGGATCTCCCTACTCCTCAGACAGCTCCTAAAAAACGAGGGAGAAAACCTGCCTCTACGTTAGCCACAGTAGCTTCAACCTCTGTCTCCTCTGGACCTGCCCCCAGCACTTCCTCGTCCTCTGCTGGAAGTTACACCACAGCCGCCATCTTAGCTGCCGAGGCCAAACGCAAAGCAGCTAAAGAGTCTTCCACGAAACCTGCCGTCCAAGAAACTGCGTTGCCAATCAAAAAACGCAAAACCAGAGAAACTGTGGAGGAAATGGAGAGCGTGACTATCCAGGACACCAGTACAGAGAGCGAGAAGAAGCCTGCTATGCCTGCAGCCGGTAGTACAGAAAAGGAAGGTACGTCGTCAGTCCAGTCTTCTGAGCAGAGCCAATCGCAAAAACAGTTATCGAGTTCAGAGACGAGCCACTCCCATAGACATAAACCCCATAAATGCAGAAAGCGAAAGGATAAAACTGAAACAGAGGATGAGGGGAAAAAGAGAAAACATGAACAAGAAAGTAGCAGTAGCATTAGCGGTAGCATTAAAAAAACAAAACGGCACAAACACAAAGAAAGGCCCCCACACAAGCATCACCACCACCACCATCATCATCACCACCACCACCACCATCACAAACATAAACAAGAGTCTGCAATGCCAGAGCAAGCTACAGCTCCTGCTACAGCTCCTGCTACTAAAGAAACCGTGCCCAGTCTTTCAGTCAAATCTGAAACTTCCAAAGCTGAAGCAAAACCACCACCTCAATCAAAACCAGAACCACAGCACCGTCAAGTGGTGCCATTGACACAGTCACAGCCAAAACCCAAACAAGAACAAGAATCCTCTACTTCTAGTCAGGAAAAACAGCAATCCAAAACTCAGTCTCGAGCACAGTCTAAATATCCAAAATCACGATCTCCTTCTCCACAACATCAAAGTCTAATCCAGTCAAATGTAGAGTCTTCCCAGTCAAGTGTGCAAGCAAGAAAAAAATCACCAACCCAATTGACAACGCAATCGGAAACTGCCCTTCAGTTGCAAGAACAGTCAAAAGACCATTTGTCATCTCCTAAGCAAGTAAAAACAACTGAGCATTCTCAAAATCTTCAAGTGCAGTCTAGTTCTCTGTCCTCTCCTAGTAAGAAAAATGAGTCTCAAAGATCAAACCAAGTCCAAGTTACAATATCGTCATCACTTCCAATAAAGCATGTTCCAACCCAAGCGAAACCTCAAAGTCCGACCACGTCTCAAGTCCCGTCAGCTCAGTCACAGCCTCAAAGTCCATTTCCATCTTCTCTGGGAAAACATGCCCAAATGCAAACGAGTCATCAAGTTCAGTCTTCTGATCCAACTCCACCATCTTCCTCCAAACCTGTTCAAATCCAAGTGAAATCAGAACCTCAAAATTCCTCACAACCTCAACTTCCGCAAGAAAGTCCTAGACCCCAATCCACGCCTTCTAAGCCTAATACAACACAGTCAAGAGAGCAGTCAAGAGAGCAGTCAAGAGAGCAGTCAAGAGAGCAGTCAAGAGAGCAGTCAAGAGAGCAGTCAAGAGAGCAGTCAAGAGAGCAGTCAAGAGAGCAGTCAAGAGAACAGTCAAGAGAACAGTTAAGTCAACCCACTGGACCTCTTGCTCAGTCTAGTGTCTGTCCAAGTAGCCAAACATCTGGTTTAACTGAGTCAGGACAGTCAGGACAGCAACTACAGCATCACAGCTCAGCTCAAGTTCAGCCTACAACCTCACAGCCAATTTCTACCAAGCAAACGACTCAAGCAAGGCCAGAATGTCAGTCTACCGGTCAACCTCCAACGCAGTCTGTCTATCCAAGTAGCCAGTCACCATCTGGTAGACAAAGTTCAGCTCATATCGGACAACAGCTTCAAACTTCAACAAACGTTCAGTCTACAGTTCCCCAGTCAGTATCAGTTAAGCAAACAACTCAAGCGAAGCCACAAAGTCAATCAGCGGGTCATACAACAACCCAAACTGCTTATCCAACTTCTCCGTCTGCCTCCAGTCGACAACCTCAAATAAAACCAGATGCCGTGTCTAGTTCGTCCTCTCCGTCACCCCAGAGTAGGCATGCATTATCTCATCAACGCCCGCCACAGCATATCCATTCTCAAAGTTTCAGTCATTTGCAAGTCCATTCTGCTCATTTGACCGCTAGTAAACAAATCCAAACCCAAGCAAGACTGCAGCCTCAAAGTTCTACTCAAGTGCAGTATCCAACATCGGTTAAAAATTTCTCAATGCAGTCTCAAGTTTCTGCCCAAACGCATGCTCAGTCAGTGCATCCAGGTTCTTCTTGTAAGCAAGTATCTCACCTACAGAGGCCTCAAACTCAAGTTCAGTCCAAAACGCCAATCAATCAGTCACCTCCTACCAAGCATGCATCAATCCAGCCTAAAGTCCAATCGCAGTATCAGAGCTCTACGCAAATTCACCCTATGCATGCAAGTTCACAGTCTCCACTAAGCAGGCATGTTCCCATACAACCAAGACCATCCTCCCAGTCACAAAGTTCAAGTCACGTACAAATCTCCAGCCAAAAACTGCACTCTGCTAGCACTCAGTTTCATTCTCAAATGCATACACAAGCATCATCTTTGTTGCATGTTTCATCTTCTCAGACCAGACTCGCAACATCTCCAAGTCAATCCACAGGAGGATCTCAAAGTTCACTTCAGCAAAGGTCCATTTCTCAGTTGCAAAATCAACTCCAGTCGCCGGTAGTACATTCTCAAATCCAAAGTAGACCTACGTCACAATCGCAAATTCTACCAAGACCACTGAATCAGCAGGACAGATCTCAAAATCAGACCCAGAGTCAACACAGGCCAGCAACGCAGCCAATGGCTCAACAAGCAACATCAGAATTACAAGTTAGGTCCAATCAGGCACAAATTCAAGGGAGAATTCCAACCCAAATACCAGGAGCTGTTCCGCAAGTTCAACCGAGACTTTCTTCCTCCCAGCAAGCTAAGCAATCTTTCCACTTTCAACAACCTCGGATGCCTTCACAAAATCCGCAATTGGACTTACAATCCAGACAGCAAACTCAGTCCCAAACAAGGCCAAGTTCTCAGTCACAGCTTCATCATTCCCAGCAAACTTCATCCAGATGTGCTACGACATCTGTACAGCAATCCCAAATTAAGACTCATAGCCACTTACAGTCACAATCGAGAATACCATCACAGTTGCCGGCACAATTGTCGAGAATGCCAACAGAAATTCACCAAGTTCAAACCCAAAGTATGGCTAGGACTTCAGCCCAAACTCTGCCGCAACAATCGCATTCTCGGACTCTAGTGCCCACCCAGTCCTCAACAAATCTTCAACAACAAATGATATCACAGAGCAGGATTTCAACTTCTCAGTCCCAATATATGACTGCACAAATGCCCTTTCAGAGAGCAACGCAAGCCCAAACTCAAATCACAAGGTCTCCCATACAACAGCTAGCCCCACATAGACCATCGCGAAACATCGAGAGATCGAATTTGGTTCAAGTGCAGACAAACCCAAGTGATCAACCACAAGATTTGAGCACCACGCGGCCAAGAAATCGAGACGAAAGTGTGAAGTTGGAAAGCAGAGAGAGTTTAGGGGGTGAAAGAGGAGCGAATAATACTTCTAGCAACAGGATACGAGCAGAACCGGAAGCAGCCGGGGAGGGCAGGGAGCTCAAAGACATTGTGGCCCAATCGGGAGTGCCTTGCCCCAGCCGCGACGAAACTGTGGAGACCCGGACTGCGGTTAGTGAAAGGGTCAGCTGATCATACATGACATAAGATGATTACTGCAAAAAAGGAACATCTACAATACGCGAATGACTTGAATTTGAGTAGTTTTGACTTATATGTATGTATTTACTTAGACTTGAATACAGAACATTATAGCAGGAATAGAACCTAGCAAGTTGAACTATTGCTGCCCCGGTGTTAGGGATGCACCGATTTTTTTCAATTCTGATACCGATAATGTATCTGCTGATATCCGATATTAAGCGATACCTTATGTTATTAGGTTATTTTTTCAGACCAAGAGTTTGTTTTTATACCTGACAGTTTTGACTGCTCACTAGCGGTCTTCCTTAAAATGATCATGTGATGTTGCTGTGATGTGTCCTGTCAGCTGATTTATACAGGTTTTGGCGACGTCTTCCTACCGGAGCAGGCAGGACGACAGCACCATCTGCTATAAACCAGGACGAGGGGGCTTTTTCACTCTCACACACCTGGGATACTGTCCTAAGGAAGTCAGATTGCAGATGGCAACGACTCTGATAAAAATCCATGTGTCATTTGTTCATTCGTTTCTCAATAAAAAACAAAAATAAGAAAATGAAAAAACACCTATTTTCTTCATTATTTGTCTCCAAAACCAAAATGAAATAAAAAACAGATAACGATTTGAATTTCCAGTTTCTGATTTTGTGTTTAAATGCAAAGTGGAAAAAACGGATAACGGCTGTTTTCCATTCATGTGACTTAAACTGAGATGCCGGACTGAACTAGGACTAAAACAGGACTAAACCGTTTTCAGTCCTGGTCTGGTCCCAGTCCTGGTCTCGGTCCCGGTCTGGTAATCTCAGTCCCGGTCTCAATCACGGACTGGTCCTAGCCTGGTCCCAGCCTTAGTTCTGGTCTAGTCCCGGTCTAAGTCCTGGTCTGATCCCAGTGTGGTTCTTGTCTGGTCCCGGACCTGGTTTAGTCCTGGTTTAGTCCAACATCACAGTTTAAGTCACGGAAACGGGAAACGGACGTTATCCATTTTTTCCATTATTCATTTAAACACAAAAGCAAAAACTGAAAAAATTATCTGTTTTTTCATTTTGGTTTTGGAGACAAATAATGAAGAAAATAGTTGTTTTTTCCTTTTTTCTTATTTTTGGTTTTATATTGAAAAACAAACCAACAAATGATACACGGATTGAGGAAGGCCGCTAGTGAGCAGTCGAAACTGTCATGTATGAAAATAAACTCTTGGCCTGAAAAAAGTACCCGATAACATAATTTATCCGAAGACCAAATTAACCTCATTTGACTATGAAGCGATACCAGTGTAGGGACTGGAAGCTGAACTTTTTTCTCTCAAAACACAGTTACCAAATTTGATCCATTTGTTACGCAACTTATTTATGCTTCAAGTAATTACAGAACAGCTTTGTATAAATTAAAGTTCAAACATTATCAGATGTCCTGGGCCTATATCAGTCAATAAATAGTCTTATTACATCCAATTAAAGGATCAGCGTTGATATTCAATACCGGTGTCGATATCAGTGCATCTCTACCCGGTTTATTTAGTGGAGTAAGACCATTTCACTTGAGGTAAGAAAGTTTTACCCCACTTTATTTTGTGAAACGTTGTTCATGTCAGATAATCTAGGCCACAGCTACTCAAATCAAGTCATTTTTGCTAATACAGAGATTCATTTTTGCAGTGTGGGACTAATCTGCAATCGTCAAGAGAAGGTTTACTGTTTTTACACTGTTTATGGAATGTAAGGATTCATCGCACAAAGTTAGTTGATCTGTTGTAGCTTCTTTGCCAATGTTTGAATCAAAAAAGACTTAAATTCAAATATGGAAGAGCTCTCGACAATGAAGATGGAATTTTTTAAGGAAAACTGAACTTTTAGAAAACGTAAAAAAATATGTATATATACTCATAAGGCAGCTGTTATGTCCCGCTAGTCTCTGTGGGGATGGGGGGTAGTAGTAAAAACAACGCTCAACAATACTCTGCTTCCGGATATTAACATAACATTTTTATTTTGTACTACTTTGATCACTTTTACATCTTTAAAGCAGAACTCGGTTACATCTTTACCGTGAATAATCAAGTCCAGTTGTCTCATGAGTTCTTTAGAATTCATGAGACAATGACATGACAAGACTTCTTTTGGTTTATCATTGTTTTTTGTTTAGTTTTTTTCTATAATTTGGCTTCTCTGAAAACATTAAAAAAAAAAGAAAAACAAGCTTACTAATGAGACTTAAAGGTGCATTGTGTAACTTTTCTGGTGGAGTATCCTTCACTTGATTGTTGTTGTTTTTTTTTTGATATGTCATTGTTCTGCCTGAAATGTTTCATAGTGTGACATTAAACAGCTCTGCCTTACATTTATTCAATTACAGGTGGTTTTATAGCTCAAAAACACTTAGAAAAACAGGGATTCTGACTGTGAGCGGGGTCGCCTCTCCACAGATCCGACTTGTAACTTGGTCTGGTTTGGGCTCCGTGAAGAAAAGAATGTTTTTTTTTTGGAGAAAAGCATGGACGGACTCTACCAGAAAAGCTACACAATGCACCTGAATTAAAATTGAGAATAATCACGGGTGTTTTTATCCTAGAAACAGCAGGGGGAGCTACAGGACACAGCAACTCATTCACTGTCACACTGCCAACTATTTGAGGCATAGAAAGTTACAGAGTTCTGCTTTAAGGATGTATTGACGGGCGGTCTCTTACTGTCTGTGATGCTAGTTGTTATTGTAACTGTTGCACCTTCAATATGGCTTCTCTCTATAGTAATATTCAACTTTACTGAGCACCCCTGTTCACGGTTTGTGGGTATATGGGGCAGTTTGCACGTTTAACTGTGTAGTAACTGGGTTTAATTCTTCATTTCTCATTTTGATGGAAGCTCTAGTACTCGTAGATGCGTGCACCAGACCTTCAGTGTAACAAAGATCTGGTTCATGCACGGAGCTATGGAAAGCAGCTTGGTGAAATGAACTCCCAATAGATCAGACATTCAGCACAATAATAATAAATAAAGTTCTCATTGTAAACTTCATAGAAATTGTGAGTTTTGATCAATTTAAAATCACAAATATTGGAAAGTGTTTTTGCCAAGTTGCCTTTTCTCCCAGTGCGTCCAATTCCTCCTGCTTCATCGTAGAATCCAACCAAACTTCACGTTTCGGAAACACCAGTTAGTTTTTCCATTTCAGAAGCAGTGAGAGAGAGAGAGAGAGAGACACACACTGAACTTAGTATTTCCACGTTGGAAGTGATAGTGTTGTTGTTTTTTTCAGTTTCAAACTAATCCTGAAACGAGAACAAGGCTAATACCAGGAAGAAACCTTTAATTCTCTTTTTAAAAATATAACTCCAGATTTTGAAGTGCTTTGTTCCTATTGAGAAAAGTGCCACAGAAATGTTATTTAAAGCTGTTTTATATCTTTTTATATTCTTTATTTATTTAAGTGCCATTTTGAAAAGTGCTTTTAATCTGGTAGGAAATGGTTGTGGTAGAATATGCTGTAAAAGGACATAAAGGCATAAACTGAAATTCAATCCAATTTATTGCCAATTAAACACCCAAAACATACACGTTTATTTTTATTTTTGGCAATGATTTGACCTTTTATTCATAGCCAGAGATTAGTGCCTGTTTCCATGATGTAAAACACATGTTTCTGAAGTTGAGTGAGTTTGAATGAAAGCACTGAAGCACCTTCTGTAGCACTTTATGACTGATATAAGCTTGGGACCTCCAGAACTTTTTTTCTGTATGAAAAGTACTATTCGACCACAATCACCAATCAGTGAATGTAAAAAACAAAAACAAAAAAACAAAAAAGAAACAGTTTTGGCCTTCAATTGTTGAGTTTCAAAATGAGTAATGCTGCTTTTAACAAATGTTGAATTGTTGTATGTTTATTTACTCTTAAAAGTGCATTGTGTAACTTTTCTGGTTGAGGGTTTTTATAGATTTGTCTCTGCCTTTAATGTTCCACAGTATGACATTAAACAGCCCTGCATTACATTTATTCAATTACAGTTGGTTTTATAGGCATTCTGACTGTGAGCGGGGTTACCTCTCCACAGATCTGACCTGTAACTTGATCTGGTTTGGTCTCCATGAAGATAGAAACGTTTAATACCACACTGTGAAACATTCCAGTAACAATAACATCTCCATGAAGAAAAGCATTTGACGAAAAGTTACACAATCCACGTTTAAGTCTTTTGTAGGAGGCTACATCTATGAAGACAGATCTACAGTGATGGGAAGAACACTCTGAAAATATATTTAGTTACAGAATACCTGCATTAAAATGTGTTTTGTAACGTATTCTGACACATGGTCAAATCAGAGTATATTTAGAATACTTTTACATCGCGTTGCTTTTAAATTATAGTGAAAAGACACAACATAGGATTGTAAACTGCTTCATATTTGTTTCACAGTTAATTGAAGATGGAAAAATCACACATGGCTCACCACGAGAGCAGTGGTTTTTCTGTTTTTCTCTCTAATTCTGTGCATATTGAAAACTAAATTACATGATCAAATATCGCCATGTATCCCTTTGATTTTAGAAAAGTGACTGATTTCAATACCACCAAATTAAAAAGTAACTACAGTGGTCCCTCATTTATCGCTGGGGTTACGTTATAAAAATAACCTGAGAAGTAGTCAGTTTTATATTCTACAGTTATTATATATGTTTTAAGGCTGTAAAAGCCCTCACCACACACTTTATACGCTTTTCTCAGACAGGACGGTTACAACCCTTTTTGCATTCTTCTTAAAACTTATTGCTGCTGTTGTCCTTATGTTATTTTCGTCCTTCTTTACGTAAAAAAACGACGATTAATTTATACTGTAATGGAGCCCTACAGTCTCTTTGCTAATCAGGACGCAGGGGGAAGAACGCAATGTAAAAAAATAAAAAAAGTTGAACTAAAAAAAATCTGTCAAACAGCAAAACTGCGAAAGGTGAAGGAACGACTGTATCCCAGAATACAGTTACACAAAATCAGGGTGTAGTACTACATTTTGGACCCTGGGTACAAACTATCACGATGGGCCTGCACTACATGTTGTCTAATGAAAAACTCACAGTACAGACTTTGTGAAGAGCCCCTCCCGGCAATGCGCCCGGGGTAAACAGTCCACTTTCCACCCCCAGTACGACGCCCCTGCTCAAAATTTGTATTCAGATTATTCTCTGTACATGTTAGTTACTTCCCAACACTGCAGATGAAGCTGAACTCTGTTACATTTTTGTGGTCTAATATATGGAACTAAATGACACAAGGTCTTATTAATGGAGCAGTGTTGTCAGCAGGTCGCATACTTCTCTAAATCTTAACAACTACCGCAACATTGACCTATTGTTACTCCATCAGTCCGTGTACATTTCAGTGGAAGACCAAGAAAGCGAAACGGGCTTCCTTCCTCTATTATAATTTCTATTCACCGAGCTTTTACCTGTATATTCTCTGGATTGTGTCACAGTGAAGTGGTGAAGACGTGGCATTTTTACAGTTTTAAGAGGTCAATACAAAAATATAGTTCAAATTGATTGTGTACATCTTGAAGAGAAACATTTGTCTTAATTTATTAGTCTCTCAAATTGCTCAAAGTTCCCCCAATTGCAGGAGGATTTTTAGGGTGAGGCTATGTACCATGAAAGCTCAAGGCTAAACTACAAAAATGCCTGTTCCAATAAATATTTATGTTTATATATGATGACAAAACTGTCCAAATCCAGGTGAAGCAAAACTTAGGTGAATATGATATCATTATATATATCTATGACTTATGTATGTTTATCTTTAGCCCCCTTAAGATGACTTGAGTGTACTAAAAGCTCTATAAATGAATTCCTCTGTCAGTTTGATGATAAAAATATACCGTGTGTTAGGTCATCTCTGTTGTAGTAAGAGGACAAAACTCACAAATAAAATGCATGTGAAAATGTTGAGAATCTAAAGCAGTTCAGCACAATTTCGTTGCGGTCCAACAAAACCAAAATGTGTAAAATGGATTAAATCTGCTTGTAAAGGTTTTGTGTACTTGGCTTCTGTCTCACTGTCTCTACATAGCCAATACTCTTTTATTTATGTAAGTTCTGACATTAGCACTTTAGCATTAAAAAAACTGAATGTGTGTGACTCTGTGTCTGTTTTATTTAAGTCTTTTGGCTGAGCTGAACTAAGGGTTTTTTGTCTCATTCCACTGCTCTGTCCAAATCAAAACTCACTCCTCGGGTGTTTTTGAATAGTTTGAATACTGGCATGCCAAGGACTCCAGGAGTTCTGTGTAGGCTATTGTTTTGTAAAGGATCGTGTCAAAAGTTTATAAAAAACTGTTCACAAATATTATAAGAGATGTAGGCCTAGGATTATGTTTAAACTGGAAGGTTGTCACATTACATTGAAGAGAAGAAAATGCTTTACAGATCATCAGCCCACATATCAGAGCAGCCTGCAGATGATATTTTAATAATAATTTGATCAATAGTTAAACATCCACGAGCATAATCACCTTTACCTGCGGCTGACCCCTGTGTGACCTCTCCTCTGGTGATATCACGCGCTCTGATTGGACGAACCCCTCAGTGACCTGTGATCGACCCAAGATGGCGCTCCGCTGTGTCCCCGGTGTCCAGATATCGGCGGTGCTCCTCGTGCTCCTGCTCCCCGGTAACTCCTCGTGCGCGGTGGCACCGGACACAGATAGTGCGCGCGGCAGAGCGGAGCTGCAGCGCGTGCGGAGCTACGCGGCCACCTCGCGCTATGGAGACTGCTGGACGCGCGCGCTGGAGCAGCTGGACACGCGCTGCAGGGACATGACGTCAGAGAGCCAGAGTCGCGTGGCGCTCAGGTTTACGCACTGTCACCTGCTCAGGTGAGCTGTGGGTGTCTGAAACTAAACAGACATTCAATCTCACCAATAGACTCACACATTTTATACATTAGTGCGCGCATTCATTGAAGGCACGCTTTCGTGTCTTGCCAAAGGACACAATGGCAGCTGCAACGGTGAGGGTAAACTTTGAATCTCCAGCCTGTCTGGTGGATACTGGGACTAGGACCAAACTCAAATAAACTATATTTCTGGGCCTGCACTACATGTTCTCTGTATGAAAAATGCACATTCGGCTTTGTGCGTGTCCTGGGTAAACAAGTACCTTTTACCCCTGCCCCAGTTCCATGACCTGGATCTGTGTCTGGTTCCACCCATTGGGACTTAGTGTGGTTGAAATCCAGAAGGGGCAACAGTTCTTCACCTGCTCACGTTCTGCTTTCAGTCTCAGACAAATAAACACTGCTGTTGTTATTTTAAACACAGCAATTAACTGCTAATCTGAGGCAATGTTTTCCAGCTCTGGTCGTGATTTCCCAGCCTGCCCTGAGGGATCAGAGGTCAGCAGATGCACAGCTCACATGGATGTGGTGGCCTTCAACACGTACACAGAGTTCTTCACCCACACACACTCCATGTGCCACTTCCTTCAGTCTGAGGCCTGGCAGAATAAAGCAGAAAACACCATGCACAGGTATGTACTTGTACATGTACTAGTACTTTAAAGGGCCCTTTTTGCACAATTTCTGACCTTTGTTATAATGTTGTTTCTTCATCACAAACATACAACTGAAGCTGTGTTTTGTTTTATTCACACATGTTTAACACATGCAGCCTGCATATTTAGGCTGAGTTCTTCTCTCAAACAGAAAATACTCTGTTCCATCTTGTGAGGCCATGTGCTAATACAGGAAGTGCTCCACTGTGTAACTAAACTAAAATCATTTGGATGATTTCAGCCCTGGAATTGACCATCTCTATTGAATTAAAGATAAAAGGAGCTGTTAACTTGTAAACTACCAGTTCATGACAAGGAACAGAGCATTTTAGGCTTTGGAGATGTAGACAAATAATAAAGGATTATTCAAACATGTGTGAATGAAACAAAACACAACTCCAGGTCTGTTTTTGAGGAGGAAACAACATAACATGTCTAAAGACTGACTCAATATTGCGTGATATAGGGCATTTAAACTAGTTTTATTATGTTATATGTATCTAATATCTGCTTACAGTTGTACTGTACATGTACAAATTCGATACATGTGTAAAATATAAGAATGTTGTATATTTCAGGTTAACAGAGAGTTCAGCAGGTGTAGCAGAGCAGCTGGAGTCCACCAGACAAATGGCTGAGGACTTGATTGAAGCCCAGAGCGTGGCTCTAAAGTCTCAACAGGAAATCCTGACCAACGGAGAGGAGCTGAGGGCTACGCTTAAGGACTCCACACAAGGTGAACCATCCAAAACAGAAGAGCAGTGTTACCGTTGTCACTGCTTCTTTACAGCGACTTTAGGTTTCTTTTTCCTGTTTTTTTTCTTCTCATAATAGATTTTTTTTTTTTTTAAGTATTAAAGCAATAATTGTCAACACTCTGACACACAGGGAGGGCACCTGACACAATCTGACACACTGTGGGGGGGCATCAGATGTATTCTCTGCTTGGCCTTGGGCGTGATGGTGAACTCTTTGCTCTCCTTCATGGCAATCTTCTTGCCGACGATCTGGTGGTAGATGGAGGACAGTTATTCCTCCGGCAGGTCCTTATTGTCGTTTATGCCACGGGTCATCTTGATGTATTGCTCTTTGGTCATTTTATTCTTCACCTGAAACACACAGAATTAAAGATCCTCAGCCATACACTGTTAAAATAAATGGACATAGCCCGCCACCACGTTCCAAATGGGAAATGATCATGAGCGCACTCCCAGCTCCATTGTCTCTGACTCCAGTTGACTAAAATGGAAAATTCTTTCTGGAACTGCTACTGTGAGCCTCATCATTTTGGTCTTAAAATGTTCGTATTAACCTGCTCTGCGTGATCCTGGTATTTTTATTTCACTATTTTGTCTGTTAATAAATTCCAGTTCCTAAAATGGACCTCAGCTTCAAATTCACTCCTGGAACTGCTAGCCTTGTGATTTGATCTTTATTTGGCTGGAGCTGAACACTACGGGCGACGTCACACTCCCTTGGTCCACTTCTTTATACAGTTTATGCCCTCAGCAGAACTTACTTTTACCTGCTCCAGTTCTGCATGCTCTTTCCTCTACCCTGGTTTTCCTGTGGTTTGACCTTTCCACCCCTCTGAAACCTGTGCCCCCTCTTTTTCCCCAGGTCTCCGGTCTGTGTTCTCAGAGCTGTCTGCGGTCTCCCAGCAGCAGCAGCTCGCCCTCTCTGAGCTCTTTAATCGGGTCAGTTTTCTGCACAGTTTCCTGATGCTGGAGGCCCACAGCATGAGCTCGTGTCTGTACAACGCCGCAGCGCTCGGGGCCGCCTTCCTGCTCACTGCCACCTCCCGCACCTCCAGGGCCAGGTACCAAACAAGCCCTTTGTGCATTTGCATTGTGTAACTGTTCTGGAGGAGGGTCCGTCAAATGCTTTTCTTCATGGAGATGTTATTGTTTTGTCTAGAATGTTTCACCGCACCTTCATGGAGATCAAACCAGACCACATTACAGGTCAGATCTGTGGAGAAAAAAAACCTAACACCTAACCACAGTTAGAATACCTGTTTTTCTAGGTATTTTTGAGCTATAAAACCACCTGTAATTGAATAAATATAAAGTAAAGCAGTTTAATGTCATACTGTGGAACATTCAGGCAGAGCAATGACATCTCCATAGAAACAAGCAGGTGACAGACCCACAACCAAAAAAGTTACATAGTGCACCTTTTAACATATAATACTTTCATCTATTACACAGTTAAAACAATTTTCCTGTGTCATGTATGTTTTTATTTCCTTGACAAAGAGAGAAGCCAAAACTCGTACTCAATCAATCAACAACTTTATTAATCCCAAAGGGCAATTCAGTTTGCACATCTCTAGTCATCCACAATCTATACATAATAAAATGAAAAGGAAAAACAAATGTATACAACACACACTATACATTCAAACCTCAGTGCATCAGGGACGCAATAACAAATTTACTTTCCATTTAAAAGCTTTATGGCAGAAGGATTAAAAGATCGAGCATAGCGATTGATCAAGAGTATACTTCAACATAATTATTAATCAAGTAGAAGTAAAAAGTAGTGGTCCAATAAATTACTCAAGTAAAGTCAAATTCCCTTTTGAGTGGAATAATGCATAGCAGTGAGTATCTGAAGACCTTCTTTTATGTCTGTTTTGTTCCCTAGACTGCTGCTGTTGGCTCTGGTGTGTTTGAACTTTTACCTGGAGAAAAAGATTTATGAGTTTGTGACGAGCTCTGATCTCCCAGAACACCAGCACATGGTGAGAGCGACACACAAGCCACACACAATACAGTAGAAAGTGTATACCAGTGACTCCCTAAGTGAGTTTTGGGGACCTCTGTGGGCCCTAAGAAGCATTGCAGGAACCCCGCCCAAAGGTTGTCCCCACAGCAAGTACCGTATTTTTTGGGCTATTGGGCGCGCTCTTAAGCCTCCAACCCCATCAAAAAACGACGGCACGCCCCACAATCCAGAACGCCCTATACACGAATCCACTCTGGTGTCCCAGCAAGACTTCAGTAAACTACAAAGTTGCACCACTCACAGAGCACGCAAACACGCACAGAGCACGGAGCAGCGAAAAACACCCGCAGCCACACTCATCACTCCACGCCGACGAGGAATGGAATGGTGGAACAACCTGAAAAAGCGAGTGCAATGTGCCACTTCTAGACACAACTGAACAACTGAGTCACTGCGAACACGCCAACAATCCAGAGGTCCCACACAGCACCCTCCCTACACGACACAACTGAACAAAGCCCAGAGTCACCATGAACCCGCCAAACAAAGTCCCACTGACCCAACTAACTGTTGTTTCGTTTAAAGTCTGGTGTGGTTTATTTGTGAAAAAAGTTTGAAAATAGACCATTCAATGACAGTGCTCCTTATAATCCAGAACGCCTTATAGTGCAGAAAATACAGTAAGTTTTAAATCAACTTTACGTAAGATATTTGTTTATATTTCTTTTATATTTGTAGTAATCCCACAAGAATGTATTGTTTTAAGATGTATTTAAAGAGAAAACATTGCAAGTTATTTTATAAGTGTAAAGTATTAGAGTGTGTGATGTTTGCGTCGATGGCGGGACCACAGCACAGCAGACTTTGAGAATGGCTGGTATATACTTTGACTCCACCTGTATGTCTTTTTGTGATGTTCAAATGTTCAGTTGTTTTACCTAAGAAAGTTCCACTGTACTTTTAAACTTCAGTAGGTGGTGCCATTTGGTTAAGTTACAGGTAAGATCTGTGGAGATGTGACCGTGCTCACAGTTACTTCTGCTACTACTACTGCTGCTACTGCTACTACTGCTGCTACTACTACTACTACTACTACTACTACTACTACTACTACTACTACTACTACTACTACTACTACTACTACTACTACTACTACTGCATCTGCTACTACTACTGCTATTACTACTAAAGTCTGATGTCATATTGAAGCAAATTTTAGATATTACTATATTATATTGTTATTATTTATTTGATATTGCAGAAAACATGGAATAATACAAACTATTAAAATGCAAATGATCTTGGCACTAAAAAAAATGTTCATAGCATTTATTTACAGCCTCTTCTTTCTCTTTCCTCAGGAGATGGTGGCGTCTTATATCAGTGTTCTTCGGCGCCTGGTCCTCTCCTTCTCTGTGTTTGTGTTAATTTTTGTTATTCTGAGACATAAAGACCCACTGCAGCAGAGTCTAATGGTTCTACAGCAGCTGCAGGAGACTCAGCGCAGCCTGCAGGTGGCGCTACAGCACGCAGGTAATAATTGTTGGTACTGAGGTTGGGCATTAGGCTCCCAAGAATATATGTAAGTGTTATTTCTTTACCAGGAATGATCCACAATATGGCATTAAACTTTCCTAGTAGTTCCATTGTCCAATCAGATTTGTTTGTACTGCTCAAGTTTCATACCATACTGTGGAACTTTCTGGGCAAAGCATTAACATCTCCATGGAGACAAACAAGTGGTGTAGCATTGACCAGAAAAGTTAAATAGTTCAACTTAAATATTTAGCTTTCCATGTCCTCAGATTTGTCTAATTTGTGTTGTACTCTAGCACCCTCTAGTGGACTGTGGAAGTACAGCTGGTCAGATTGTGAATTTTGGATTGATGACTTATTTTCTAGAGAATTTGGGAGAGAAGCAGAGGAGATCAGAGGAACATAAACAGGAAGTGGAAATGTCATCTCAGAAACGAAAACAGGAGAGAATCAAACAAGAAGAAAATGTTTATAAGGTGACTACAAAACCTAATGTATTAATTCTCCCAAGTCTCTCAATTTAAATGTGTTTTATCTTATTTATTTATACATTTATTATTATTTTTAGCTGTCTTTTGTGAAGTCTGATAAGAGGAAAATGGAAGACGAGTGTCCCATTGATGAATCAGACCTGTCTCAGCTCTCAGACATCGGTCAGTCTTTAAAAATTACAAGTGATAATTATGTATACATTTACGTTTAATTCTGTTTTTCCTGGGTTTGGTCTGTCAGGTTGGAGTGCAGACAGCATCCTGAGCAGCACAGTCTGTTCTTCTGCAGCTGACACCACAGTCCTGGCCTCCCAAGATGCAACACTCCAGAACACTATCACCCATGACGCCCCGGTGCAGACCCCAGCTGAGTCCCAGCAGACGCCAGAGAAAGACCTCCACATCCAGACGAGGCTCCTCTGGGTCTCCTCTGGTCTACAGCATCTTGGTGGAGGACAAACAGGTAAGAGAAAACCACCTGTATATCAACAATCTCAATGTAGGGGTGGGCAATAAGCCAATAAATAAATACAAATAATAGCACAGTTTTTAGAGAGTAGATCACCTCTTTTAAATTTGATCACGATTTTATTAGTTGGTATCTTTTTACTAAATGCATCTGCTGCTTCTAGGCGTTCACAATTAAATATGATTGGTTCAGTGGTGGAAGAAGTACTCAGTTTTGTTAAGTAAAAGTAGAGATACTATTAAGTAAAAGTAAGTAAAAAGTACCTGTTTTAAAAATGTACATAAAGAGTAAAAAGTAAAAGTATTTTGCGCACAGTTTCAAGAGGTAGTTTTCAAGTTGACAGCTACCATTAACCTTTTGTTCAGCAGAGATTGGCAGTTCCAAGGTTGAAATTATCCAAATGATTCTAGTGAAGGTGTATGGACATAAAAAACACAGTGGAGCACGCCCTGTATTACTACATGACTTCACAAGATGAAACCGAGTGCTTTCTGTTTGAGAGAAGAGCTCAGCCTAAATATGCAGGGTTAGTGTGTTAAACGTGTGAATGAAACAAAACACAATTCCAGGTATGTTTGTGATGAGGAAACAACATTATAGCTTAGATCATAAAATTGCCTAGTATGTATGCTTTGAAGTGCTATTAGAAAACAGTTATAACCGTATGCATTCTATAATACAAACCGAGGGCATCCAGTGTAAATGTCTAAGTTCCTGTTGCCTTTTCTCTTGTTCTAGTCGCGCTACAGTTTGAGAAGTCGTCGATTAGAGACGCCCAAATACTTCGATTGAAAGAAGAGAAAGCTTTTAATGTAAATTTTATATTGCACTAATTTAATAAAAATCACATTTGTACTTTTTATAAAAATTTGCCTCACTAATTTTGTGTCTATTGCTGAAGGCTGTGCACCATTTTTTGATTTTTTTGTTTGTTAAACGAGTTGTGGGTGAAGTACATATTTTTCTGTTTTGAATATTCCTCTCATTTTAATTGATGCTCACTATGTTTGCACTCATATGTTCAGCTACTATAAATATATTGTATTTTTAAAGGTGCACTATGTAACTTTTCTGGTGAAGGGTCCATCACCTGCTTGTCTCTATGAAGATGTTGTTGCTTTGTTTAGAATGTTCCACAGTATGGCATTACACCAATCTCAATTGGGAACAGTAGGTGGCGTCACCAGGCCAAGTTACAGGTCAGATCTGTGGAGAGGCAACCACGTTCACAGTAAGAATGCCTGTTTTTCAATGTATTTTCAAGTAAAAAGTATTGTACAGTATGGTATAGAATAGTATGGAACAGTACAGAAATAGTAATAGTATAGATTATATAGTAATATAGTAATAGTATACAATAGTTATGTATAGTATAGTAAGTTATAGTATATAATAGTAATAGTATAGAATGGTAAAAGTATATAATATAGTAATAGTAATAGTATATAATAGTATACTAATAATATATAATAGTAATAGCAATAGTAATAGTATATAATAGTTTAGTAATAGTATATAATAGGAATAGTAAGTTCTATACTATTACTATAACTATTATATACTATAATAGTAATAGTATATAATATAGTAATAGTAATAGAATAGAAGAGTAATAGTATAGTAATAGTACATAATAGTTGTAGTAATGGTATAGAATAGTCATAGTAATAGTATAGAATAGTTATAGTAATTGTATACAATAGTAATAGTACAGAATATAGTATAGAATGGTAATATTAAAAATTCACATAAATAAATAAATGCAAACTATATATTTATTGTACACTGTGGAACATTCCAGGGAAAGCTTTAATATTTCCATGGAGAGGCAGTGGGCCAGACATTCCACAAGTAAAGTTACACAGCGCATCTTTAATGTCATGATACAAGTTACAATTGTGGGGGGAAGAAATTGTGAAATAAGTTGGAAAAAATGCGGTTCCAAATAATATCCCCCATAAAATGATGACTGTAAAACTGGGTCAACTCCTTTTGCGTTTAAAATGGATGTAAATAAAGGACTAAACCAGGTCCGAAAGTAGTCTTAAAGGTGCACTGCGTAACTTTTCTGGTAGAGGGTCCGTCACCTGGTTGTTTCTATGGATATGTCATTGCTCTGCCTGGAAAAATATCTAGAAAAACATTAATTTTGACTGAGTGGGATCGCCTCTCCACAGATCTGACCTGTCACTTGGTCTAGTTTGGTCTCCATGAAGATAGAAAGGTTTATACTGTGAAATATTCCAGGCAAAACAATAACATCTCCATGGAGGAAAGCATTTGATGGACCCTCCACCAGAAAAGTTACACAGTACACCTTTAACTAGAAATAAAAAACACTAAACTAGGAGTAACCTTTTTAACTTTATTATCCATTTCCTGTTTGATCCCTGAAGTCATTCCAGGTCTTTCACCGAAGCTGTTTGTTTTGGGGTTAAATTTAGAGGAATGAGGAGTGGGCGAATTTCTGGAATTTCTCTGTGGACCAGCAGTCGTTTTCCTTTCGTTTCAGATTTCACCAAAGAATCGTAAATGAGAAGCAGACGTGGAGCCGAGACAGAGGGAGGATCTAAGGAGTTAAGGGTTAGGAGACAGGAGGGAGGAAAGGAGAGAAGGAAAGGAAGGAGGAGCCAAGGAACCACTGAGCACAAAAGATTTAGAGGCACGAGAGTGAGAGTGGCAGAGGCTAGACCTTCTACGAAAACTCCAACAAAATGACTTAAAAGGATCTTGAAAGGGAAAAACTATTACTGGGACATGCTTTTATTTTGAAAGTTGTAGCTCTGAATTGGAATGAAAGAACTGCCAACTCTTTGAAGAAGATCTTGAAGTGAGATATTTTTATTTCTGAGACGAAACGTGGAATTGATGTAGAGCAGAGATTTGAAAATTGGCAACGATTTCGAAGAGGACAGTACTTGGAAACTCTATGGAAATTTTGATATGGGATTAATTTTAACTGAAGACCGCAAGTATTTGTTTTGAAGTCAGGAGAAGAGTCTACTGAAATATTTGATTTGTGTTTTGAGGTTTTAAAACAGTACATTTGGGACTAAAAGGTTGATTTTGGCACATATCAGTCTATATTTTGAATTATTTATCTGACATTTTAGGTTGAATGGGACAAGTTTCATTTTCATTTGCGGGAAATTTGGAAGAAACATTGCAGAATTTGCATGGACCATCTAAATTTATTCAAGTTTAGGTGGAAATGGGATTTGTAAATCATTCATATTAACATCTTTTCAGTGCTCTCTATTGTAATTTCCCTTTGCTACTTTGGTATGTGCAGATTTTTTCATTTTTCACTAAGCCGCAGTCACATTCGAGCTAAAAATACTTCATATCTTTGATCCCAAATATTGCTACTAATTATGGAGCAGTAACTGGAAAAGAAGTAGCAGAATGGCCCATCTGTAAAAACATCTGGGAGTAACTGAGGATACAAAATACAAAGGGCAAGGAAGTTTTTTGGTTTGACTAAATGTGTTGACTCAGCAAATTGAACCTTCTGCAAAAAGTTTTCAAATGGACAAGTATTTATTTTTGTGGATTATGTGAAAGCAAAATTATGAACTCAAATGGAATAACTGCTGGTAAAAATCTTGTGTTACTTTGGAAGGATTTTTACTTCTGTTAAAATGCTCTGAGAACTTTGAGTAACTTTTTTGGACATCGGATACCAACCGGAGAATGGATCATCAGCGTTTCCTGTCAAATCGTTGTCGGCCAGAGGAGTGAAGCATCATGGGAATTGCAGTCCTGTAGCTCAGTAGAATGAGGCTGAACAGACCGGGCCCCTCTGCGTCTCCTCAGTCCTTCTCCTGCCGCTTCGCCACCATGCGCTTCTCCTACCACCTGACCACGCCCACAGGTGAGTCCTACAACCTGACTATGCCCACAGGTGAGTCCTACAACCTGACTATGCCCACAGGTGAGTCCTACAACCTGACTATGCCCACAGGTGAGTCCTACATCCTGACTATGCCCACAGGTGAGTCCTACACACCTGACCACACCCACAGGTGAGTCATATACACCTGACCATGCCCACAGGTGAGTCCTATACACCTGACCACGCCCACAGGTGAGTCCTACAACCTGACTATGCCCACAGGTGAGTCCTGCCACCTGACTATGCCCACAGGTGAGTCCTACCACCTGACTATGCCCACAGGTGAGTCCTACCACCTGACTATGCCCACAGGTGAGTCCTATACACCTGACCACGCCCACAGGTGAGTCCTGCCACCTGACTATGCCCACAGGTGAGTCCTACCACATGACTATGCCCACAGGTGAGTCCTACCACCTGACTACGCCCACAGGTGAGTCCTATACACCTGACCACGCCCACAGGTGAGTCCTATACACCTGACCACGCCCACAGGTAAGTCCTTTACACCTGACCACACTCACAGGTGAGTCCTACCACTTGACTATGCCCCCACAGTCCCACACCTCTTGGCTATTAGCACAATAAGCTCACATCTAAAAGGTTCAGAGTTTAATTTCCCAACTGTGTGAGACTTTATGTGGAGTATGTTTGATCTCCTCTCCTTTCTTTTTTTTTTTTTTTTCTTTTTCATAAATCTCAAACTGTGCCCAGTAGTCTCTAATTCTCTCTTATTTACTCCTGACCAGGATCCTGGCTCAGATTTGGTGTACTGCTTTTGACAAACCCCAAAAACCGGTTTTCAGTGTACAGTGACCAGTGCTAGTATATCTGCTTAACTCAAAATCAGCCGATTAATTAGAATTGAAGAATAGTAAAAATGTCAAAGTAAGAAAAAAGTCCTTACTCTGAGGGCTGGGTTTGGATTTCTAAAAGCAGTTTCTCTCTAATGTTTAAAGGGGCAATGAGCAACTTTCCTGGTAGAGGGTCCACCACTTCAGCTCCATGGTGTTTTTTCCTGAAATTATCTACAGTGTCTTAATTTCATGGAGACAAGCAGGTCAAGTTACTCGTCAGATCTGTGGAGAAGTGGACCTGCTCACAATAATAATGCATGTTTTTTGCAGTAGTTTTGAGGAATAAAATCACCTGTGAAACATCCCAAGCAAAGCAATAACATCACCATGGAGATAAGCAGATGGCAGACCCTCCATCAGAAAAGTTACACAGTGCCCCTTTTAAATATGGTCATCTCGTTTAGGCATCGAAACATATCTCATTTATTTGGCTGAAAAGTTCAAGTGCCGTTCCTTCTTTTCCTCTTTGCACCTCTCTCCTCGTCCTCAAGCTTGTTTGTCGAATCCTGTAGTAACTTGTAATAGTCTTTAAGTCACACCACTTCACTTCATTATACTCAATCTAATTTTGATTTTGAGGAGGTCACATGACACAGTGGAGGGTCTTCAGTGCTTCAGAGCTTCAGGTCTTATGATGCACAAACACACAAGCAAGAATCAGGTCAAAGAGGCGTTTGTGTGAAGGTCAGGTTTGATAAACGAGGAGGTGATAGTACGCTGCTGTCTTCTAGGATCTTCAGAACAAAACAACTAATGAGTCTTTTGTACAATACAGCGCTTTGTGGAAATGTTCATGACTGCTCTTCAGGCTGAACAAGCTGCTAATTAACAAGTCAAAGGTTATAGATCTGTCATGGTTCAGGGCGCAGACACTGGCTCATTTGTTTGTTTTTTTACTGTCCTGAAGACTTAGTTCTCGCTGCTGTTACAGGAGAGTGTTGTTGTGTCCTTGGGCGAGTCATCTGTGTGGATGTGAGGATGATGAAATTTGAAAGATGTTCAAAGTGGCAGCCACATCACATCATTTAGCCCCAGGGCAGGTGTGGCTTGAAGTAGCTGACATTTAACTGAGGGGAATGAATAACAGATTATGATCAGCCAACTGCTGTTTATTAGTGATTCTTCAACTCATTAATCAAGGGTCATGAAAAATCAACTCTTGTGAGCAGCTACTACTACTACTACTCCTACTCCAAATACTTCAAATATTACTACTACAACTGCTCTGTCAAAACAAATGCACTTTATATACACCAGATAAATGCTACATAAATACTACTATTACTACTACTGCGAGTAGTACTGCTACTGCTACTACTGCAAACACTACTACTACTGCTACTACTACTACTACAGCAAGTACTACAGCAAGTACTACAGCAAGGACTACTACTGCTACTGCTGCTACTACTACTACTACTACTACTGCTGCTACTGTTACTGCTGCTGCTACTACTGCAAACACTACTACTACTATGACTACTGCAGGCACTACTGCAGGCACTACTGCAAGCACTACTACTACTATAACTCTATTATTAGTCTGTCTGAATCTTTAGCTCCAAGGCTCCAAATCCTGTGTTTCACCTTGCGATGTCGTGAAGCGGTAGTTTTCGAATCACCTTTAACCTTTTACCTTTTGTTTAGTAGAGACTGGAAATTCCAGGTCTGAAATTTTCTGGGTAGGATTGTGATGAGGAAACAACACAATGACAGATCAGGAAATTGAGTAAAATAATGAAAGTCAAAGACAAAATGTTACATCATAATTCAAGATTTGTGTATCGTATTTGTAGAGGAACCCTAGAACTTTAAAGTGAAGATGGCGTCACAACATTTAATTTAGCTTTAAGTGCTAATTTCAGGTTAAATGTAAACAGTTTTGAAGTTGTCCCTAATACAGTAGATATGATCACAAGAAATATTTGTTGATTTTTCTCTAGTACATACAGTATTTTGAAGATTTCATATAATAAATGCAGAAATTCTCAGTCTTGCTCTCCATATTAAAGTGTGGCATTATCACATTGTACAAATATCTCAGAATTTGCATGTACTTGCTGGTCTGTTAGTAAGCTGTCCGTCAATGCCTTGGCCATCGCTAGCAGATCCTCCCTCTCCCCAGACACTTCCCCCTCCTTCCCATGGTGCACAGCTACATGTGAGGTGCAAATATCCAGAACAGCTCGTGGTTTGGAGTTGAGTGTAGAATGGAGCCGAGAGCCTGTGGTTTAATACAGTTCAGACCACAGACACAACGTGGCACTGACGCTCACGGCTCTGTCAAACAAATGTACTTATACTCTCCAGATAAATGATACATAAATACTACTGCAAGTACTACTACTACTGCTACTGCTACAACTGCAAATATTACTATTACTGCTCTTATTGCTACTACTGCAAATACTACTATTACAACTGCTCTGTCAAACAAATGTACTTATACACTCCAGATAAATGCTGCATAAATACTACTGCAAGTACTGCTACTGCTACTGCTACTACTGCAAATACTACTACTGCAATTACTACTAGATACAGTACAGTACAGATGTACTTATACACTCCAGATAAATGCCACATAAGTATTGCTCCTACTACTGCTGCTACTGCTACAACTGCAGATACTACTACTACTGCTCTTACTGCTACTACTGCAATTAATACTACTACTACAGCTTTGTCAAACAAATGTACTTATACGCTCCAGGTAAATGCTAAATAAATGCTACTGCTACTACTACTACTACTACTACTACTACTGCTACAACTGCAAATACTACTACTACTGCTACAACTGCAAATACTACTACTACTGCTACAACTGCAAATACTACTACTACTACTACTACTACAACTACAATTGTAAGTAATACTACAACTGCAAATACTACTACTACTGCTCTAACTGCTACTACTGCAATTAATACTACTACTACAGCTTTGTCAAACAAATGTACTTATACGCTCCAGATAAATGCTACATGAATACTACTACTTCTGCTACTACTGCTACTACTACTACTGCTACAATTGTAAGTAATACTACAACTGCAAGCACTACTACTACTAAAATTGCAAACATTACTACTGCTACTGGTACTGCTACTACCACTGCTGCTACTACTACTACTGCAACCAGTACTACTAGAACTACTGCTACTACAACTGCTGCTGTTACTACTATTTACAACTACTACTGCAGTTACCACTACGACTCCTATTACTACTGTAACTACTACTACGACTACTACTACTAATACTGCAACCAGTACTACCACTACTATTCCTGCTACTACCGCAAATACTGCTACTATTTACAACTACTACGACTACTACTAGTACTAGTACTACTAATACTACAATTGCAACTAGTACAAAAACTACAATTACACAGTGAGTATTGCTCTGGGTTCAGCAGTACTATTGAGCTTCTGTTTTGTTGAGCGACTGCTTTAGTCTCACTAACCACTTTGTCCACATGGATTTTATGCTCAACGTTTAATTATGGTTCTGATGCAACGTTAATATATTTATACAAGTTTCATCATGCGTCTGAGAGGAAGAGACTATTACACAGAGAAAATATTAAAGCAAACAACTCTTAAAGTGCCCATTTTACACTGTTTTCTGATCTGTTATAATGTTGTTTCCTCATCACAAGCACAAACAAACCCAGAGTTGTGTTTTGTTTTGTTGTTTGTTTGTTAAAGTAACATTTGACTGGAATATTTTGAAGTCCTAAAAGTTTTTGTGTGTTTGCGGGAGCCTGACAGTAGTATCCCGAAAGAGGAAGTGATGATTGTTGTTGTATAAATAGTATAGGCCTACTGTATGTGTTAGGCTTCCCACAATGCACTGCTCTGCCCCATCCAGAGATATGAATGAAGAGGCTCTGTAAAAATAGACTCAGCTGCTTCACACTCGAGGTTAGACAAAACACTGTCTGCAGGAACATGGGACTGAACCAGGACTGAACCAGGACTAAACTGGGACTAAACCGGGACTGAATCAGGACCAAACCAGGACTGAGCCAGGATTAAAATAGGACTCAGCCACACTGGGACTGAACCAGGAATAAACCACACCAGAACTGAACCACATCAGGACTAAACCAGTGCCAACCCGGGACTGAACCAGAACTGAACCAGGACTAAACCAGGACTAAACCACACAACAACTGGACCAGGACTGGACCAGGACTGAACCAGGACCAAACCAGAACTAAACCACACCAGGACAGAACAGGAATAAAATAGGACTAAACCACACCAGAACTGAACCAGGACTAAACAAGAACTAAAGCAAAACTGAACCAGGAGTGAACTAGGACTAAACCGGAACTAAACAAGGACTAAATCACAACAGGACTGGACTGGGACTGAACCAGGACTAAACAAGGGTGAAATCAGGACTGAACCAGAAATAAACCAGAAATAAACCATAAATAAACCAGGACTAAACTGAGCCAAATCAAGATTAAACTGACCTGGGACTGAACCAGGCTGAACCTGGACTGTACCTGGACTGTACCTGGACTGTACCTGGACTGTACCTGGACTGAACTGGACTGAACCTGGACTAAACCTGGACTGAACCAGGATTAAACTGAACTGGGACTGAACCAGGATTTAAATCAGGACTTAAATCAGGTCTCCTTCAGCAATGAACAACATCTACCCCCGGGGTTGTAGTCCAGTCTCTGCTTTTTCAGCGACTATTGTTGTTGTTTCAATGGGCAAGACACAGGCGGCTGTATTTATTGGGGTCACTCAGTTAAACAAAACAAAGCATTAACATATCTATTATGTATATGTCTCTTCTCCATAATACCCAGGCCTGGTTTAGTCCCTGGACCAGACCAGAGGAAGTAGACTCATTCCATGTTTAACTGAAGGGGATGTCCAGCTGTCTTTATTCCTGTCACTGTAGACGGCTCTCATCTGTGTGGAATACAGAGGAGGGACGATGTCGTTGATGTCATGATGTTAACCTCTGACCTCTGACCTTTGGGAGGGGCAGTATCTCAGAGGGAGGGACCACACAGTTCAAAGGGTCAAATGTTGTCCATGTCCATCACACAGTTTGGACTGATGCAGTGTGGTCTGGTACTATGTGGGAGCATAGAGGACAAAGTTAAGGAATAAACCAGGACTACGCCAACTCTAAACCAAGACCAAACCAGGCTCTAAATATCTCAAGCCACGGCGGAATAAACCAGGATAAATTCAGAAATAAAACATGCACGCCTTAAACTTTGTGTAGGCCTGTATACGAGCGTATCTGTTATCCACCAGTCTGGTTTCTTGAACTATATTCTGCTATAGGTATTTTTAAAGTTCTCACTTTTATAGTAGCCTATCCAAAACAAGGACTGGACTCATGAGTCAGGACTGAACTAAACCTGGACTGAGCAAGACTCAGCATAGACCAAGACGAGACCAAGACTGAACCAGGACTAAATCCCTGAAACAGGTGGGCCTTGCCTTTCTCCCACTCACATTAATAGCAGAACTATGAAGTCTAATATAAATAGAGGAAAAATCGATGGCTGAGTGCGTTGCCATGGAAACGCGCGGAGGAGACAGGCTCCGCCCACAGACACCGGCAGCAGCGGCAGCGGAGCCCCGCCACTGAGCGCACTCCCCGGGCTTCAGCTTAGCCGTCCGTGCGCTGCTGCCTGTGCCCGGAGCCACCACCACCGTGCCCCTCCCCCGGACCACCGGACCACCACACCGGGCCACCACACCGGGCCACCACACCGGGCCACCACACCGGACCACCACACCGGACCACCACACCGGGCCGAGTGCGCGCGCGGGTTGACCTGCTTTACTGTGTTCACTGCTGTGGAGCCGGGAGACCCGCTGTCTCCCCGCACCGACGCCTTCGTTCATGACCGGATTTGTGCTTTGCTGCGCGATGTATATGGACAGAAGCAGCCTGACCAGGGGTGAGTGAGTGCACGCGCGGACTGCACCACGCACACGCGCGTACACGTTAACATACATTTTCTGTGGACCTAATGCATCTGCATCCCATTTGTCCAAACTGTGCATAAACCTTCCATCTCCTGGATTTTGTCTCGCTGAGCTACCCCCCATGTTATTTTAAAGGGCAAACCACCTGGCACGCGCACTGTCACGCGCACGCGCCTCCAAACACAGTAACGTGCGGATCCTAATATCCGCTTATAGCATCCACATCTGCAGCTCCAGCTCGCTCCAATCTAACCTTGACGTGTCATGCCGCTGTCATGAGATTAAACGTGTGTATGTGACACGGAGCTGAGCACAGACACTACCATTTTCCACTACATGCACGCGCACTTCTGCACCGCCGCTTCACGCGCACACGCACGCGCTTTGACACATATTTGCACACAGAGGCAACGCGTGCTGCGGAGATGCATCCCCAATTTTAACTTGTAATATCACTGCACTCACGGATTTTTCCCTGTTGTTAGAAAATGCCACGGGTTAAATACGCATCCTGCGCACGTGCACTCGCATAATCCTGCATTTAACCCACTTCTATTCAGACACATTAAGTCAAACATCACTACAGCGTAGCTCTGCGTAGAGCATATTCATGAAGGCTGCCCATGCCTGCGCTAGATCCACTGATTTCAATATAGACTATTTTGGCTGAAACATCTGCCCCTTTCTATGATTTATCTATTATTACATTACATTACATTACATTACAGGCTATAGCTTCAGTTTGAAACCCACTGACATGTTGAACAGACTAGAGCAGTCCTGGATATCTTGTATGTGATTTTCCTGTGTGTGCCGAAGCAAATTCACCTTCATGCTTATTATAGGTAATGCTATATGGCCATTTACTGAACACTGAACAGCTCACAGCTTTGACTGTGTGAAAATATTATTCTTTGAGAAACTTGATGCACTTAATTAGACACCATTTTGTCAAACAGTGCCATAGGAGCCCTGTCATTTTGGAACACGGGGTGCCGAGAAGGTAATGGAAAGAGAAGATTTGGGTATGGATTAGTCTGTACTGTTGCTGACTTCGAAAATGTGTCAGATATATTGATTTATGTTAAATACACACCCAAACCCAGCAGCATAATATGAGAATGACAGACCGTGAACGCCCCCCTCCTCCATGAGAACAGCAGTAGGCGTGTGTTTGAAAATTGTCAGAATCTATGAATCTATCGATCAGTGATATTTAAAGGTGCATTGTGTTACTTTTCTGGTACAAGGTCTGTCAAATGCTTGTCTCCATGGAGATGTTACTGCTTTTTCTGGAATGTTTCACAGTATTAAACCTTTCTATCTTCATGGAATCCAAACCAGACCAAGTTACAGGTCAGATCAATGGAGAGGCAACCCGCTCACAGTCAGAATGCCTGTTTTCTAGGTATTTTTGAGCTTTAAAACCACCTGTAATTTAATAAATGTATTAAGGTAGAGCTGTTTAATGTCATATTGTGGAACATTCAAGCCAGATCCATAGAAACAAGGTGTATCTGGGTATAATTTTGGTGTTTGTAGTGTTCTAAAAAGCAACATTTGGGAAGATGAAGAGTGAGGGTTGGGCTCTGTGTGTATTTGGAGATTTGGAAACGTTGATTTGACGTGTGCTGGGTTTTTAAAGATTATACCTATTTTGCATTTTTTATCTCTGCAGTCTCTCTCTTGTCACTCCTTCATAGGATTAAAGGGCTCATATTACACTATTTTCTCATCTGTTATAATGTTATTTCCTGATCACAAACAGACCTGGAGTTGTGTTTTGTTTCTTTCACACATTACACCTTGCATATTTAGGCTGAGTACTTTTTTTTTCTCCGTACACCTTCACTTGAATCATCTGGATATGTTCAGCCCTGGAATTACCAATCTCTGCTGAACTAAACTTAAAATGTAGCTGTTGACTTGAAAACTACCACTTCATGACATGATGTTTGTGTTTTTGGAGATGTAGACAGAATAATAATCCAGAATTACTCAAACAAGCGTGATTGAAACAAAACACAACTCCAGGTATGTTTTTGAGGAGGTAACAACATTATAACATGACTTAAAACTCACAAACGTGTAGTAAAATAAAAATGTGAACCACAGTTTGGGTTGGAGATGTTGAAGTGTATTAGAAGTGTATTGATAGGGGCTATAATTACAAATGTCACACGAGGTAAGTGTTTGAAAGAAAATGGCAGCTCCTCCATCATGTCAACAGCAGGGCAGCAGCAATCTTTTTCAAAACTATCTGCATTTCTTTTTATATCGAAGTTAGAAGTCTTTATATAGACTTAATTATATGTGGGAATCCTGCTCTCTTCTTGGGTAATCTGAGTATGTGGGTCTGAGCAAGAAATCAGGACTGCTGCTGTATCTTTTTAAGTTCATGGTAGAAACAAAAGAAAACGGGGAGAACATGCAAACAGTCCTGGAATGAAACTCAAGGACAGCAGATCTTAAAATTGAATCTTGTGAGCTTTAAGCCATGTTAAAATGCTTTTACATGATCAAAAACAAGCCTGGAGTTGGATTGTGTTTTGTTTTAGTCACACATGTTTGAGTAATCCTTCATTATTAGCCTGTCTGCATCTCCAAAACTCAAAATGCTTTGCTTCTTTGCACCTTGTAATGTCATCTAGTGGTAGTTTTCAAGTTAACCATTACCGTTTACTTTTAGTTCAGTAGAGATTTGCAGTTCCAGAGCTGAAATCATCCAAATGATTCTAGCAAATGTGTGTTGAGTTTATTACCACATGACCTCACAACAGTGTTTATATTTGAGAGAAGAACTCAGCCTAAATATGCAGAGTTTGTGTGTTAAACATGTGTGAATGAAACAAAACACAACTCCAGGTCTGTTTGTGTTGAGGAAACAACATTATAGATCAGAAAATAGCGTAATTTGAGCTCTTTACGGTGATACTAGCATTGAAACGGAATAGGCAGAATACATTATATGAGGATTAACTTTTCGATGGTGTTACTTGAAGCTGGCAGTTTTCTAATTATGGCATATGGTTTGGTTTCTCTTTAGTTCTACGGTTTGTCTAATTTACCATCTACTTTCCATACAGTTTTGCTTGCCTGTGTCATTTGTTTAGAATGATGTAGTTCAAACACACACCCTGAAGACCTGAAACTGTTTTGGTGAAGTTTTGAGAACCAGGTAATCCTCTTATTTGTCATCAGTTATCCCTGCAGTCGACACATCCGTTTCGAAATGCAGTGGACATTTGTCGAAATAACATATTGATACCCATTAGTAGGCCTATTACTATTTATTGCTATTTATGTGGTGTGAAAATAAGAACAACTGAGTAGAGCTCTAACTAAATTCAGTTTTAAGGTGCACTGCATAACATTTCTGGTGGAGGGTCTTGTCTAGAAAGTTCCACATTAAACTTGCCCATCACGATTTAGACATTACAGTTCAGATCTGTGGAGAGTCGCCCCTATTCACAGAAGGAATTATTGTATTTCAGCAACCGAAACACCCGTAATGAGTAAATACTAGCTAAATATGTTTAAAATCATACATAAAGTGGAACATTTCAGGCAAAGCAATAACATCTTCATGGAGAAAAGCAGTTGGCTGACCCTCCACTAAATGTTGCACAGTGCACCTTTTAGATTTAGACTTAGACTTAGACCAGACCTGGGCATTGTACAGCTCCTGGGCCACATACGGCTCTTTGGTTGACTCTGACCATTATAATTTTACCTCATGCATGGACTAAAGCTGCATTGTTTTTATTTTAGACGTGTTTTTAATGACATTTTTGTAAGGCAACCTCACTTTTTCACTGCTTAGTCATAACATAAACTCTTACCAGTCTTACCAGCTCGTCAAAACAATGCTATTTACATCTTTATTTAAAATTAAAGAAATACAAGTAACATTATTCAGAGTTGAATTAAGCTTTTTCGCCCGGTTCTCCACAATATTTTCTGTTTCTCATGTGGTCCCATGGAAAAAATAATTGCCCACCACTGACTTAAGACAAACTTTCTTGATCCACAAGGGAAATTATTTGGGCACAGTAGCTCACGCATCACAATATAATATAATAACAAAGAGTAAATAAAAAATATAAATGGGAATAATACATTCTAAATAAGCAGCAAAAAAGATAGCAAGAGACAGATATGAATGTATATGTACAAGTCAATATAAAATGGAGAGATAAGTAATGATAATTTAAGTTCATTATGTGTACAGTTTAAGATCAAGTTTTTTTTTTTTGTTTTTTTTTATTTATTCCAACTTTTCACATGACCTAGACCTCGCTGAGTGCCAGTTTAACCAAGATTTATAGGCCTCTACTGTATTTTGAGCTTCCAATATCAATGAATCCTACTTAACTAGAGCCAGAACTGGATTTAATTACAAGACCCCCATTTTGACTCCATCCTCACGCGCAGATTGCATACAACCTTTTCCACGCTACCCCCCCACACGCACGCGCTTTAACGCCAACCTACCGACACGTGCCATAAAGCTCGTTCCTCCCCATTAGTTTCTTTTGTAGCTCTACCGCTTTTTATAATCCCCCCATCGCGCATCTGACTCGCACGGTCGGATGTGGAGACAGTTGGTGCGGACAGAGTGCACGGGGACGGAGGGGGGGGGGTGCGTGCTCGTAAACGCGGTGGGGGCTGGGAATGGGATTCACCGTGTTGCGCGCGCTCCCGACCATACTCTCTCTCTCTCTTCACTCTCTCTGGCGCGCGCACACACTGACCGACATCTCGCCGCAGTGAATGTGGGCTACAGCGGCTGGCAACATCTGCGCGCCCTTCAGCTACTTTTACGCACGAATAAAACGCACCAAAACAATAACATTCCCACATAAAAACGCACGTCTTTAAGCAAAACTGACCACGCTTTCGGTGTAACGCGAAAATAAGCGTTATCTGCCAAACTGAAAGAATTATGACCTATATTCGTCGCGCTCACGTG